GGTGCGTATTTTTCCAAGTTAGCAAGCAACAAAAATCAGATAATTGGGTATGAAGGTCTCTCCGGAATTCGCCGCCGGGGATTTTTTGCCTTCTCGTATCGCTAGGTAGGTAGGTAGGTAGGTAAGTAGGTAATAGGATAGTAAAAACCAAACCCATTAGTTTGTATTTTATTCTATAATCTAAAAGTATAAAGCCATAAATTTTCTAGGTTGGTCGTAATAGAAATTCAATATTAATATTAAATACGTAATGAATTGTAGTTATCATCATCCAAATCCAATATCTACAATATGTGTAGCTCCTCACAATTGTTAGTGCTAAAGGAAACTGTGCCATAAATGCCTCTATGAACATGGAGTGGATGTAAAATATGCAATTCCAGTTGATCTAATTTAAGAAATGGTTATGAAGAAATTACAAGAATACAATTTAGATACCTCTGAAATAAGAGAATAGAAAAATAATTTCAAACTAATACTCTCTCAAACTGAAAGCAAGATGAAGAGAATATTGGATGAATTTACATAATCAATCAATGAAATATATGATTTGATTGAAAAGAAAAATAAATCATATTCTAATCTAATCAATAGAAATATTAATATAGCTGAATCATCTTATTCTGAATTAGAACAAATAGCCTCAGTTTTATTAGGGAATAACATAAATGATTGGCTAGATGAGAAAAATTCTTTTTTGGATTGTTTGTCTTACGGGTAAAATTAGTGGGAATAGCAAGTTTAGTAGTTTTTGGAGAAATTGGAAAAGGAAATAATGTCTAGTATTCAACCTATTTAACAAATGTTAGAAATTTATGAAAAAAAGGAAGATGTATATTCAGTATTGATTTAAATAAAGAATATTGACAGATCATTCCTCAATTATATCTTATATATGCTTAAGGAGGATAATAAAACAGATATCATTTAATATTTATACAAAAGACAAAAATCAAAGTTGAGATTTATTTCCAATATTCTCAAAGATCTTAGTGAACTTGACTTTTCCAAAGAGTATTACTCAAAAGAGGAATGTGAATAAAGTAGAAAGCAATTGATAAGGGAGATATCTTATGATGAACACATCATTGAATTTTTGAAATTCCTAGTACAATTGACAGCTATTGATGAGAGATTTATCTAATGCGGATCAAATTCATTGAATTTATTAGTCGAAATGAAGGTGGATTTGAGAGAATAAAGTTTTGAGAAAATAAGGATATAAGAGACTTCTCTGGTTGGTGGAAATTTTTTTCGATGTAATTTCAATGAATCAAAATTATATGATGTGGATATAAGTGGAATAAACTTGAATTAAGCATAATTATTCAATTGTAAATGGAAAGACATCAAAATACATGAGTTAAATAAATTAGATGGTCATTCGAGTTGTATTAGGTCGGTCAATTTCTCTCCTGATGGTACTACATTAGCCTCTGGTAGTGTTGATAAGTCTATCCGTATATGGGATGTTAAGACAGGATTATAAAAAGCCATATTGGATGGTCATTCTGGAACATGTTTATTCAATTTGTTACTCTCCTGATGGTACTACATTAGCATCTGGTAGTGATGATAATACTATTCGCATATGGGATTTTAAGTCATAATAACGTAGTTAAATTCTATCTGTCTGTTTTTCACCTGATGGTACTACGTTAGCATTTAGTAGTGATGATAACTCTATCTATTTATGGGATTTAATAAATGTTTAATATAAAGGCAAATTAAATGGTCATAATAACTCTGTCATTTAGGTTTGTTTTTCTTCTGATGGTAATACTTTAGCCTCTTGTAGTTATGATTTGTTGATCTGTTTATGGGATTCAAAGTCATAGTTATAAAACGGCTATTTATATGGTCATAATGATTGGGTTAATACAGTTTGTTTCTCTCCTGATGGTAATACATTAGCATCTGGAAGTTATGATCAATCTTTACGTTTATGGGATATTAAGACAGGACAACAAACAGCCAAATTTAATGGTCATAGTGATACTGTTCGATCTGTTTGTTTCTCTCCTGATGGGAAAACAATTGCATCTGGCAGTGACGATGAATCTATCCGTTTATGGAATGTTAAGACAAAATAACAAATAGCAAAATTAGATGCCCATACTAGTGGAATTTCATCAGTATATTTTTCTCCAAATGGAACAACATTAGCCTCATGTAGTTTTGATCAATCTATTCGTATATGGGATGTTATGACACAATAATAAAAAGCCTCAATAGATGATTGCGCTTGTGAAATTCTATCAGTATGTTTCTCTCCAGATGGTACCACATTAGCATATGGTGGCAAAGATAAGTCTATCTGTTTAATGGATATTATGACAGGATAATAAAAAAGCAAAATTAGATGGTCATTATGGATCGGTAAATTCAATCTGTTTCTCTCCTGATGGTAGAGCATTAGCATCAGGTAGTAAAGATAGCACTGTAATTTTATGGGATTTTAAAGCCGAATAATAAATCTTAACTTTAGATAATAGTGATAAAGTTATCTCGGCATAAACAGGTATTTATTTTTCCTATTATTTAGCTACAGTTTTGTTAGTTTCTTAAAGTCCCAATTTAGAAGCTTTAGGAGCTTAAATTATGAATGGAGAATTTGTAAATTAATCTGGAGAGGACTTAAAATAATTATTCAAAGAGAGAGGTGGTATATTTTTAGAAAACGAATTTGCATTATAAAATAATACAAAAGATTATTATTATTACAAATGAGAATAAATATATTATAATATCACCATCATCCAAACTAATCAAACATATTCCTCCTTCTCATTAATTTGTGTTTCAAGAATTTATTTTGCAAATCAGTATCATAAAATAGTTGAATAAATTAGTCTTAAAATCCTTGAAAAACACATTATTTGTATGATTCTTAACATCAAATAATTAAATTGACTCTATTAGAATAATCTTTTCTCGGGCAGGGTTATGGTTCAGAACTATCCTACTATTGTACACTGGGAGATAAGTCCCAGATTCAAGATAATAGTGCAACTTCGATAAATTATGATTCAGCAGTTTAAAAGAAACCAGAAAATTTGAAAGATAATGATGAAGGTTTAATGCTATATTTAACATTTTATAAAAATACCAATAATAAAAATGAATAGAAATAAAGAAATTTTGACTCCAACAATATTGCAATTAATAATAAAATGATTTATATATCCTTCTATTAATACCACTTAGAAATTTTGTAAAATTATAAACACTCTAGCCTCATAAATCCTATAAAAAGGATAAAATATCTATTTTCTAAGAATTTTTTATAAATTTCATATTTGTAAGACTATTTCAATTTTCTTTACAGATAGTAGGAATCCGAGAAAATTTTTGAGACCTTTCTAAGTCTAGAAAATATTCTTACTTTGTAATGTATACTTCTTTATTTGTAGATAAAATAAAATTGGCGAAAGTTTGGAAATTGGATTATAAAAATGGTAAGATTATTTAACTAATTGTAAAAAAAAAAGAATTCATTAATCTATTTGTTTAAGAATTATTGAAATTAATTAGAATTGAAAAAAATAAAATTTAGACTTACAAAATTCTAAAACATAATTGGGGTTGTTGTTTCAAGTATTTTTTAGATTAGTGATATTAATAAATTTTACTCACTAAACATTTTGGGAAAAAAATTAAGATATTTCAACTACTTTAAATTTTAACCTTCAAGGGTGACTTGGTGTAATTAAATCAGTAGCCCTCTGATAGTTCCAAGCTCATATTTTCAGATTGTTTAAGAAAAACTATTTAATATTGTTTATTCCTTTTAAAATAATACACTATATGAAAAGACTTTATCATCGAAAGTAAATTAAAACAAATAAATAAGTATATATTGCTCATTAAAATTATACTCTGAGTTGCATCTTTAAATTTATGCTCTTGCCTGTATTGAACATCCAATTAGTCTATTTCAGTTTTTAATTCTTTAATATCTATGGAATACCACTATTTAAATTCTATTACTATTAAGCCAAGAAATTATAAAGTTTAAGAGGAGATAAAGTTAAAGTATATCATAAATTTTAAAACCTTTGAAATCTTTAGATTGTATCAATATATCCATTTGGTGTTCCTTTACACCAATCATGTAAAGATGTTTGCTGTTTATCCTTACAATAATTTGTTTAAGTCTACAATTAATACTAATCACAACAATTTTCTATTGAAATACTCAATCTTGAGATAATAAAAACAGTAAAAGAAAATCTTGACCAAAAACTAACCAGTAATAATCGATTATAGGAATTACATTTTGCTAGAATATTAATATATGTTAAGTAAGTTTCTGCTAACTACTCCCCCTATTTTAAAACAAATATCAGATAAGTATTCATCTTATGAGATGTAACAACAATATTTATGCAAATCTCCAAGATCTTCTAATTAATAACAAAGTCAAATAAAAACCATAAAGATTCAATATATTAAGAACATTCATGTATTCGGGAGAAAATAAATAATTCCTCAACTCTTTAAAAGAAATTTAGAAGCAGTAAATGGGTTTCTTTTTTTTTTAAACCAATAATTTAGCCCATAATCTGTAGACTATATACTATAAAAAGTTATAACTTTCTATATCTATTGAAACCTTGTGGCTGCAATATTTTTGTTCAAAATCATTTAAGAGGAAAATTTTCTCTATAACATTTAGTAGACAAAGTTTTGATACCAGTAGCAATTGCAATATTATATTATTTAAAATTCGATAGCACAAGGTTTCATATACATTCAATGAGCAAGCTGTGTTTAGGCTTAACAATGAGCATAATAAAAACCAGATACTATTAAATAATAAAAATCCAATATAAGAAACGATTCTCTAAACTACATGTATAAGTCAACTCTTTAAAATACAATAATTCATCAAGTTAAATAATAAACTACTCTTAAGCCATATTTCGTCCTAATCTTACATACGATTCTTCAAAATAAATTAAGGAATGGATCTCTGAAAATCAACCCCAGATTCATGCAAAATTGATTTATTCCTTAATGTTGAATATAATTTCTCTCTAATTAAAGTATTGTAAACATTTGATGAGAAGTTAGTTAAAATCAAAATGAAAATAGTAAAGTAATTTAGAATGCAATAATATTTGATATAACATCAAGCCAAACACTTTATTAAAAATATGACAATACTCTATAATATATTTAGAATTATTAATGATAAATCATTCTTACATTCAATAGCCAACAATACATATGAATGACATTGCAATTTAAAAAGACGATGAATTAATTTAGAATTCTTTGAAAAACTTACCTAGATTCAAGAAAATTGAAATTATTGGAGAAATATTCGCTCTTTTAGTACTAATTCTATGTTGGGCTTTTTTTCACTAGTCTGTATTTGCAATCTAATTATTTCAGTTTGTATATTTGAATGAAAAAGTGCCTACAGAATTTGATTATAATGGTAATGCAGTTCGATATGCTGATAAAAACATTCTATTTGCACTTCCAGCAGTAATGACAATATCATATATCATCTTTACTATCTTATAATTCGTTCCACATCGATTTAATTATGATTGTGGTAAATCATTTTTTAGTATCAAAGTTGGTTTAACTGTGTTCAATGCTTAGGAAATCTACAGAACAACAAGAATCACCCTTTTAAGCTGCAAATTGATCACAGAATTTTTATTTACTTATATAACTTTTACTATGCTACAAGTTGTCTAGTACTAATGTGAGCCCTAAAGAATGTATTATGCCTTTGTGTTCATACTTCCCTATTTAATAATAGGAGTATGTTATTATCGAAAATTAAAAAACATTAGCACACAGCCATAATAATTGTGATATATAATTTATTAATGTAAGAGTAATCAATGCATTTCTATTTCTTTGTTTAGATTATCTGGTTCATCATCCAATTTCCATTCTGTTATTATTACAACTATTAATAACAATCCTCCAATCACAGCTAAAATGCCACAATAAAGAAAGAGGTAATCCTTGACATAAGGAACAATTATTTGATTCAAAGCTCCAAAGAGAGTGCCATATCCCATTATTAATGATGTTACAGTTGATGTAGCATGCTTGTATTCTAAAAAATTAACTTTTATTATAATTACTTTTTAAAGCTTTATTGTTACTGAGTTCTACAGCAATGGCAGCAGCCACGTTGTTATAGCATCCTCCAATAAACATACCAACACCAAAATTAAGAGCCATGTATCCTCCATATGGATTATCATAATCTTTTAAAAAATTTATTGCCACCATTAAAATGGTTCCTAGCCATAATAATGGGACAATAATAGTAGCCCTTTTCTAATATCTAACTCCTAAATAGCTAATAATTAAATTTTATCATACCAAACTATTACACCTCCAAATCCAGCTCCTAAATCAAGCATTATATTGATTAATGCGACAAAAGTTACATGTAGATAGTCTAAATAAGCAGGTAACCACAATCCAACAATCATTGAAATGGCTTTAATGCACCCAAATGCCAAAGCATAAATTGCCACTCCTGGCAGTAACCAAGCTTTCCAAATTTTCAATTTCTTAACTCCCACAACTTCTTTGCTCACCTATGGTTCTTATGAAGTATCCGATATTATATGTTCAGATACAATAGAAGGTCTTGGTTTGATGAATATATGGAACATTATGGTCATGAAAAATAACAATCCTCCACTTATATAAATTGGGGTTAAAATGCTGAGATCGCATATCTCTATGGTGATTCCAGAGTTAGCAAAACCTGCTATGTTTCCAACGTTAATGCAAGAGGCAAAAATTCCAAGAATAATAACCTTTTATTCTTTTGGCATCCATGCATTCATTATTGCTTGAAAAATATTATACTACATTTTACATAGCAAACCCGGCCACGCAGTTGAAGAAAACATTCCTGCTAAGAGCAATAATACTAAATATAGTTCTTTTGGGGCTGTTGTAAATTCAAAAATTAAGGCAAGGATAATAAATAATGCACTTAATGGATATGTGCCAAGGATAACAAATAATTTTGGGTTCATCTTATCACCTAACTAACCAAGCCTCATAATAACATTTTATACAAAAAGTATGAAACTCCCATTGACAGTAGAAATGTAAAATTGACATACCCTAAAAATTGGGGACTAAACCCTTCAATCTTATTTTATTCAATTATCAATCCAGATGCATAACTCCAAGTAGATCTACAGCAATGTACCATAATATAGAGAGTGTAACAAAGTGCAAATTGTTTTATTCTCTCATTTTTAATTCCAGGAATTTCATTTAGCATTTTATTAACTAAATTATCAGATATTAATAATATATAAAACTCATTCTTTTAATCTCGTTTCTTAATTAATATAGTGTTTTTATTCAGTCAGCTGAAAAGAATAAATAATCAAAAGATATATAATTAAATAAAGTAAACAAATTAATCATCATTTGCTTCATCTCCTTATATTTTAGAATAAAAATTTCATTTCAAACATTCAATGCATTTGCAACATATACCTATTAATTCACAGAAGGCATCGCATATTGGACCTAAAAATTAGCTAATCTATTGACAAGAGTTTGATAAGCAGTCACAACAAAAAGTACAAATCTGAGTTAAACAGTCGCTGAAATTATTTAATATGAATTCACAACAGACTAAAAGGAGTCCACAAAAGGCTGAGCACATTTAAAAACAGAAACTACTACATGAATCCCAATAAGCCATAATTTATTAACTAAAGACTGAACAATTTATGCAACAACATATTTAAGTGCATATCACATTGGAATTCCTTTTTAAACTATTATAACATCTGCCTTAATTAATATAATATTTTTTTACTGCAATTGAAGCTTAAAAGCCCACAACTCATTTTACATGAATCACTCCAATCTGGGCACAAATTTTAGCAGCACATTTCTAAACATCCATCCCAAATACAAACTATTAGCTTTTTAAAGAGTGTCAAAGGGAGTGTTAAACAGTAAACAGTTAAATCACAAACCCATTAACAACAGCTATCAGATCGATTGAGCAAACCAAGACAACAATATGTAGATAAATTGGAGCCTAAATTAACCAATACATCTTATTGAGCGTCATTTTAATTAATAGGTACAACAACAACATTATTTTGATAATGCTTATCACTATTCTCTTCCTCTTATTTTTATAACTTTTTCTTCTATTTTATTTTTATATTTCCATCTTCCCTTGCTTAATCCTATTTATTATCATATTGATCGCTTGGCTAAATTGGTGTATTAAATGATTAAGTCGGTATCATCACTAGATTTTATTGATCAGGAACAGGTGAATAGTTTATTTATAGTTGCTAAACTGGGTTTGTATATTATGGTTCCTAAACTCTTGGAATATGTCTATCTTAAAATTGCTAAGCAGGGATATTTAATTCAATAATTTATTATCCCTTTTAATCATGATTATTCTTATCGACCTCTACTTTATTATTATCAAAAAACATATCTCTATTTTCTGCAAACTATATAATCTCTATTTCTTCCTCCTAGTTTTAAGGAACTTCATTATTTTATTATTATATATTGAAATCATCCTAATGATCAATAAAAAACAGAGAATTTTCATTTTCTTGTTGATCAACTTAAGATTTATCAATCTTTTACTCTCCTTACTAAGACTATTCATCACCAGAAAACTAACTATAAAGAATTAAGTACTTTAACTACACTAATATTGTGTTTGTCAATGTTATCAAAATTCTCTTCTTCCATTCAAAATTTTATAATATATTAATTCAATTAATTTGATCAATAAGTTTCATTATCATGTTGAGCTAAGTATCATCATTCAAATTTACCTGGGTATTAAATACAATCATCAAATTCATTTAATTGTTAATAATATTTAAAAAGTTTAAGTCAAAATATATAATTAATGAAACTTAAAGGGTTATGTTTTTTTTGAGTTAATTACATTATTTCATTAAATGTCCATTCCAAAAAATTTCTAAAAGTAGATCATATAAATTACTTATTAAATAAATACCGACTTTCGAAGCCTTAATTTTTTCTAAGAGCCCCAATTATGTAACTTCTTACATAAAATATAGCTTAAATATCAGTAGGATTCATTAAAATTTTATACAGAAGGTTTTTTCGATAATCCAAAGCAAAAAACAACCCATTCTGTAAAATTATATCCGTGGAAATGAATATTTGATTGTTTTTTAAAGTCTGAAAGCATAATTCTCAAATTTATTGATTTTAACATAATCTCAAAAGTAAATTAGAATTTGATAATTCAAATTTATTAGGGAAAAAAAATAGATAAATCGTTAACCCATGAATAATTTAATATACCAGAATAATTTCACTACATTCCCAAGTCATCATCATCATCTCCTTCTCCGCCTTCCTAGTTAGTCCCATACTCATCATCTCCGTCATCGTTTTCAACTTCATCTATAAAATCAGCTTATTAGTTTCCCACAATTTTAGGCTATTAAAATTATATCATTAGTACTTCAATTTTTACTTTCATCTATCCTTAATACTTTTTCATAATATTTTCAATTTCAACTAAAGCATCCTTCATAATTTTAACTCCATCCCTTGATATGGTGGTTGTTTTTCCGGTATAAGATGGAGATGCTTTAATTTCAAACTATGTTTAGATGATAAAATACTGATAGTTTGCATTCTTCTGTGGACTTCTTAGTACCAGCGATGAGTGCTTCTTTAATAATTAGACTTCCGGCATAATCATGACTAATTAAGTCAAATTCAGTTTTAATAGTGACTGGTTCTGGTTTTAATCTTCTTTCAATCTCCTCCATTAATTTGACTTAAATCTATTCTGATAAATTCAATTTTGACAGATGTTTCTAATCAGATAGTGCATTTTTAAATATTTAAAGAACAGAAACATTTTACTTATTCTCTTATAATGGCCATACGATGGTTTTATATAATTGCTAAACATTCATATTGCACTTCTCAGCTATAGCTCTCATAATAGAATGAATCATTTTTCCGTCTGCAAACTTTTACTAAGAAGCTTGCTCTTCGTCCTTCGCCACCTTTTTTTTAGATAGATCAATGTATCCTTAATCCTCATCTACTCTCAACACTCTGACAACTTGTATTTTTCCTATTTTTAAAGCCTTTTAAATTCCGCCTCTCAAAGCTCTTGTTGTTTCATTAGGTGGAATCATGCCTCTTATTCTATCATATTCTAGCAATTCGACATAAGAAGCATTTTCTTAAACTTCTACAACCTCGACAACGACTAAATCATTTTCTTTTGGATATTGATTCTCGTAAAATCTGCATCTTAAGTTAATTCCTTCATCAATTACAGGTTTAATTTCTTGGTTCATTTAATAAATTTTATATATTATGATTTTTCATTTTTGTTTCTTGTTGGAATTTTAATTCTTCTTTTCCTCACCTCCTCTCATATTTGAATTATAATTCAACAGGTTTTTACTGTTAACTTCTTTTGTCACCTTGAAGGATCTCACTATGCTCTTTAATAAATTAATATAAAATTACATTTTCGACCAAATCCAAGCCCACTTAATACTCACTTGGAAGATTATGAGGATCATTAATGTGACTACCTTAACCAACATACAAGTTCAGTTTATTAATTTGTCCATCAAACTCTTTCTCAATTGATAGAGTTAGATCAGTAGTTGGATAATGCTTGACATTATGTTCTTGTAATTTAATGATATGCCCATTAATCCAAACGAAGCAATTAAATTCTTCTCTCAAATATGAATAACTCATATAGATGTAGTGCCAATCGTCTGTCTATTCAAATAATTCAGCTTTTCTGAGTTCTTAATCTTTGCTGTAAGTTCCAAAACTTAAAGAATTACCACCATAAAAGCTCAACGCATAATTCTTCTTATCATCCTTTATCCTAAAGATCTCAATATTCTCAGCATCTAAATATTCTATCTTAAACCATGCACTAATTGCAAATTCATCAATGAAATCAGAATGATATTCCTTTTTAAATTTTATGGGGAACTGCATTTCCTCTGCAATTAACCCAATTTATTACTTGTTGAATTAAGGCTGGGGTGATAACTTTGATACTTCCTCAATGAATAATTGTGGTTTATCAGTGATGTATTATTTCCCAACTCCATAAGTCAGTTAAGCAAATTGTCCATTTAATCCTTAACTTTATAAATCATTCCCTCCAAACTTAAAGTACGCTTAATTTAATTTAAAATGCTCCACGTGAAATTCTATTTTGCTAATGTCATCTTAATCTAAATAGACATATCCTGTAGCCAACCCATCCTAATAAGAAAAGTGAATATAAACCCATTAATTTTTTTCAAAGAATAGTTTTTATTCAACTATTGAATTCATTGTTTTAATATCATAGGTTGAGAATACTAAATTTTTTTTTTGTATAGACACCACAAGTTTATTATCACCTAAGTCGTTTCCTGAATAATTTTCATTTTCAGAAACACGAGATATAAAATAAGTTTCAGTCTGATAATCTTCAGGATAGAAATTAAGTAATCTAAACCAATAACCATAGCCAACTTCATTGGTTTTGCTCTAAATCATCTATTGAAGGATAATTTTATTGTGATAGGCTGGTTTCAGAGATCGATTGCAAGTATCAACTTTCTCTGTTACTAATTTGAGTTTCTCGCTTAATTCTTATTTTTCAACTTTAAACAATTAATTTTTTTCACTATCTCGTTAATCTAAAATTTTATTTATCCTTCTAATAGTGTTATCACAATATTATAATGTCAACTCCTTTTTATCATTTTATAACTCTTACACAATATCTTTAATTTCTTCGCTAACTTTCTCTAAAAGTACTTTTGGAGCAGATTTTTTCAAAGTTGATTTACTGAGGAGTAGTTCTTTATAGTTTAATAATGACTCTTTCACTTCTAATATATCTGAAATTTATTGGATAAGATCCGTGTCCTTTAATTCATTCCAATATAAGAGTTAATTTTTGATCTCAAACAAATCATTTAAGTTGTCACAATCAAATTTGCTATAATCCAATATATCTCTCAATTAATCAGTTTGTGAATAACCCAATGCTATTATGAAAATAAGTAGGGAAATTGTTTTCATAGCAAATAAAAAAAACGAATATATATATATGAAAATTTATAATTGATTGAGTAGCCAAGTATTAAGAATTTTATTATAATACCTTCATTTTGTTAAGCAATAGCTAAAGCTAATTAAAAATGCTTAATATGAGTAAAATAAGTTTAACAAAATATACATTATTGAATATATTTTAAATTACTATTTCAAAACAATGTCTTAAAATAAAAGTAAATAATTCATGTTAAATCCATAGTTATCATGTTGGGAGATTGCGGAGTGGGGAAAACAACAATCTTAAACAAGTAAGGAAATCCATTTATAAAAAGTTTCTTGGATATTATAGCTAATACTGAAACAACAATTGGAGTATAGCATCATTCATTTACAAGAAACAATATCAAATTTTCAATATGGGATACTGCAGGATAGGAAAAATATAGATCTATAGTATCAAGGTGTTTATTATTGTTAATATCTAGCCATTATAAAAGAGCAAAGGCAGCGATTTTGGTTTATGATTGTTCAAATGAATCATCCTTGTTGCACATTGATAAATGGATAGAAGAGCTTGTTTTCTAGGCTGGTGCTAATGTAAAAATTGCATTAATAGGGGTAAAGAATCTTAAATGAAATGTTGGTTAGAATAAAACAGATTTATAAAGTTTCGATATGAATGAACATGTTCAAAAATTAATAGAATAATATGATATTACATACCAAATCTAAACGAATCATTAAGATCCAGAGTTCAAAGATAAGATGAACTAATTGTTAGACTAAATAAGCATAAGTACTTTATTATTTTATTTTTATATTTGAGATTGATTCTTCCTAATCAGTAAAACTAATCACCAATATCCAATTTAGAAGAGAATAATCATCAAGTTAAAGTGATATAATTCAACCATTAAGAAGAAAATTAATAATCAGAAAATAAACATCTAGAAAGGCCAATTGAAGTTTCGGCTATTAATGGCAATCAGGAGGGGAAAAATTGTGAATGCTGAATTGTTTGATATAAATAACAATATATTAATTTTGTAATTTCTATGAATTGTAATCCTATTTTTAATTATTTGAATCCAAGTCTTATTAGCGCATAAAGAAAAATATTTACTATAAAACTTCTTATAACAGGGACTGAAAATCCTTTTAAGAATACCTAGCTCCTCTTTCAGAATATTTAAAAATTGATGCAAATTTAATTTATCATTAGTTTTAATATCTAGTTTTTACAATTTCAATTGGTTAGGACATAATCTGAAAATTCGGGCTGCTGATATGCTTATTCCTAAATAAGATTCTTCTGTTCTATCTCTTCCTAGAGGATGAACGTATTATAAGTGTTTGGTACGAGATTCTAGCTAAGGTAACATAATGTATTAGTTTTGTAGACTCTCCTTCGCAAATATATCAAATCTAACTCCGTACAATTATAGTCCTTCATCTCTTATTAATTGAATTCTGGTTTTGTTAGTTATTTATTACTAAAATGATTTGTTTGATATATAAATCACACAAATAGGAGAAGGTTATGATTTAGGAGAACATTTTTTAAATTAAATATATTTAAAAACTCTCTATTGCATTAATTAGTGTTACAAAATTAAAAAACAGAATGGAAAAAATCAAGAAACTCAATATCATAAAAATACCAAATCTTTTTAAATATCATAAGTCCTAATCAAAAAACTACATATAGATAAATTTCATGACTGTTTCTTGTCTGCGTTGTAAAATAAGGTTTCATATTAGTATAGTTGTTTAATATTATTATAAATTGACCTTATCACAAGATAATGCCTACATTTTAACAAAAATTTATTAACCAAATTATTATAGGAATATATGTTGCAAAATTTCATTTTGTAAGAAGGCTGTAATAAAAAGAAAAAGAGATGTCTATCAAATAAAATTTATTGAATATTTATACTGTTCATTATCATCTACTCCTTTTTTCACATATGGATTGGTTTGAAATGAGCACTCATACATGCTTCCTTTAAAGCTTCACTTAATGTTGGATGAGCATGGCAAGTTCTAGCAAGATCTTCGGAAGCAGCTCCATATTCAATTCCCAAAACAGCCTCTGCAATCATTTCTCCTGCATTTGGTCCCTGATAATAGAATAAAATATTACCACAATATGAACTCCCAACAATTTATCTGTCTTTTTATCTGTCAAAACTTTAATGAAGCCTTCAATTTCATCATTGGCCTTAGCTCTGGAATTAGCCAAGAATGGGAAGGATCCTTTAGCATATTGCACTCCTGCCTTCTTTAATTCTTCCTCTGTTTTTCCAACGGTGGCGACTTCTGGGTTGGTATAAATGACTCCTGGGATGGCATCATAATTGACATGTCCAACCTTTCCAGTCAGTATTTCAGCAACTGCAATACCTTCTTCTTCTGCTTTATGGGCAAGCATGGGACCTTCAACAACATCTCCAATAGCATAGACACCATCTACACCAGTTGTAAAATTATGTCCGATTTAAATTCTGCCTCTATTATCTAACTTCACACCAATAGACTAAATTATGTTAAATCAATACTTCAGCATTTAATCCTTATGTATATGGACGTCTTCCTGTGCTCACTAAAACGTGATCGGCTGTCAATGTGATTTTATCACCACCTTTGACTGGTTCAATGGTGACTTCAGCACCATTGCCAAGATTCTTTCCGCCCAAGACTTTGTGTCCAATTAAGAATTTGATTCCTTATTTTGTTAATATTTTTTAGAATGCTTTTGACACTTCAAGATCTATAGCTCCACATATGTTGTCTAAGTATTCAACGACTGTAACTTCTGTTCCCAATCTTTAATATACAGAGGCCATTTCAACTCCAATGACTCCACCTCCAATGACTACCAATTTTTTAGGAATTTATTGAAGAGCCAATGCTCCAGTACTTGAGATGACTATCTTCTCATCAAAGTCTAAACCTGGGAAGGGTGTTGGTTCACTACCTGTTGCAATAAGTGTATTCTTAGTTGTAATTGTCTCCTTCTTTCCGTCATTTAAATCAATGGTGATTTCATTTTTAGATGCAAATTTGCCCCAACCCTTATAATAGGAAACCTTGTTTTTGGCAAAGAGACCTTCAATTCCTTTAGTAAGTGACCCAACTATATCACCTTTCTTCTTTTATACTTATGCCCAATCAACTCCAAGATTATCAACCTTGATTCCTAATCCTTTGAAGTTTTTGTGAGCATCTTCGTATTTATGGCTGATGTTCAGAAGAGCTTTAGATGGAATGCAGCCTACATTCAAGCAAGTACCTCCAAGAGAGCCTCTCTTTTCAACACAAGCTGTCTTTAAGCCCAATTGAGCAGCTTTGATGGCAGCAACATATCCACCAGGACCACCACCAATTACTACTAAATCAAATGGTTGACTTGAGAATGATGATCTTTAGAAATGAGTCAATTAGTTGGTTATTAAATATCTTGTCTTAAACATAATTTATTTATTTTTAGTTTTAAAATACAAAATAAATTAAAATGACGCTAATCGCGATTAATAAAATAATCAATATATAACAATGACTTCATTTGAAATGCAAGAATAATACTCACTATAGGATTCCCTTCTGTCTGATGTATCTTCAATGTCCATTGAATAAAGGTCGAGAAGTAGAACTCTAAACAAGACTGTTAAGTGGAAACTTGAATAATTTCATGAAAAGAATGTGATGCAAGAGGAGCAAGAAAAAATCCAGCGAGTCATTAAAATATACGATGATAATCTTAATGATGAACATGGCTAAAGTGATAGCAATTTTTTTGAAGAATATTTATCTTGGCTCCCGGTCATTCTGCCAAAACGAGTTTGGCCTTGGAAGATATTTGTCGCTATTACTACTCTATTTGTTTTTTTCGAAGTACCTATATATGTAATGTATGGAGAGGAATTCTGGAAGGTATTTATTCAATTTATTGTGAGTAACTCATAAATGTAGGCGGACGATATGCATTATTTTATGGAATCTTTATTATACTTTTAACAGACATGCTTCTTGATTTTGTGACTTCATATTATAAACATGGAAATCTTGTATTGGATAAAAGAAAGATAGCCATGCATTACTTTTATGGTTATTTTGTTTTTGATTGCGTTGCTGTATAAATTTATTTATTTATATTAGTTATTCTCTTGTGTTATTAGATTAGCTGTTGACACTGATCATCTCAGATTCATCTTCTTCATGTTCTATTTTAAATTGCCATCTCTACTTAGAATAGATCATCAAATTGCAGAATTAATATTGCTACATAAAAGATTAAGAACATTCTACCAAATCACAAAAATGTTGATATTTATGTTCTTCTGTTTCAACTTTTATTGTTGTATTTGGTATGTGTTAGGCATCTATGGCGACAATATTCATATTAACACATGGTTAAATGTACCGGGTAATTTTGGAGTGATCAAAGACAAATCAATTCATGAGATTTATTTTTATTCCTTCTATTTTAGCTTGAATGTTCTCTCTACCACCATGGGTTTTGGTGATATTGTAAATGCTTTACTCTATATTGTAGTCTCCCATGAATATCTATGAATGTTCCTTCGCTCTCTTTGGAGTAATGTTTGCTGTAGTCGTATTTGCTTTGAATATCAACAACTTTTAAAAGATGATGGAAGAATACAACTCATATTATATGCAACGGTTCAAATAAAAAGTACTTTATATCTTGATTATTAGGTGTCTATTAATAAATTTATGGAATAAAAGAATGTTCCTTCTGAATTAAGGGAACGCATCAGATAATACATCAATGAGCATTGGGCTGAAGAAGGAAGCAGAGATTAGGAAAGTGAACAATAAGTGTTTGAAATACTAGCACCTGAATTAAAATAGGAATTGATGTATCAATCTTTAGGATAGTTTCTCTAAAGAACTATGTTTGCTAATCATTTCACAAAACCTTTCCTCAAAGAATTAGCACAGAAAATACGAGAACAATCTTTTTCTTAAGGAGATGAGATAATTGGTGTAGGATCTACAGAACAAACTGATGATTTAAGCATATATTACATTGTGGGAGGTTCAGTTATTGTGAAACCAGGAAATAGTGAAATTATTAAAAAAAAATTAGGATTGCATAGTTACTTTGGAGAGTGGTCGTTCTTTACAGGTTATTCTAATCAATTATTATAATTTTAGGTTTTCCAAGAACTGGTACGGTAAATGCTAAAGAATACTCTTAGGTTTATGCAATCACAAGAGCTGACTTTTTAGAAACACTAAGAAAATTCCCTGAAGATTTTGAAACATATTGTCAAATAAGAGATAAATTATTATTCACTAAAGAATACAATTTAGTAGAATAGCAATGCTATACTTGTAATAGTACTGAACATTATGCTGATTAATGCCCAAAGACTCATTACATACCCTTAGTACAAGAATTAATTGAAGAATCCACAGTCTTGGATCTTAAACAGGAGAGAGTGAAAATTTAGAGATTTGGTAGAAAATAGTGGGCCACTAGAGCTAATGCAACAACTTTGATTAAAGGGTTAAGTAATAATAAATTGAAAAAGAAGGCTAATCTTATGCTCAAAACCTAGAGAGCTTTAAAGAAGAATACTATCAAAATTGATAAACCCTTAATTCCTTAATGGCAAGTCAAAGAATTTAAGAGTTTAGATGAAGAACAAGCAGCTAATCCAATGATAGATGACATGACAGAGAGTTAAAATCTTAATACATAACCTATTGATAATGAGATTCCTTAAAGACAATAGCAGAGTTCATACCTGAAAAGCTTTGCAATTCAAACTTTGACTTCATCTGCTATGCAACAATCAGCTCTATTAAGTTCAAAAGTTATTGAGAACCCTAATCAATCTTAATCATAATAAAGAGAGAATGTGATGGCTGAGTACCAAAAGATAGTACAGCCAACAATCAAGACTGGAGTTGAATAATTTGATGCCCCTGCTAACTACAAGAATTACTATAGAAAATACAACAGTAATAATTATCAAGAGTTTAAAAATGTTAAAATTATAGAAAAAGATAAAATATAGAATATGAGACAGTCAATAATCTTAAAATGAATATAATTATTATAAAGTAAATATATTGATGTTCATTACTTAAAATATATCCCTTCCAAACTGGAAATTTTAATTGTTTTTTATTTGAAATAGAATATTAAATTTATCCCAACATTAATAATTAGACTATTGAATTTTCACTAAATAATATTGATTAAATTATTTATAAATCAGAGTCTTTTTATCTATTTCTTATAAAAAAGTTCAAAAAACACGCTTGCTCCAAAACCGCCTCCTAATGGTCCTCCTACGTAAACCCATAAGAAGTCCATTCTCTGCCTGTCTCCTGTTTATAAGGATTAGAATAATTGTAATGAAACTGCCATGCCTGGATTTAAGCATCCTTTAGTTTAAAATGAATTATATACCTCCTGAATGGAATGTAAATTCTCTCGAAAAATACAATGCCAAAGCAACTAATACATAAGTAGTCATAGGTTATCCTTTTGGGGTTAAGGTTGTTTCTGGGTCTGTTTGGATAAGTATGAACAAAATAAATGTAAATGTTCCGAAAGCCTCTCCACTTACATCTGATAGTATCCATGAGTACTCAGTACTCTTAACTTCAGGGCTATCTACTTCATTCAAAATTAAATAGCAACAGCAAGCTCCGCATAATGCTCCTGAAAATTAAGCTAACCAATATATCACTGCTTAAGCAAAGTTAACTCTTCTTGATATAACCATAGCCAAAGTAACAGCAGGGTTTACATGTGCTCCTGAAAATGGAGCAGCCAAACAAACTGATGCAAAGAAAAACAAAGCTAAGAACTCATCTGACCCTTAGGAACATATGATTCTAAATCACATTAATTTATACCCATAAGCAAATAAAGCCATTCCAAAAAACTCAAATATAAAGATTCTCATTTCATCTCTTGATTTTCCTGCTGTGGGTATTATCTCTCTTTTTGTTTTTGGTTGACTTATAATAACATTTTCCTCCATGTTAATATGATAAATTTATTTATATATATATAAATGTATATTATTGATCAGCGAGATATTTTTATATAATCATGAGAAAAAAGCTATAAACCTTTGTATTTAACTCTCAAGAACAGGAAAATATAATCTCGTATTTATTGAAGCTCCTAACTATAATAACGTTATTCACAATAAAATATCTGTAATTTAGGATCTTCAATTACCTATTCTAAGATCTAAGATTAAATGATGATAATCGATAAATTAATAATTACTAAGAGGTTATGGTCTTGACTAGAGCGAATATACATAAAGAAAGTAGAACGAACATTATTTAATGATAAAGGTGCTAAAATTTTTTGAACCTAACGAAATCTTGTTATATTAATGATTTTGATGATAAATAGATTTCTGAAATAATTATTGATCTGAAAGATTATGAATAAGAATAATATTAAGTTATTGGTTCTATTAATATAGGTTCAGAAGAAGGATATAAAATATATTAATTGATTCTGACATATTATTTCCGCTACACAAAGATGAATTATTATTATTCTAAATTGAAGTTAAATTTTCAGAAATTCATAATCAAGTAAGGTTAGTCATGAATATCAAAAAAATGAACAAATAATGATTTAACTCAATTGAATTTCCATTATTTCTTCTATGTCTTAATATATATCCTTTAAAGATGGAATTGATAAAATTTGATTTATAGAAGAACTTAAAGGAATTCTACAAAATAAAACTGTGAATAATTAAGTATTCCAACTAAAGAGCATTTAAGATATAATTTTTTTTAAATATCATATTTAAATTAATGAATAATTTTATTCTATAATTCTTTCATAAATCTTTCATCAAAATCGTATAACTATATAATCCGTCTTGTAAAAAATGATTTTTTAAAATTAGAGAAACGAAAAATCTTTTTTTAATAAATGCTCTGAGAACTTTTTGATTAGACAACTCAAAATGGCTATAGAAGTGAAAAATGCCAATTTGAATTATAAAATGAGTATAATCTATATGCAGTGCAATTATTTACTGATATTTGTGCCTTCCTTAAAGGAAATTAAAATATCATTATAATAAAATTTTTATACAGTTTGCTGATGGGTATAGACAAACAAAACAAAGTTCTAAGTTATTTATAACAATTCAAATATTTATTAATAAACAAGGCGTTGTTGAAAGCTTTCAGGTTTGAAGAATGAAATGATTAAATATAGATTTAGATCTATGGTTTTGTTGATATATTTGAATTCTATTTAGTTATAAAATGCTGATTATTTTTATTTCTCTGATATGCAATTTTACTAATTTAAAAGTTGTAAAATGAGATAGTATAAAGAATTTAATAATAAATTAAATGGATAATAGGTAAGGTATAGAGATGGAGGATGAATTTTATGCATTGTAGAGTCCTTAAAACTTGCTTTAAAAGATTGATTGCTTTGTGACTTTAGGTCAATTTGATTTGGATGAAGATGAAAATGAAAACTTTCCCCAACACATTTAGATTGAGCAGCCAGAGATTAACAATTTTAGGCTGCATAAATTTTTTAATGCTGAACCTGAAGTCAATTAATTTGTTCAAAAGCAATAAGAGGTCCAACATGAACCAAGGATGAAACCTCAACGTAAGATGTCTCAGAGTTTACCCTCATTTATGGAAGAGATAGACACTCTGATTTCTTAGGCAATCGAGAGATAAAATGGATTCTTAGAATAATAAAAATATAATGTAAACAATACAGATTACCTAAAATTAGGATGCATTAAATAATATTGATAATTTTACGTTTTTAGAGCAATCTCTTTCTTAGCCTCAAGTCTTCAAATCCTTTTATTCTCAATACATCCGAACAATCAACAAGTTAAGGATGTATAGATAACAAAAAAGGTATGTGGTATTGAAAAATAATTAGGTTGGATGTTAAGCAATTCATGGCATTTGTATGTTCTTTAGGGATTGAGTTCATTTAAGAAATATTTAACTTAATTCACAAGGCAGATAGTTCATGGTGCTTTGAGCTGCTCAAATAAGAAGGTCTAACACAATAAATTCAAAATGAAAATCAATATCAAACTTTTTCAGATTTTAAATTACAGAAAGCCTAATTCCAGTAGCCTTACTAATAAAAGCAACAATAATAGCAATAGCAATAATAATAATAATAATAGATCGACTCTAACAATGAATAGTTCCAATAATAAAAATTATAGTAAAATTATTAGCCTTCGAATTCTAATTCATTTCATTAATAAAGTGCGTTAAGCATTGTAAATGAGGCAATTGAAAAGAAAGGAAGAAAAACTTGGTCAAATAAAGAAATGGAAACCTTGCAAAATTTTATAAATACTTATTAAAATAGTTCAATTACTAATTAATAGATTTAAGCCTTATCAAAATAGTTGGGGAGAACATGGTATTCTGTTTAATCAAAAATACAGAAATTAAAGAAAAATGTCTAGGATCAAATGAGTGATGTGAGAAGTTAGAGCATGAAGGATGATCCTTCAAAGGAATAATTAAAAATGTAAAGAATCAGCACTAAATATGATTACACTGTGGAAGATATGATCAAGATAACCCTGTAATAATTGGATGGAAGATGTGGCACCAAATAGAAGATTATAGAATCTATAAATCAAAATTTCTTTAATGGATAACTATCTGAAGACTCAGCTTGTTTAAGATCAATCTCAATAACTCTCTCTAATAATCGGAGCTAATTTATTCGGAAGATAAAGGGCTATTTTGGTCTTAACGAGAACTTTTAAGATAGAGGAGAGGATGACAATAAAATGAGGAATAAGTTAGTATGGATTCTATAAAATCTACCAGAACAAAGAGGAACTCTATAATAAATAGTTGCATCCTATACTGAAAACGCATTTCTAGATGAAGTGAATCTTAAGAAGTTATAAAAATAGATTAGCTAAACTTTAAGACTAAGCAATCGCTTTGACAAAAGAAATGCAAAAACCATATACAAAATACAAGAATGAATTGATTAAATTTGTTTGTGAATATGACCAAGTTCAGAAAATTGAGAAATGTTATGTATTTATTATTAATCATTCAGAATTCATTCTAAATTTCATATGTTTTTCTTAATTACACAACACATAGATTATAAATCTTGATTAAGATGATATCAGAAATCTTATATGGCAATAAATAATCAAAATTCATTCCTCTTTTAACATCTCTAGATGCTTTTATGTTTTATCTTAGTTGAAAAAGCAAGTAACAGTTAAGATAACAGTAGATAAGATACACATGAGTCCGAAAGGTAAATATGGATCTATAAAAAATAAAGGAAACAAAAAATAAGGAGATGGTATTGCACCGATCTTCCCTATAGCCTAAACTAAGCCTGAGCCTTGAGATCTTAAATAAAGAGGATATGTTTCACAGCACAACAAGCCAATGGTTGAAAACAGTCCTCTAGTTGAGATTTTTATTATAAACAAGCCTACGTACAAAAAGTTATTCTTGAAAATATATAATGAACCGTTGGCTATAGTGAGTGCAGCAGCTGAAAAGGCCATAATCCTTACTCTGCCTCCATAACGTGGATTGTCAATAAAGTTGTAGAGGATTAATGCAAAGAAAAATTCTATAATGAACATATTCAGCATAGGGGCAAATCCTGAGTTATTCTCAGCAAATAGAAAAGGCATCAGCAAATATATGCTCATATTTTATAAATTAGTGAGAATACAGACCAGCCATAATAATAGCGTTTCTTTTCTATATTCATTTGATAGAACTCCATATACATGCAGTTGTTGCTCTCTCTGTTCCTGGATTTATTTTTGAGCCCATTCCTATAAACCTTTTTTCTATAAAATACAACAATTAATGCCATACATCTTCATCCAAAAACTGCACGTTCTCTCTTCCATTCTCTTTAATGTTGTTTTCAATTTCTTCGAATGCTTTTTGGTATTCCTCCTTATTTAAATGATATCTTATAGTTTCTTTAACGAAAAACAAGGATAGGATAAAAGCACTAGTGATAGGTATAACATTGAATCTAATCAAACCTCTCCAATTGCCAGATGTGTAGCTATCTAAAAAGAAGAAGCAAAGAAAAACCAAATAGATCTTTCCAAAAATATAGAGTAATGATAATCCAAAGGCAAATCTGCCTCTGTATTTGGCTTCAGTGACTTCAGAGATAAAAATATACCCCAAGGGACAAGTTGTACCAAAAACTAAACCAAAGCAAATCCTTAGAATAATCATTTCTCCATAGGAATTGCTAAAACTTGTGTAAAATACCAAAAACGAACTCAAACCTGTGAATATCGAGAAAGTAATCTTTCTGCCTATTCTATCAGCCAAGAATGCACATAGCAAATTTCCCAATACGACTCCAAAAATAAAGGATGATCCCAAAGTTGCAACCTAAGCATTATTCAAATTCCATTCAGATTAGAGAATAGCAATCAAGATTGACATAAATGTATACTCAACTCCATCACAAAATTCGACCAAACCGATAATAAAGAGAGTCCTGCCTTGGTACAACCCAGTTCCAATTTTTGTTTCAAGAATTTGATCAAATGAAATCATTGATAATGAATTATATAAATTATTTATCATAATCCATAGGGATTTTAAGGTACATAAGGTGAAGGCTATCTTGGTTATTGATATAAATTCGGTTAGGGTTGCATTCCAATTTGATTTTATTATTCCTAGGGGGGATATTAGAATTAAGGCAATTATTGATTAACTTACTATTATTGGGCATCATTAATATGTTATCCTAAGAAATTTGTATTTGCGAGACCTTAGACAAATTTTGATTATAACGGAGGTTGTTAAGGAGGGTACATTTATTACTACTATTAATAATTAGGAGGAGGATTAAATTATTGCTATTGCTGATAGACAGCAGGTTATTGAGGAGGGTATTAATTTAATTATGATGTAGGATATTATGGCGGTTATTAGGATGGATATGAAGACTATTGTGGTTAGTATACTTATTAAGTTTAACCATATGGAGGAGGAGGTTGCTAAAATTGTTAGGGGGGTGGTGGCATATTTTGAAATTATTATTAAGGTATTTAAGATACTTATTATTAAAATGGTTATTAATTGGGTGGCATGACCTGTTATTGTATACCATATTGCTATGAATATTGATTGATGTCAAACTATCCTAAATTAATGACTAAATAATGATTGATAAAATTACAATTTTTTTATCCTGGCTTTCTACCAATCAAAAGCATGTAATCAACTAATTGATCTGGTAATTCTTGCAAGACATTTTTGGCTAACAACTCTGGATTGCTTTTAAATTAGTTAAATGGCACAAATTAGACCAAGTCTCTTTGGGTTCTTTTTCCAAAGGAGTCGCGGAGATTACCATCATCATCATCCAATATTGACATATTCGTGAAATCTGCATCTCCAACTCCAACAATTATGATAGATATGGGTAAATGTGAAGATGCCACGATGGAATCAATAGTTTGCTAATGTTTTGAAATAAATAAATACTTTCATATCGTGAATTTCACCGTCGGTTAAAATAAATAATACAAAGTATGTGTTTGTACCCATATCCTTACAAGCTTAGGCTATTTTCATCGACTCTTAAATGATAGGATTAAAATAGGTAGGACCATCAAATTGAACATTCCTTACAGCATAATTATAGGTTTGCATAATTCCATCCATCTGGAATACTTCTGGATTTTGAGGATTTCCATTTAATGGAAAACAATGCAGAGTTTAAGGAGTATTCAAATTTTGGAGTCGTGGTTTACATCCAAAACCAAAGATTGGTACACTTTTGTCATGATCATAATTCAATAAGATCTCACCCACTGCCAGTAATGCTTATTGATACTAATTCATTCTATTATACTGATCATCTATATAATGAAGAGAACTTGGATTTTTGGGGGATTAATTGGATGCTGTGAAATCAATGGCAGCAATTAAGTTTATTTATGTACCACTCTATAAATAATCTAAAAAACTAGGTTTTTCGATTAATTTAAACTAGAATTTAGTTAATAAAGAGTACTTCATTGAAACAGATGAAACCAGACTATTTTTTATTTTTATCCAACAATATTTTTTTCGTCTTTTGCTTATCCTTCATTTCATCCACTGAAAAATCTGTAGAACAAATGTGTTCATGATTTCCTGAAGTTCTGTAATCCCACACTTCAATTCTAATAGGCATAAGATAATCTCCATTGCACAATTTCTAAGCTTAGATGTCCACTCTTTTCCAAATAGGCTTTAAATTAGATTTAATAGGTTCACTCTCATAAACTAAGAGTGATTAGTTTGTATCCTTTCTAATTCTATAAAGTCTGTAAAAGGGGGATGTGGAATGCCAAGGTAGAAACCTCGTATTTGGTAAGTTATCGGCACCTAATGAATTTAAATAATTAGAATTTACTTATTTACATAATTATTTTATCATTTATCATTCTAACCTAATCTGCTCTAACTACCAGTACTCCTGTTTTCTTCTGCCCATTACTTAAATTTAACATTGCTAACTAATCTCTAGCTCCTGCTATGTTGGCTAGTGTAGTTTCTGCACTTCCAATAAACTATATGTTTTAATTTAGAATCTACATCATATTATCCATGTCCATCGTCGTCATTACATATGAATTTTAGTGGTTATTAACATTCGAAGTAGTATTCTATTAGAAATGACTTTGAAAAGTTTGGATTTAAGTTATCTTGAATGATTTCTGTTCTTCCCACTTCAGACCATTGGTTATTTCTTTTCACATACATTATCACATAGGGATCGCTTTTTGAAAAAGTATCCATGTTTGCCAATCCACGACAACTGATGAACAATTCTAATTTCTATTGAGATTCCACAGTGCTAGCACTTCTTCCATATAAGTCATTCATTATTAAATATTATATATAATTGTGATTATTACATAACAAAAACCAAGTTTATTAAAATTTATCAAAATAATCAAAAAAAAAAGCTAAATCAAAGGGTTTATTATTAATTTTATATTTATGTTGAAAAAGTACTCTTCAATAGCCTAGATGCAACAAGATGGTGTCAAATCTGATAGGTAGTATCCCGTTTTGAATAAGATTTCTGTTTGCATATCGTAACAATGTCTTTGATCTAACACATTTTGTAGATGATCACCCTGGAGGAAGGTTCTCTCTCTAAACCTTCAAGGGCAAAGACTTAGAGAATGTACCTTCATTTATTTTCAATTTAGATTCTATTTAATGCATCCATCCACAGACACTAACCCTCAGTACTCTCTTCTCTTGAGCAATATAAATGTGGTGTAATTGAAATCAAAAATCCTTAAGACACTAAACCTAAGCCCTAAGTTACTGCTACAACCAAATCCAACACTCCTTCAAAGAATGACCAAATCTGCAAAACCTAAATGTCAGACGACAAGACCAATAGATCAAACATCACCTCAAAATCTAAAGTCAGTATTTAATAGTAGAGCAATATATTATCGACTGATTCTAATTAGGTAAAGAAATCAAACTTAAAATAAAATTCAAAAACCAAATCTATCAATAAGACTGAAAATATTATTGCAGAATCAACTACAACAATTAAATCTGATCGAAATATCTTAAATCAATAAAAGCTTTAAGAAACACAACAAACCTAACTTTCAAAAAGTTCACTTTCTTTAGCTTCTAATCAAAAAATTTCACTACTATCCCCACAGATTATTCATGAAGAAGATGAATCTCAACCTTCTCCACTAAATAATAATGTAGAAAAATTTGAATGCGGATTTATTCCAGAAGACATAGTGAATTTACAAGTTCCCATTTTAAATTACTAACTTACTGGATATCTTAGGTTGAAACATACCCTTTAAAATTGATATTATTTAATTGTATTTGATAATCTTGTTTCTATTTTGACTAAACCTAACTCAAGTGATTGCGTAAAATTTATTGTGGACCAACCCTCACTTAGCCAAAGAATGACTTCAGTTAGTTTAGCAGTTATTTTATAATTATCGGGTTTATAATTATATTATAAATTATTTGAATAAAACAATATGTCTCATTAAAATAAGTGAGATAATATAGAATCGCATTGTAGTATATCCTATACGATAGGCTTGTATTGTTAACAATTTACTTTTTGTTACAATATTTATCGAAGAAGATGAACAAACTCTAAATAACATAATTTAAATAAAATACATGCATCTGATTTTGAATTTATTAGATCGATCATCTTTTAGTCTCTAATCATATAGAAATTAGTAGAGTTTTGGATAGATATGAGTTATTGGTTGATTTATGATTGAGCATTTGGATTCATTTTGAATTGGGTTGAGAGGATTTTCAAAATTGCCCATCGAAGACAAATGTCATTAACCTTAGTCTCAAAATGTTGTAAGTTTTATGCAAAATTGCTTAAGAAGTTAAATTCTGATTAGGAAATGATTTGAGTATTTTAATCGGTTGAAATCATTGACAATAATTATTCAACAGTGAATCTCGTCTTAGGATTTGGATCAAGCATTCCTTTAAGCAAGGGAATGAATATCGATTAAGGTATTCTTAAGACTGGATTATTGACATAATTTTGTATTATTTTCTTTAACTCTGATTCTTTGCCATGATAAAATGGTACGTTCCCGTATATAAGTTCATACATAGTAATTCCGACAGACCAAATATCAGACTAAAAGCTGTACACGTCGTTGATCAATGATTCCGGTGCCATATAGAGTGGAGTGCCAAATGACGATTTTTATAACTCCAAAGAATTGATATTTACACTAAAACCAAAATCAGCAAGTTTAGGTATACAATTATGCATCATAATATTTGGAGGCTTGATGTCTCTGTGTATGATATCTATTGATTTTAAATTATATTTACTCCTAGATTTTAGTTCCTTTAATGCCTACAGTAATTGATGGAAGATCCTTAACAATTATTAATCTGATCGATTCTTTACGAATCTCAACTCTCCTTCGTTACAGTATTCAGTTACGATGTATTGATTGTTTGGAGTGTAAATGTAGTTGATATACTATAAGATGTAAGGAGAATTGAGCTTCTTTAATGATTCAATTTCATTACTCAACATTTGTCTTGAGAAATTTGAATTCAATTTCGAATTCTCAATAACCTAATCATATTGTAACAAACTCTATTACCTTAATTGCTACTTCTTATCCAGATCTTCTGTCTTGCCCTTTAAATACAGAACTGTATTCTCCTTAACCTAAACAGTCTTCTAAATGATATTCGAAATCATTTATGATTTTTTTTGGCGACGATTTGCCGTGCTGTTATATATTTTTTGGAGATAACAAGATTTCTAACATTAAAGTTTTAAATTTTTATTTATAATTATTTACCATTTTGATGACATTTTAATTAAAAATGAATCAACCCCTTCGATCTTCTATCCAAATCAATCAATCTACTGATAAGCTACTGACTTTATATAAAAAACATCATTGAACATTAAGTGTTCCATATCTAGTACACCTTTACCTGAAAAATTAAGCTGAACTTGGTTTTTGATCAGTGTATTTTGACTCATTTAAAATATGGCTCATATTTTTAGGGGTAAAATAGCATCTACCTAATTTATATAACTTTCTGATATTCCAATTAGAAATATGATCTAAACATAAATAAACGACACAATATTTTTATTCATTTTTTATAAACTAATTCATACTTTAATTTTTTTCAATGGCAACATCATTCTTGTCCATATAACCTATTTAAATTGATTTGGTAGAAAGAGATTTTTGTTCCCTATTCAAAGATGCAAAAATTTAATATCTTATTTTAACTATTTTTTGATTAACTTAGGCAAGGTTTTTTTAAAACTCGATTAAGGAATAAGAATCAACAGTTATAAATAATCTTTAATAAAGTTTAATGTTAACAAATTTATGGAAAGAACGATCAAATAACCAAAGTAAAGCATTTGTCTTTTAGTTTCATTAAAATGAATTCACATATTTACAATGAATTAATTTTTTTTGGACGCTATTATTTATAATTAATAAAGTGTCAAATAAGATTAACAGAGATAGTCAATCTAAAGAAGCAATATAAAATTAGGAGTTAAAATAATAAACTACAAAGATTTGTAATATTCAAAGTAAATAGCCATATGTTTATTTATCATAACAGAAAGAAATAAACTTGGCTCTTTTTGAAAGACATCAAATTTTAGGAAAATTTTAAATTTATTCGTTTTTATTTGAAACAATAATTTGAATCACTTTTATATTACAAAATATTATATTTCAAATTATCTTATTGATGACAATATATATTAATGTATATCACTAATTTGATGCCAAGGGCTTAAATAATTCCCTTTATCCTCTTTTTAATGAATTGGAAAATTTAACTTTTTTCCCAAAAAGAGTTTATTTGCTTTATTTATTTTAATTGACTTAATTCAGCCTTTCCTTAGTTAAATTCGATTATCCATATTAGATATCTGAATTGGAACCTTGATTACTACTACAAAAACAAAGTTTTGGTGGAGGAGAGTAACTTTTTTGATTTGATTCAACTTCATTTTATGCAATTTTCGCATCCCAAAATGTAATGGTTTTACATCTTTTATGTTATTTTATTTTATTTATTATTGGAATGGGAGTAACTCCAGTTGACTATTTTGAATAATATGGGGATTTCTTAATACTTTTCGAATCACATATGCCCATTTATATCAAAACTTAATTGAAATTAATATAATATTCTAATTAGTTAAGAATGAAGACATTTCCACTACCTAAATATAGATCATGTTGAAGAAGTATAAAAACAACAATTTAGAATAATTAATTATTTTGATTTGAATATAAACATAAAACTCCTTCATTATTGTTTGAAACTAATTTCATAATCTTGGAACCCATTCTTTTTTGCTTCTTCTAAATATTTATATAGTAATGGCCTTGACACGTTATCAATATATAAGGATGTTAAATATGTGTACATAAAAGTAACACCAGAAGCAACTAGCAATCCCAAATATAAATGCTTATAGTGATTGAGATGTTCATATGTAGTAGTGTAGTATGGTTTCATAACATATTTTAAAAGCAATTGAAAACCTCCTATGGTCCCTAATAATGTCCCTCCTAGACCAAATGCAAAATAGGCAGAATATTTGGAGATTCTAAATTAATCATCCTCCTCCAAATGGACATACTGTTTGACTGAATTGAATTTATAAAATATTTTTGATTCATACGGGTGATCTATAAAGTTATTACCATAAGGATTCAAAGGATGATTCTCACTCATAAATGGTGTTTATGATCTTAGAGCATTATTATTATTATTTTTATTCATAATAAAAATATTAATAATGACAATAAATCTATGAAAATAACTGATCTCATGATTCGATTTCTGTATGTACAAGCAAAGTTAAATGAGTATCTGAAGTAATTTCATACTCTTTCAACTCCGCCTCGTCATCTAACAATGTTTTTTCAAGAAATAATGAAGATCTCTCTGATTCAATGCCACATTTTGTTTTAACCTCCTCTATTTTCATGTTGGGCTTAGCTTTAATGTAATACATATTGTGATTTTAGTCTTGTATTGTTAACATCAATAGTTATCGTTCTTTACGAGATCCACAAAGCAAGCAAAAAAAGGTTCTGAGAATGCTAATCATTAAGAAATTATTATTATTATTAATCTGAACTCCTCATCAATACCATTTTTGATAAATAATTCAATAAAAATCTGAGGATTACAAGAAAAAATAACTATATTCGTTATGGCGTTTTGAGTATTAAAATATTAATAATGAAATTTGCAATGCAATACATTTTATTTATTGAAGAAGAAATAGTTAAAAGCAAAAATATATTTATATAAAGAGCATTAAGTAAAAGTATAGTGGAATAGAGAAATCATTTTAATTATGACTTTCTTCGTTTATCAATGAATGCAATTACAATTAACTAATAAATAGGGTTCTGAAAAAACAGCTGATTAGATTAGACATAAAAACAACGAAGTTATTTAGCAGTAGCATTGGTAACAAAATAGTTCTGAAATTATTTATTTGAGTGTTTGGATATATTATAAACAATCAGAGTTACTTCTTTATGGACTATAGTTTCTTCTATTTCTATTTATCTTTCTACACCGATCTTAATTGTTTCTTAGATTTCTTAAGTTCATGCTCAATTTCCTTTTTCCTAAAGACATCCTATTTTTAATTTGGTTTGTTACTTCATATGCATCTGACTTGGTAGCCTCAATGATAGGAGGAATAATTGAATCTCTCTTTTTTAATTTTCTCAAGGCCCAATCCTTTTTATTTTCATCCCAAACCATTCGACTATAAAATTTAAATTATGGACAAAATACTTTTTTTTCTTTTTAGCAAATTTACTATCCTTTACTTTTTAAATATATGTCTGCTATCTTGGTAGAATAATATTCTCTTTATCGTATGGAAGATCAGTTTCCTATTAGCCTTCAATTAATCTTTGCGACACATATTTCAGCTACTCTGAGACCTTATCCGCAATAATGTCAAAATCGTATTGTTCTACTGTCTCCAAGGCTGTTAAAGTAAGCTTCGGTTTATCAAATAAGATGTTAATATTTGAGGTCATTTTAGGACTTAAATAAATAATAAATAAAATGAATATAAAGTTAATTTTCATATTTTTAGTGTTACTTACACAAGGAGCTTTCGGTATATAAATATAATAGGAAAAGGTGTGGTAACCAAGGTGACAGAATGCTAGGCTAAATGTGATAAATAAGTGAATGGATGCATCTACTCATGCGCATAAACATAGTTGCGATAATCATTACTCACTTAAGAAAGATGTTAAAAATTATGCGCAGGAGTAAATAAGGAATGCAAAAATACAAAATGCTACTTAGATCCTTGACTAGTTGTTTAACATGTTTTAAAAAACGTATTATATATATTCTCTAACCCCTTTAATCTCTTATTAATTTATTGCCTCAACCAAAAAGGTGGAAAATACACCAATTTTATATGATTTTCCCTTTAAACACACTAAATTTGTACTAATACACAAATTAAATCCTAAATAACATGCTTTTATTTCTATTGATACATATTTTAAATACTGATCTATTGCAAGTCTAAATAATTAAATTTTTCAGCAGAATCGTAAACATTCATATTCAGAATAGTCTGAGAATTTTTTACAACAATTTATTCATTCCAACATTGTGACTCATCTAAATCTGTCCACATCATTTAGTAATTAAAATTAACTCATGCAATTCAATTACCACATTATTTTTCTATAAACAATTATTTATATATGCTTATTTTTTTCAATTCTTCCCTTACTTTAAAACCAACATTAATAACAGAGAGATACTAATAATATAAGAAAGATTTAATAATTGAAGGTTTGTTTGAATTAAATAAGGGCTTTTAAAAGCTTATATATCGATCAAAGTCCTCTAATTGCTTCTGGACAAATTGTCACAGCTGAATGTTTAGAAGGTATAGGAGCTCTTAGGGTTCAGATTTGAATTTATTAAAAAGCATATTCCTGCTGATGTTTATTCAAAGGCTTATTACTACGCTCTATATAGCTGACACAGCTTTATAAAATGTAGCATTAAACAACAATTTATTCTATTTGTTTTTGAGAGATATAAAGTATTAAAATAGAGAGCTTAGCTCAGTTGGTAGAGCGAGAGACTCCATATCTTTCGGTCATGTGTTCGATCCACATAGCTCTTCTTTTTTTATATTATTATAGTATTAAATTATATATTTATGTACAACAGTAGTATTCAAAATACAATAATAATACCCTTTTTATTATTAATAAACACTTATATATATATATTTATTCATTTAACTCATTTTTAAATCATAATCCACTTTAACTAATATAATATAATAATCCAACAATTATAATAATTCACCTACCTCTTTATTCTACACGATTATTTTGGCTAAGACTCATTTAAAACATAACATATAAAAATTTGGTTCAATTCCTTTTGCAATATAATTCTTTTCAATGAGTTTTCGACTTCAAAGTGTTTACTAATTTCTTTTAACAACACCAATAACAAAGAAAGGATCATTTACTATTTGGGTCTTAACATTTTAAGAAGGTATAGACTAATAGCATAAATAAAAAGGGAAGAATTGATTAATTTCAGAAATAGTCGCCTTTTATTCAATAGGGAATTAAATGAAGAGTAGACATCCAATTAATAATTTGGACAAGAAGAAGAATATAAATGACTTTTAATCAAAACTAAATTAAAATTAACAACAAAGAAATAGTTTTATTGAAATCTAATTATACACTTTATGTTATGTTATAAGTAAAATAAATAACTCTATAAAACAATTTTAAGTTCATTATGCACTAGTCAAGGTTGTACTTCCTTTTAACCGACGATTTAAAATTGGATTTTTGTATGCATTATAGGGGATATCAATAGACGTTCTCTAGTTCAAAATTTCTTCTGGGCAAGGAGAAGTCCTCATTTATTTTACTACATAATCTAGTTCCCCTTCCTTTGCTTGCTTTTCTTTCTTGTTACTCATGCAAATTCCCATTTAAGAATTATTTTAATTTTTTTAATTGGGTATTAACGAAAGAATATTTGTAAGAAAAAAATGCCAAATAAACGCAATTTACTTTTTGTTAAATCTAATAAATAGGGCAGGTCTAATTCAATCATATTTTTTTTAAAATATCCTCTCTTTTTAAAGTCTTTTACAATAATATATAAAATGATAATCAACTTATTCTTATCTAATGTAGTTAGCCTTTATTAGAGTAGGAATAAGAATGTAGTCTAAAAATAGTAAAATTGTTAGTAAATAATAATAAAATTAAATAACTATTAATATTTTTCTTTATTACCTTACTCTTTTGGAACATTACCTCAAATCATGACTGTTAATAATTATTTCATAACAAAACCTTTTATATTATTTAATATGGAATTAATTAATTAATAAAAATATATATTTTACAGAGATTAATGTAATTTTATACCACTTATAACGTAAATAAATCAATTAAGGAACATTATCTCATTCTGATTAAGTTTATGGATTTGGTGAGGTTGGAATTTCTTTCAATCTCCTGTTGAGGATTGGATTTTTATAAGGATTTAAATGGGAGGATTAGCTTGCTCTCTGTTACAAGATTATATTGCAGTCTTGAGATAGTCTAACTTGTGCTACAACTTATTATAATTGACCATCATTTGTCGATTTTTTCTATTTTTGAGCAGCACAAGTTCCCATTTAAATATTAATATTAAAGAAGATTTTGAGCATTTTGAGATATTTTTATAATTAATTACTTTTAGTCATTCAGACGCTTAGATTACATCAAAATAATATTCAATATTTCTTTATAATAATAATCAATTTTTTCCATGAACAAAACTATAGAAGGCATCTTCATCATCTTTATTTTTAAATGGTCCTGCAATAAAATTTATTGTTAAAACTTCAGAGAAACCTTCATCTTTAGTGGGTGGTGTAACTTTTGAAAAGATCATGTTGATGGGCATCTTTCCTACTTTTTTTGAAAAGTGCTCTCTAAAATTATTAGTATCTCTTTAAGTATCATTATGAAGACATAAATCTTTAGAAACTTCTAAGAAAAAACCCCTAACTGGATATTTATTATCCTGAGCTAATTTTATAAATGCTGCTCTATCATCTGGAGTTGGATTTGTGTTGTCAATTACTAAATATTTCTTTTCTTTAATTGCTTGCTCTGCAACTTTAAGGCATTTTTCTTTAGTTTTCAAAGAGTCTCTGTTAACTCTAGTATAATCATTTAAATGATTGTGAACAAAGGTTGATTTGCCAGATCCAGGTGCTCCTATCATGATGATCACTTAAAATATTGATACTATTTACTTTCTGGTTTGTCAGGTTTAGTAAATTTATTAACTTTGCTTTCCTTAAATAAGAATCCCTCCTTAGGAATGCTCTTTGGATTGAATCCTAGTTATTTCGAATAATCTTCATTTAGATCATCCTTTAGGAATAATTGCTCTGGAGTTCTAAATATCAGTCCTAAATTTAAAGCAAATTTCCTAAAATAATCATTTCAAAAATATATACAAGTCGGTATCTGTAAAGTCTTTAGTTTTTCCTTTAACTCTTCCTGCAGCATCTCCACAGTAAATACTTTTTGCCATATCTGCTTTAGTTCCAGTTAATTCCTAAAAGTCTTTCCACATATCTTAATTTAATTTTAATTAGTACCTACTCGAGGTTTTCTGTAGTTGTCATCACTTGAAGCTATGAATGCAGCTAATGGAATTTTGAGTTCTTTTTATAAAGATTCAATTTTTGTTTTTATATCAGATTCTTTTGTGTGTCCCTTTTCAATACCATTCTGGTTTGTAAATATTACTATAGAGTATCCTTGTTTAAAGTAATCTTAAATTGTGGGGATTACTTTTGGATTCCACCATTGCCAATCATTAGCATCCTTTGCAAATTTCTTTCCAGACTTAGTTTTAATCAAGGTTTCATCCATATCAAACCCTAAAACCAAAGGTTATGGTTTAAATTCCTAGTGTAAAACATTACTAATACAATTGTCCCATAGATAAGAGTGCCTTTCTTATTCCAATCCCAATCTGAAGCTTTTTTTTATTTCATTTAAATAATAATAAATTTGTATCAGAATTTGTTATAAGGCTCAAAAATTTCAATATTTATTTATGTATTCAATATATATTTATTTGATTATTGAACATTAAATAATGATCATGAGCAATCATTTTTCATTCTCTATAAAATTGAATTGATCTAATACTCCTATTCTTAGACGATATTTAGAATTATAGCCAACAGAAATTTTGAAATGTTTAATGGGTGAAAAGATTGAAAAGTTAATTTTGGTATAAAATATACACCTATATCATATTGATGCTCTATCTCCAAACATAAGATGTATGAAATTATTTGATAATTCTTGATTTTATTTATTTATAAATTTCATGATCATTTTGGGCTGCTCAGTTAATTCTTAACAGATTGTACATCTTTCAAAACTGGACACTTTAGGTTGGTATTTGCTTCAAAATATGGTTGATTTCCATTTAAAAAATATACTGCTAATAATGCAGTGCTTCCACTTAAGATTGCTAGTATAGGCTTCATTATTTTATATTAAATAATTATAGTATTTTTAAATCGAAATAATAATCGAAACTATCTGCAAATATGTATATGCAATATAGATGTCAGAATTCTAACATTTTGAATTTACAACCAACCAATCTATAATAGGATTTCATTATTAGGTGATGTCTAAATAATTCTTAAGAAAAAGTAAAAAAATCAGCAACATTTTTATAATAGTTTGTCAAATGCTATTATTAATTAGGATATCATCATCAAGGGGGTCATAAAATATATTATTGAAGTATTATTATGTAAATTAAATGGAATTCAAAATAATAAAAATTATGAAATTCAATTTTACATTAGAAAGAGAGAAAATTTTTCAATTATCAGTAATCGATTTTGAGGAAAAGATAATCCAATTTAGATTTAAACAAAAGAACAAGTAATCTGGTTTTCTTATTATATTTACAATAATGATAATACGAATTAAAATCACTAAAGATATTTATGGAAAAAAAGCAAAATATTTAGAAATAATTTTTATTGCTAATTAATAATGTCTGCATCTAAAATCTTTTATTCGCCTTCACGTTCTAACGTTTCAAATGTTTAAGCTTATGGAGGAGACAGAGCTTTGTCACCCAGCAGAGCCAAAATCTCTTAATTATCAGAAAAATTATCTAATCTATAGCATTCAATTGACGAAGATTAGGCCGTAATAATTTATAACTAAGAATAAATAGTTTAAAAAGGAGACATTCGAGAGCAAAGTAAAGATATTGGAAGACAAGGCTACTAAATAAGCTTAGGCAGACGACTCAAAATTTAAGTTATTGAAGGAATAACTTTAAAAAGTTGAAGAAGGAGCTTAGAATGAGAAAATAATAAGAGAAGTAATTATCAATTATTATGCATAGGCTGGAGATGAGAAATTGAGATCTAAAGATTTGAAGAGTTTGGAAGGCTTCTTAAACAGGGAACTATAATAAGAAAAAGTAAACAGGAAGGATTTCGAAGGGAAAATAATCAAGAATACTGATGATAAAGTTTATAGCTTGAGATTGGATTTAGCTAGATAGAAAAAGTATAGAGAGGAAACAGAAGAGAAAAACGCTTAAGAAATTGGGGATCGAGTGTTGTAATTGTAAGAGGAAGTTGAAGAGGAGAGAAGACAAAGGTAATTTTTATTTTTCTATTCATATAGAGAATAATAAAACCAAGATACTATCAAAAGATTAGGGGACTCCATTCTCAAATTATAAGAGATCTTAACTACTGAGAAGAAATAAAGAGAACAAGCCTAAAGTTAAATGTTCAGAATGTTAGATGAAATGAATCACTATTTAAATGGTGAATTATAAAGTGAGAAAAATGAAAGAGAAGCAACTGAAGAGAGTCTTATCAACTTAATTGATTAAACATGCAACAGAGTTGAAAATTCATTAAGAAAATGAGATATTAATACATTTATTTTTATAGTATTAAATAATATTAATCAAACAATCCATCTTTTTTATTGCTTATACTAATATTGTTAGAAATTATTAGATAAAAAAAAGAATAAATTAAAGTTAGATGCAAATTATTAAATAAAAATAAAATTGATTATGCATGGACAACAAATTTCATTCTTTTTTATTGGTATATTTTAATAATGGATTATCTTATTATTACATTTATTGGGGAATATTTCTAAAAATATAAATGGTTTTTATTTACTATTTAAAGCGAGAAGGTTTAATCTAAGGGGAAGCTTAGAAAGTGTTTTGTTATTTAGCTTATGGAAGTCCAATATTAGGGATAGAATCAACACTGTCCGTTTTTCCAGTAAATAATGGGGAGTTCATTTGTAACGAGTTCTAGGAATCAATATTTTTTTATTATTTCAATTGCTTTGTTGCTAGCACTCCAGGGGAAGACTAGGGAGAGTTAATTAGTTAATTCTTTCTCAAAGCATCAAATTTAACGGATCTTTTATGAATACAATAAATACTCTTCGTTCAACGCATTCATTCTCGAACATAAATCATTTTCTTCCCCTTCCTCAATGAAATCATTTTGATTATCCTCAAGCATTATTTAGTTCATTTCTTACAGAAATGGATGCAACAAGCATTGATTGGATGTTATCCTTTTTTAAGGATCCTTCTCAAGCATTTTTTTTAATAGATCAATAGCAGAGATAGGAGCATTTTATAACTGCTTAATTGAAAAATCAACATTGGCTTCTCTGTTTTGTTTAACAACCGTTGCATAACTTTTACCAGGAAACGGTGGTTTACCAGTTAATAATAAGTAAAATACTAAGCCAAGACTATAGATGTCACAAACTGAACTATAGTGACCTTTCATATCTTTCATGTTGATGACTTCTGGGGCAACATAGCCTGGGGTTCCACATCTGCAATATAAATAAACATGTTCATTTACATGTGTAGCTAAACCAAAATCAGCTATTACCACCGAATCCATTTTTCTATTATTATGATTAATACAATACTTTGATTATTTAAATAAAATATTTTCTAATTTTAAATCTCTATGCATAATTTCTTTCTGATGCATTTAACACAATCCTTATAAGATTCCTACCAATATCTATTATATTTATTTTGTTGAAAGAATTGCCTTTTCCTTAATCAGATCATAGAGTGAGCCTCCTTGCAGCAATTCTAATCCGACATACAATGAATTGCTGGTTTCGTAGATTTCATACATTCTCATTAGATGAGGATGATTTAGTTTTCTCATGATTGTTAATTCATTTACAATAGCCTATTTTCCATTTTCCTCTGCATAAGCAGCTTATTTTGAAAAAGCCTTGATTGCCATTTAGACACCGTCTTCTATTCGTTCAGCCAAGTAAACCTAATGAGTTTATAAATAAAAGAGTACAGATGCAAAGTTGCCTTTTCCAATTTTTTTGAATACTCTAAAAAGTGAATGAAATTGCCATTAATTGATTCTGGATTAAAAGAATTCCCTCCATTGCATTATTATTTTATCATTCCCTTACAATTTATAGGTCGGGTGTTCTGCTTAACCAAAATCTCTCATCAACATCATTCCAACAATCTGACCAAGGGAATCATCTTCTTCATCCTTTTTGTTATATTTGTGTTCTTATGATTTCAAATTTTGTCTCGAAATCCAGTTTCAGATATTTGCAAGGTGTCTGATCATGAGACTTAAGAATAGGATAAAACTGGAATACTTTTGCAAGAAGAATGTAGTGATCGTATCCATACAAGACTCTAGGTTTGTTCTTTTTGAGTTTAATAAATTCAGATTTCAAGATGGGCTTTTCATTTTTCCACTTTATATCATTAGGAATTTGGATCCAAAGTTTTTAATTCATAATAATAATAATAATTTATAACCAGTTTAAACATACTCTTTAAAATAAGATTGTTTCGATTACTTATTCAATTTCCAATCTTCCACTCTTTTCCCTTCTTGACTATTTTTATTGAATCTCCCCCATATTCTTTAGTAATTCATCTTAATTCCTTAATTTAGTTGATATCTCAATTTTATTTCAAATCCTTTTTAATATTCAACTACTTGTTTTTAGAGTATTGGATGATAATGAATCCTTTCTAGAAATTCAACTACAAGTTTGCGAATTTATACATAAAGATACTAAATTTAGATTAAATATGGACAACGTTTATAATTAAGAATGAAAACATCATTTTATTTTCAATTATTGCTAGAGGTAGACTAAAGGTTTTCGGCAATGTTTCTATTGTAAAAAAATTGCCTATTTTTAAAATCAACATAAATTCTCTTTTTCAATAATTAGGTTATCATGAGAAACCAAAAAAATTTGTAATTAAATTTAGTATTGTCTATAGTTTCATTTGATTAGATTAATTATTTGGATTAAAGAGAAATACAAGTAAATATTTGTTTAATCAGATGATCTAATAAAACCAGTGATTAGATATTGGCAATATTCTTTATCAGTCCTTAACTATTGAACAACTGCTAAACCCTTCATTCATTATATGGATAATAAGAATTGTGAGATATTAAGGATATTAAATAGTAATTTTATTTAGAATATATGAGCAAAGGAAGTTAAGTTTATTCAGTGTTGCAAGTGATAGTTAAATATTAAGTTGACATTTCTCATCAATAGCCTACATTTATTTTATGTTATATAAATTATTATTTTACTTATATAAAAAGCCATTATAATGTTAGGAGGACTTTATGGATTAAATTTTAAGTAGCATTCGTATCTTTTTTTATGCTTAATATTACCTACAATCATTACAGGATTTGGATTATTTTATTTAGATGAGGCACTGACAACTTTGTGTGTTTTGTAATTTTTCTACGTTATAATACCTGCAATTTATATACGGTATCTCAGCAAAGAGGGCGAACTAAGAGGTAATAACTGTGAATATGTAACAAATAGTTTATTTCATAAATGAATTGGAGGGAAGATAAGAATAGATCAAGAGAGGACTCTCATTATTTAGAAGTGCTTTTGGAATGGTACTATTGTCATTAATTTTCACATATTATTGGGAAGAGGAGATCATGGATTATTTGAGGATTCCTCTATTGGAACATCCTGCTTATATCGGAGCATTCATGTTGGTTTTGATTATCTGCAACCCATTTTTAGAGGAATGGTATTGGTAATGAATTGATATTAAGTAAGGCGATTGTTTTTGATGAAAACCTACAAGGAAAGTGAGAAGTATAGATTTATAATAAATCTCTTTTATGCTTTGTTCCATTTCATTATGTTATTTAAGATATTTAAATCAGATTGGGAATTCGCAATTGGGTTTTCAACATATTTTATGTCAATTGGGGGATCCTTCGAACATATCAGAGAAAAGTACGGGTTCATCACTTGTCTGATGGCTCACTATGGGATGACCTTGGCTGCTTCACTAGCTTTATTAGTTGTATATAAATCATAATTGTAATGATAATTAATTAATAATGGAATCTAAAGAAAAAATCCTCTCTTGCTTGAATATCCTTAAACGCTTGCCACCAACTCAAATCTAAAAGAATGCTGCAGCACTAGCATCTTTGATTCCAGATTATGCGGAGGAATTATACTAGAAAATAGACAAGCCTTTAGGTATGAGAGAAATGACAATTTAGATATTGGATAGGATGAAAAAGGGAATCAATATATATAATCCGAATTCAATAGAGATGGAGACTCATTCAGATCACATGTAACCAATTAATACTACCCTCAAATTGATGACGCAGTTTATCCCTCAGATGCACTACGTAAATTAGAAATAAAAGCCAATGCTGTCTTTGACGAATATAGAAGATTGTATATATATTATAAACATCTAAAGATATTACGAAGGAGGATTGTCATCATGTTATTTTTGGGATAAAGAGGATGGTGGATTTGCTACAGCTTGGTTGATAAGGAAAAATGTAGAAAAGAGCAAGGGAATTGAGGATGGATCTTGGAGTTCAATTAATGTAATTGATATTAAGACCGATGGAAAATCTAAGTGGACTTATAAGATAACTACCTCTGTTGTTTTGGAAATGAATATCGTCTAAAATCAAGATGTTGGCAAATTCAATATTACAGGCACATTAACCAAATAAGTACTCATCATTATTGATTTTTTTAGAAGGAAGAATCTTTTGAGGCTCCTGCAGGTAATAAGGATTTAGAACTGTTCCACATTATGAAAATAGGAACCTTAGTTGAAGACGTAGAAAGTTACCTCCGTTCTTAATTGGATGGTGTTTATTTTGGCAAAACCAAAGATGTATTTCTCTATATCCAACTATTTAATAGATAGTCTTCTAAACACGATTCATTGAAGGAGAAAAGCATTTCATCTAACAAAGATAGGGATTGGCAGGAGAATTTAAATAGAAATATGGATGATATAATTGAATTCAATAATGAATTTATTAAAAATAATATTGAACCATTTCTATTGACATCTGAAATATTTGATATCACTTGATATGGATATGTATATTCTTTACAATAAAACTTAAGATAATCTAGTTGATGTTTAGACTGAAATTTAAACAATCCCTTCTTTATTCCAATCACAATCATGAATTCAATTATAAATTATATTATCCATAAATTATTGGCTCCCCCTTTCAATAAAAATCTATAACAATAACTCAACTAGATGTTAATGAAAAATCTGAATTTTTTTAACCACTCTATTTGAATGTGATAATTTTCTAAGATATAATCTATTTTATTTAAAAACATTTTAAATAATAGATAATTTATTCAAAATAGTCGTATAGAATAAAGAGATAGGTGAATTATTATTATTGTTGGATTATTATATTATATTAGTTAAAGTGGATAATGATTTAAAAATGAGTTAAATGAATAAATATATATATATATATAAGTGTTTATTAATAATAAAAAGGGTATTATTATTGTATTTTGAATACTACTATTGTACATAAATATATAATTTAATGCTATAATAATATAAAAAAAGAAGAGCTATGTGGATCGAACACATGACCGAAAGATATGGAGTCTCTCGCTCTACCAACTGAGCTAAGCTCTCTATTTTAATACTTTATATCTCTCAAAAAGTAAATCATAAAAATAATCCTTTGATTTTTACAACAGTTTTAATTGACTCTACTAAATATCAAACATTTTTTGAGATCAACATGGAATAGTTCATTTAATTTTTTGATCAAAACATGTATATTCGAATTGATTTGACTAGCTCTTTCAATCTTTAATTGCTTAATATTCCTACATTATCCTCAAATTTTCAATATGCTCCAACTTCAAATCAATTTTAGGGTATGATATATTGGCTATTTCAAAGATAGGATCGAAAGGTGCTTGAACTTTGTGAAAGAAGATGTCTTAGGAAGCTGGATTACATTGATTTTAAAGTAATTAGAGCATATACATTAAAAATAGGATATAAAATTTGTCACTTTTATAAAGTTCAAAACTTATCCGCATCATTAAATAGTATGCGTAACATCAGAAATTAATTTATTTTATTTATTGATTCCAGTATGAAAAAATGATGATTGTGTTTTATTTTATGATATATCATGATACTCAATATTTGTAATCAGCCACAAACAAGGATTCGTTGGATGCACCACCTTATCCACCTTGATATTTTCCTATTTTTATAATTTTTAATAAAATACCTAATTAAGCTTCACTGTTAGCCTTAGCTCTGGTTAATAATGCTTATTAAGCAACTTCCCAATTTTCTTATTTGCCAGCCCATGTCTTAACAGCAGTGTTTTGGAGTGCTCTGCCATAAGAGAAAGTCAAAGCCCATGGTTTTCTGACTGTGGTCAATTAATTCATAGCATTCAAATTCAAAGAAGCTTCTTCCTCAGATTGTCCTCCTGAAAGGAACTAAACACAATTAATAGGTTTTAATTACTGTGACTCCGACAAGAGCAGGTGGAACTGTTCTGCTCAAGGCCAAAGCTGTTCTGTATCCAATTTCTTATGGTGTGACTTTGCTTCTGTCTGCATTGGTTGATCCTGGTGTAACCATATTGGGTTTAAGGAGACATCCCTCTAAGAAGATGTTGTTTTCATTCAAAGCCTTGAATACGGCAGCCAAAACTTTTTCTGTGACCTTTTAGCAGACTTCGATTGAATGATCTCCATCGGCCAAGATTTCTGGTTCGACAATAGGAACAAGTCCATTTTCTTAGCAGATTGCTGCATATCTGGCCAATCCCCATGCATTTTCTTGGATGGCTTATTGTGATGGTAAGCCATTGCCGATTTTCAAGACTGCTCTCCATTTGGCAAATCTGCAACCAAGTTTGTAGTGTTCAGCAGCCATACTAGCCAAGGAGTCTAATCCAAGAGTTGCTGATTCATCTTGTGTTCCTGGAAGTACACCCAAACCCTTATCGACTTTGATTCCTGCCACGATGCCTTTCTCTTAAAGCAATTAGACGAAGTTCTTTCCGTCTTTGGTAGCGTGTTTAACCTATGGGAAGTAATTAATAATATGTATTACAGTCTCGGAGAAGAGGATGACACCACTAATGTAATTTTCAACGCCTGGAGCAGTGAACAACAATTCTCTGTATGCTCTTCTGTTCTCTTCGTTGTTTTCAACATTGATTGTGACGAACTTCTTTCCAATGGTTCCTTAAGACTACACTTTTAGATTTAAGAGATACTTCATCAGCAGCCAAGATTCCTTTTCCTGGAGTGCAAATCTTTTAAGCTGTTTCGGCTAATTCCTTTCTGTAGTCGGGCTTTTATTACATTAAGATATTTAAAATGAATTTATTTATCAATTTTTTTTTTAAATCTAAACCTTATGACCTAAACTTTGTATTATTATTAAATACTATTAAACAATTATTCGTATTATTTTTATACAAATATAATTGAAATAATTCTAACTCTTTTTTCATATATCAATTATATATTTGCAAATGCAGTAAGTTTAAATTAATTATAAAAAGAATAGCATCTTTACAATCAAATCGGATTGCAATCAAATAAAATAGTATTGAATTTATAATGCTTTGGATCAAAGAATTAATAGAACCCTGGATGATGATGTTATATATTGCTCTTAATAAAATAAGTAAGGAAATATAGGATAAAATTCAGTTAAGATTGAATTATGCTATAAAAATTGAAGATCTTTCTTTAAAACCATAAAAAATTTCACTACTGAGATCCTAAATCTTCTTATACTTTATTTTGTTCTTCCATCCCTGTTGAAATGCAATATTCTTATCAATTAAATAATAATAATTTATGTGATGATGCAAATTGAATACTGCAATATTTGATGCACTTAGCATAGATATGCTCTATTTAATTATAAAGGTTCAAAAATAATGGAATAATTAAGTTAATAATTATATTATTATGAAACTTTTTTATGTTTTGTATTCAAAATAAAATATGATAATTAAATTGATTTACAATATTTTAATATAAGAATTCACATCAATATTATTAGTATTCATCATTTTCTTGAAAAATGGAGTGCCATCATTTGATCGATCAGCATATATAATGGTCAAATGAGATTATTCTTCATTAAAGAATATAATAATATCATATAACTTTTTACATAGTGATTTAATTAATTGATGTCCAGAATTAAATCTAAAGCGATATTTATTTAATAACTTCCCTTCGATATATTAAAGTAATTGTTTTCAGAAATGAATTGCGTTTATTAATGAATATTGTGAATTACGTAATTAATATGGAGATTGTTCTAAAATTTAAATAATTCTAAAGCAATTAGAATATCATTCAAATATATGTTGATCTAACACATTACAATTACATTTATTTATATAATATATATTATGATTACATAACAACAAACATTTTGCTTGTTATTTCTAATCATAAATTGCATATCAGCATAGAAGCCTTGTGGTCTATATATATTTGATGAGGTTGGATGTGTCTCATCAACTTATGAAAAATGTAATGTAATTTGAAATCAAAAAGGTTCTTGGAATGACTTCTTGAGTGCCTGTTAGGCAACAGAATCAAACAACATTGGTTGCTCAGTCACACTCAATAGATTAGCGTGCATTAATTAATTGCAATATCCTAATTAGGATTGGGCATATTGTAAAAACTTCTATAATATATTAGGTCGGTTTTCTGGATATTGTCGTGAAATAACAAGTTCGACATCTTGTTCTTCGAATCTTTCGAAGCCAGCATGTTTGGCTGTAGTGGGAAAACCGTGTCAATGGTAAGGATTTTGTTTGGACATGACAGCCTCACAATTTTAGGAGTCATTGGCCAAAGCTTAAAATGACCCTACCTTTATGAACCAAGCCAATATCTCAATATGTCAATCAATCGCTGGAATTTCAGTTGTACATCAATCTAGTGCTTTCCCTTACATAGTTTAACTTATTGATAAATATGGTTCGGATAATGTTATGTTAAGCAAATATAAGGCAATGCTGGCCATTCCAGGATGCCTTGAAGTGGATGTTAATTTGTTGAATCTATTAACTTGTTCTGCTGCTGGTTTGAATTCAGCTGCTTGTAAAAATATCTCAACGCCAGGATCTAAATGTAAATTTTAGAATGGTTAATGTATCAACGTAACAGACTTTTAAAACCTATCTTGCCAAGATAATATTAATAAGGAAGCATGTCTCAGTGTGACAAATATCAAATAGCCATGTTATTGGAGTAACGGATGCTAACTATATACTGGGAAGGCAGATTGTAGTGTTAAAATTCAACCAGTCTCTCCATCTTTTTGTGCTGCAATTAATTACGTGGACAAATCGGGAAATGATTAAGAATGTTTCTATTATCAAAAAAAATAAAAATGCAGTGAATTGTGTAGAGCCAAGTCACTCCAATCAAATACAAGTCAAAAAAGTTGTAATTCTTCAAGTTATAATTGTGTCTATCAAAACAGCTCATGTCTATTTAAAAATGTAAAATCTTAATGCGGATTGCTTGGATAAAATCAATTTTCTTGTATGAATGTTAGTGAAAATTGCCAATTCGTAAATGGAATTTGTAGATAGATTGCTGATTTATCAACTGTTAAATGCGGGGATAATCTTAATTAACAAGCATGTTAGAATATAGTTGCTGTTGGATAAGTGTGTAAATATGATAAAACTGAAAAAAAATGTAAAGTATTAAAACTAGATTTTTACGAAACATGTGAAAACCTAAAATTTGTAAATGAGAACGCATGTAGAAGAATTACTGACTCTGCATGTTACTGGGTAGATGGAAGTTGCAAAGTACCCGTTGCCAAAGTTAGTTGTACAGCTAGAGGATTGAATAGGATTGCCTGTTTATAGAGTAATATGGGACCATGTCAATGGAGTAAAGAAGCTGGAATGTGTTAGAGTGTAAATGTTATTGAAAATTAAACATCTTGTGAATCGTTAAAATTAGTGAATGAATTTGCTTGCAGAATGGTTTCATTCAAGAGTGGTGTATAAGAAGAACATTGTAAATATAATGAAAATACTTACTAATGCTAATTATTTCCTAAGGAATTAGTAGCTCCTTTTACAATCAATTGTCTCACCTAAGGCTTAAATAAAAGAGGGTGTTTGGATGTATTAGATCCAACAGTAGCTTGCAAATGGACTAGTTAAGGATGTACAAAACTAACATCTGTGACTTCGGCATGTTCAGGATTAGTTAATGTAACTGCCAAAGCTTGTGCTTTAATCACAGGAGAAGTGTGTGGGTATGATGATGAATAGACTAAATGCACTACAAGTATTAAAAAGAATGCGGCTAGTTGCACTAAATTAGAAGCTAAGGATAGTGTTTTGAATGGAAATGCATGTGCTTTCATAGAACCAGCTGGTGATTTAGCCTGTTATTTCGATGCTGTAAATTTGTCATGTAGTCCAGCTGCAACATAATTGAACAAAATTAAATGTAGTGATTCATTCCCTAATAAATTTGCTTGTCTCTCAATTACTACTCCAGGACAAAGATGCTAGTGGAATACTTTAAAAAGATTATGTGAAGACATTAAGATGCCATCGTATGAATCATGCGAAGATATAACAGATGTTAATGATAACTCTTGCGTTGGATATGAGAATGATGTAGAATATTACATAGGCGAATCTTCTTTTTGTACCAAACCTAGTAATACTGACACTAAAAATAAATGCAAATTATATGTCCCAGCAGGAGGTGACGAGGCCACTTGTTTCTCAGGAAAGTTTCCAAATTTGCATGCTTGCGTTGCAAAAACTACTGGATAGAATTGCTATTTTGATACTAACTTATTTTAATGTAAAGTATTAGCAGATGCTGATAAACCTACAATACTAGACTAAATACTGTGTAAACAAGCAAATCAAGATCTATGTCCATTGGTTACAACAAATGATTAAAATTGCTAATGGGAAAGTACAGAAAAGAAATGTTACAATCCAGATAAGTGCAGTGAAGCATCTACAGCAGTAGCTTGCCAAGCTGTTACTTAACCTTGTGTATTTATTGAAAATAAATGTATTCTAATTAAAAGTGCAAATGCTAAAAATTATAAATGCACAGATGCTAATAATAATGAGAAAGCATGCTATCAAGTTGCAGGAGAATCTTGTAAATTTACTGGTGGAGTATGTACTTCATTAACATAAGATCTTGAAAATGATACTTGTACAACATACACGGACAAGGTGAATGCAGTAGCTTGTGCAAAAATAAAAAAGGAAGGGGAGAAATGCAAATATGATAAAACTACTAACAAATGCATTTCAGCTGCATCTTCTTTGTATGGTGAATGCAATATTGGATAAAATAATGAAAATTGCTTACAAGAGAACAGTTGTGAATTTACTGAGACAGAAACAGTCAAAGATGGAGAAAGTACTGTAGAAAAAGAAGTTTTTTAATGTAAAAAGATAGACAGTTCTTGTTAGTATGCTCTAACAAGTGATGCTTGTATGCAGGTGCAATATTGGTGCGTTTGGGACATAGCTAAAAGTTCTTGTCTAATAGCACCTGATGTTGAATGTTTAGAATATAATGATCCTAATTTTTAATATAGTTCATATACTTGTGGAAGTGTATCGGCATCTGTTGATACCAAAATATGTTCATAAAATGAAACTTCAAAAAAATGCGAAGAAATAGTGGCTGTTAGTTGCAAATCTGCTTCAGATGACATAGATTGTAAGATTGTTAAGGCTGATTGCAAATTTGAAAAAGCCAAATGTGTGTCAAATCTGGTGAAGGCAAAATAATGTTCAGATAATTTTACTCAATATGCTTGTTTGACAGGTTCACTTTATTGCCAATGGGTTGATAGTACATGCCAAGATTACAAATATGAAATTGAAATTAAATGCGTTTCAGATTCTATACCAGAGGAAGATGTTGAGGCGGTAATCTCAGCTGAACTATGTTATTGGTATGGCTGCTATTTGAAAAAAGAAACCTTGAAATGTACTTAAGATACAAGTGTACCCACTGAATGTACGGAAGCAGTATCACCTTTTGGATGTAAGTCTCTTCCAGATGAAAAACACTGTTATTGGGACATTGATTCAAATTGTAAATAATTGACCGATCTCTCTTAAGCTAAATATCTCACTCTCAAATAAGTGGCTAACTCTCGAAGAACCTTATGTTTATCACCTCAAAATGAAGGAGAGTTGACTGAATGGTGGGATGGAGAATGCTATTCAGTTGATTCCAACCTCTCAAAATGTGAAGATGACATTAACATCCGAGCTTGTGAAGCAGTATTGAGAGATGACCCTATTCAATTGTGTATTTACAAGGACAATAAATGCAAATATGCTGATCCATTGACAGCTCTTTGTACAGAGACTATAAATGTTTTCACATGTGTTGCCATCACAACAGCAGGGTAGTTCTGTGTATGGCTGGGATAGTAATGTTCAGCATTACAGGATGATGGATTCCCTCTTGGGAAATATTCAAATGTGAATGCAAACACATGCACAAAAACATACACTATTGATGGATAACCAAATAGTAAAATAACTAATCCGATTGGTGTTAAATTTGGAACTGATGGTTGTATATAATCAGATCCCTTATCTGATTTATGCAGCACTCCTGGTTTAAATTATTACGGATGTTTGTAAACAAAGGCTGGAGCATGTACTTGGAATGGATCTAAATGTGTTCCTTTTACTTAATTCAATGGAAAGACAAAGTGTTCTGATTATCTAAAGGTATCTGCTGGTGTTTGTGAATAAGTACCTACTTTAAAATGTACCTGGAAAAATTATAATTGTATCGATGCAACAAATTAATTACTATGCACAGACAGTTTGAGTTAAGAAGCATGTGTTTCATTGAATACAAACTCATGCTAATGGCTTAATAATAAATGCTAGATTTAGAATATAATTGCTGGTGTCACTTCTTGTGGAGATTCAAGCACATTTTCAACTGCTGAATATTCTTCAGTGATGAGTTGTCAATAGGTTTCATTCGGAGGATTACCTTGCAGACATACAGGAAAAGGATGCACTACTCAGATTGATCTGTTAGTTGCCAAATGTAACACTCCAGGCCTAAATGATATTGCATGTACGATGATCACTTTAGAAAAATGTATCTATCTGAATGGGTAATGCTAAGTTTATGAACCAACATCATCCCAATGCAGATAATTGGTTAATGTATCTCCTCAAGTGTGTGCAGAAATATCAGATTCCACACAGCTTTGCAAGTTTAGCAAATTAAATAATAAATGTGTTTCTGTCTACAATTATGATCTGTGTTCTAGTTCAGGAATCAATGAATTTGGATGTAATTCAATAGGTGTATGCAAATGGCATAAGGATGAGAAATATTGTACATGCTCATCCGTTCTATCAGGAGTGAGATTTTGTGCAGATTTTGATTATCCTACTTGTAAAGTCCAAACATAGTAGTGTTTATGGGATGATACTTCTTAGAAATGTAGAGCCAAACTCTGTTCAGACTTATCGTCATCCAATTGTAACAATGCTACCATGAATAATCAACATTGTTATTTAACATCCAAGGGCACTTGTCATGGAGCCAAAACATGCAATGATGTTAGAACCGTTAATGATTGTACTAAATACTTAATAAATGGACAATACTGTCAACCATATGTCAATGATGTTTGCAGAACCAAATAATGCGTCGATAACTTAACAGACTCTTCATGTAGTGGATCCTGCTATTGGACTGGTACTTATTGTGCTTAGAGATTATGCTAAACATTCACTAAAAAAGAATAATGCTCAGGCACTTATGAAGATGGCACTTGCTTCTGGTTTAATTCATTATGTGTTGGCTTAGATTCTTGTTATAAATTGTAGACATATTATGATAATACTGAAAATTTGAAAAAGGATTGTAATGCGGCCTCGATCTTAGGAAATCAATGCTATTGGTAATTGGCATATCAATATGCAGATTCATATGAATGCTCTCACAATTAGTGCAAGTATTGTTATTATTGATTTATTAGACCTCTGGGATCGAGCAAAATTAATTGCGTTGGAACTGAAATCAGCAATTATGTATGTATACTGTCTTAGGATTTCCAATGTATGAGATGCGAAGATGTTGCGGATAAATGCGAATGCTCAAAATACAGTGGAAATTGCTATTACAGTAACAATAAGTGTAATTCGATTCAATGTGCTTAGTATGTTGAGGACTCTTGTGGTATGATCAGTTTTTGTATGTTTTTAGCCTTGTTCCCTGACAAATGTATCTGGCATGCTGGATCGAAGATGTGTTTGATTATTTGTGCTAAGTTGGATGAGAAGAGTTGCGAGGCCAGACAAACTGCCACGTCTCAGTGTTACTGGGATGCAAAACTTGAAAGATGCAATTCTGGAGTTCCCAGCAAGATTGTTATTGACACTGTGTCTCCACAAATCGAAGCTGCCAATATCACAATCACAATTTCATCTTCATATTCACACCTAGTCATGATCATTATTGGATTATATTTATCGTATTGACAATTTATATGTATATATTATATCCAATCCTGTAAAATTAAATCATTGAATTTTATTTAAGTCAAAAGGCTTGCTGTCTTGATGCTTATTTTTTTTCTATTGTCCCTTCTTTCTGTTCATGAGCTGATTACCCAATGGAGACTCAAGCTTAATATTAATATTCAGTTATTTCTTACATCTTCCTATATTTACAAATCCGCTTAATATTGACTGTCATCCTAAAACTATTACTCTACATTCATAACGAATTATTACACTCCGAATTTGGTGCTCCTCTCAATAGGATTATTATGGCCTCAGCCAATTCAAGTTCTGTATCACTCTTTGGATATTGTTTTAAAAGATCATATATTCCTTGATGCTCTTCCAAAACGAACTCTAACATCACTATTTACTCTTACATTTCAAAGTGCACTTCTCCAGTTGTGTGATCATGTTCAGCCTATTCATTTCATTGATTAGATAAAGCAATTTTGCTGATGGTTATTCAAAATGGTCCATATTAAATATATATTAATTATATTAATATATTTTATAGATTTAAAACATTCTTATGAAAACAAATAATCTATTGGATACTTTTCACCCTCTATTACATTATGGAAACTTCCCTTATTTCGAGTAGGCTAATAATTAGATGAGGCAATAAGAATAAATAATTTGATTAATCATTAACTCATCTAAATAGGGAGTTCTAAAAAAATCAAATCACTCCTTTAAAGGAGGTGGCTTTTTTGCTTAATATTACAAATTTTAAATATTTCAAATATTTCCAATATGTCTTGTCTTCATTAAAATATAAATGAATCTTTTTTTAACAATCACTTCCTTCCCCCCCCATATTATCTATTGTTTGGATTAATTAGTGCTCATGAATTCTGATGAAAAAACTCAACTTTAGTTACATGCCTTTTGTTGTGTATTTTCATAAAATAAATTTTAATAAAACATAATATAAAAATGAAAACTTACGAATTTGAGTTGAATAATAAGAGGAATGTTTAAAGAGAAGAACTCTTCATTTTGACAATAGTTGAGAGGGTCTTGGCTGGTTTCTTATCGTCAATATCTTTTGTTGATCAAGCCTAATTTTGTGAATTGTTATCGAGGAAGCAAAAGGAAAAAAAGTCAATTCAAGCATTACATCTGTAGATCTTGGGAACAATCAAGCGAAATCTGTTGAAGAACTAATCACCAATCAAAGATCATAAAACAAATTACGAAATCAGAACTGTTGTGTCTTAATCAATCGATTCAAGAAAAAACTATATTTGTTTATCTAGTAAGAAGAAGCAAGACAATAAAGAACAGCAAACTACTGAAATAGAGACTCAGTTCTATGCACAACCCCAATCAGTTAAAAGTAGAAGATTTAGATTAGACAAAGCGAGTAATCAAGATGGTAGGTTGCTAACCAATGGAAGTTATCAATAAAATGACTCAACAACAACAAGAGCTATCAACCCATTTTAACTGAATAGTCCCAATAGTACTCAAGCTGATAACCAACTAAAAGATTTGTCGATTTAAAAATAGTTCACATCTATCGACAGTAATTTTAAGATTAGAAATCTGAAGCCCACTATCAACATAGTAAGTTAAGATGGAGAAATAGAAAAATAAGTGAATTACAAAAGCAATTTCAATTAATAATAATAAATAAAAGGAATTACAAGTAATCAAAATATTGCATAAAAACAGAATCAACCTTATTTAGAACCTTAACTGAATTAATAATCTACAAATGGATAATCAAAGGCAGAAATTTTAGAAACTAATTTAATAAATGAATCAATTAATCCATAGGCTTAGAGTTATTCGAGAAAATAATCTTAAAATCTTCCTATGGGAAGTGATTCGAGTAAAATGGATTTAAAAGAGAAATTGTAAAAATATTATAGTAACGATGATGATTTCAGTTCATCAAGAAGACCTATGACTCAGAGTGATAGATTAAAGCAGATAACATATGGCACTCACACAGAGTTACCATATTTGGGTAAGGATGGTAAATAGAAGCAATAGACTATTCAGAGTGCAAAATGTTTAGATAAAAATTAAGAGCAAGTGTATTTAAAGCAGAGCAAATAAGATAAAATTAAACAATAATAGAAATCTGAAAAGTAGGATGAATAGAGCAACCCTTTGATGAGTTTGAAGGCTGATGAAATTGAAAAGAAAACTGCATTTCTATCCCCTCCTTAATCTTCTCGAACATTACAATCAGGAAAATCAACGAAAACAAAATTAAAAACAGTATAATCAAATGAACAAAAAATAGCAGAGATCCAATAATATCATTAATAAAATTCTACATCTAAGGAGGAATCTCAAATATCATTATTAGATTAATCCTTGCACAAATAAGAGAATGTGCACTCTCATTTTACTCCTATCAGACCTGCTACTACTCATATTGAGGCCAATACACAATAATAAGATTACCCATAATTTTAGACCCATGATAACATAGATTAATAATCATAAAAGTATCAATAAACATAATTGATGCAATAAATAAGTATGACATCAATTATGCATGATGATGAACATAACTCAAATATGAGTCAATAAATTAATATATAAGTAAATTAATGCGAACCTACATAAAACACAAACAATGTCATTGTTGAAGAATCAATAGAATGCTCTCCTATGTAGAGAATGCCTAATCAATAACATGCGATACCATCTTTCAATCATCTAAAATTGGAAGACCAAAAACAACCAAGTGCATCTTAAATTCACTCTTAGCAAAGACAACAAATTTCTCCATCAGATAGAAATTAACCATCACATTCGTAAATACCGTTACAATAAAATCAATATTCAATCAATTCAACTTAATCGAGGATGTTGATTCCAATTAATAATACTTAAAATAGTGCTAAAAACACTAGATCAACAACTAAATAAAAGTCTCAATTGAGAGAGCAACAATAATAGCAATAATAAAGATCAGATGAGAGTTAGCCTGAAAGCAAATTAACAATAGAATCGTCTTAAGGGGAAAAGTCAAATAGATCTAAGGCAGTCAAAAATGCAAAGCAACTCAAGTTACCTGTTGCAGCAGCTGCGTTGAATTTTGCAAGGAGGAAATCCTCCAATTAGAACTCTCCTCATGATGTATGATTTAGTTTAATTTAAATTAGCCAAAAAAGATGGAATAACTAGACAAGGAGAGGCAAAGATAAATGGAATATTAGAAGTAACTTGAAAAGATGAAATATGAAAGGGAATTAATGGAGCAATATAAGATTCCTGATAACATGCCGTTATCGTAAAAGAGGGCTATTATTGAATAGTTGATTAACCAATTAGAATCAATTGCAGATCAAGATGTGAAATATTAGATTATGCTATGTATCACATATTATGTTATTTGTTTAGACAAGCAACGATAAGAATAGATTTAAAATGCTGCCAAACAAGAATTAGTATTTAGTCGTAGTTTGGATAATTGTTATGAAGAATTGGGTCATCTTTCAGAATAAAAGCTGAAAATATTGGGAAAGGACGATTTAAATAAGATTTAGTTTTTAAAATTCGAAGATTAAGTGTAAACATCTTTTCCAGGTTAGCAAAAGGCCTTTTCATAAGATATCAATTCTCCTATAAAAAAGAATTTGAAATTTCTTAGTAAATTGGACCCTGTGGAAATAGAAAAGTAAATGAATAGAATCAAAGAATTCAAGTAGGAAACAGAAATGTTGAGATTTTTCTAATCCTTCAATTCTTAATATGACAAAGAAGTAATATAAAAAGTTATTTAAAGGTTAATCAATGCGATCTTGACTTCCCAACTGAAAAAGATAGATAATACTCAGTGGATCATTAAAGAGGAATATTACCCAAGACTACTTATAAGAGGAAAAAAACTAAGAAATAAAGCACAAAATTAATGATAAGTACTTACAGATTAGATCCTAAGAAATTAGACACATTATTGCAAGCAACTGACAAAATAAAGTCAGTTGGCTAATTTTTATTATGATTATAGATTATTCTCAGTATACAATATAATGTTATAAAACACAATATAATTTTTGATTTCATTAACTAATGATTATTCTCAGAATTTTCGATCTATTAAAAGTTCAACATAAACTTGATTAACAATTCATAGATTATCCTTATAAATTTACAACTAAATATTAGCAATATCTTATTGAATAATAAAAATGAGAAATTTAAAATATCTTATTTTTCCATTCCTTTATAAATCTTCATTGCTTAAATTATCTACTCAGAGTCGATAAGATTCTTATTCAAAAGTCTATAACAATTAGAAATAATATAAGGTTGAGTAAGAATTTGCACAATATTCATAAGACCAGAAACAATAGTCTTTAGTGGTAATTCTAATACTATGTTGGCTAAGGAAGTGGCATAATGTTTGGGAATACAACTTGGGAAAGCAATGATGTAGAGATTTTCTGATGGAGAATGCAACATTTAGGTTAAATTATTTAAGATGGTTAGGTTTTAGATAACGTAAGAGGAAGAAATGTATTTATCATTTAATCGACATGTCCTCCCGTAAATGAGAATCTAGTTGAATTATTTTTATTTATAAGTGCATTAAGAAGAGCATCTGTGAAGAAAATTACAGTCATCCTTCCTTATTACGGATATTCAAGATAGGACCACAAATTAGAGAAAACTTAATCTATAGCAGCTGCAGATATTGCTAGGATGTTAGAATAGACTGGAATAGATCATCTTGTTTCAATTGATTTACATCGAGGACAAATTTAAGGTGCGTTTTCCACTAATGTACCTGTAGACAATATTAGCCCATACATCACGCTCATTCATGAATTAAACAATAATCCTTTATAATTAAGTCCCCCAAACTAACTGACTTTAGTTTCTCCTGATTTTAATGGGGTCTCAAGAGCAAAGAAAGTTCAGGATTAATTATCAATAGCCTTCCCTAATCTCAAGACAAGTAAGAATCAATTAGTATCACTTAAAAGAACTGGCCATGATCTATAAATCTAAGCATCCAGTTGCTGAAGCAGAAATTAGTCTAGTCGGAGAAGTTAATGGCAGAAATTGCTTAATAATCGATGACATAGTAGATTCAGGAAGTACCCTAAGTAGAGCGGCTGATATCCTAAAAAGGGAAGGAGCTAAATCGGTTATGGCATATGCTACTCATCCAGTTTTTTCAGGAAGAGCTGCATTGAATTTAGGAATTTCAAATTTATCAAAGATTTACATAACTGACACGATACAAGTCAAAGAATTGGATAAATAAATTTTACAAGACAAATTGAGTGTTTTGAGTGTGGCACCTCTTTTAGCTGAAACAATATACAGACTTTAAAAAAGAGAGAGTTTGCATGAGCTGTTGGGTGCACATAATATTTGAGTTTAAAAATTCAATTTTATTGTTGATCTAAGCATTTTAATAATTCTGATTTTGCATTTTCTAGTAATTATTTCACTTCATTAACAGACTTATCTGTGTTGAATCTCTGAATACACACGATCCCTTGATTTAATGCTTTCAGTATAAGTTATGCTTAATTTATCTAAACTTCAATGGTTTCTTATTACTTCAAATTATTGGCTTCTATTAATCTAAATTATAATATAATTTACTTATTGTTCTCATCAGGAATTTCAGGATTCTTGACATTTTAAAATATTTTGGGAGACTGGCTGACGTCTCTACTTCCTAGAAATGTAATCAGAAATTAATCCTAAAGCAGGGTTTGCTCAGGATTTGCAGATTACAACACATTTTTGATACTGAAAGCTGCTTGAATCAATTAAGCTAAATTTTCTACAGGTGGGTATTTCAGAAACCTTTTCAAACATGCATTTGGATCGTCCTTCTCGAGAACTAATAATAATGTGTAACCAAGTACTTTAATCTCGAACATAAACAAACATGGCTATGACAATACAATCAACTAATATAAGCCATTGCTTATCCTCAGTAAGGTAATAATCATAAAATATGGCATCCCAAACTTTCAAAGAGTCTTCAACATGAAATTCTCTTGTAAACATGCATCTAAATTAATATATTAATTAATAAATACCTAATCCATCTAACTAAGAATACTGACAATTCAACATCCTAGACTTTTAAATGCTTGAATAATGTGATATCAATTATTTTCAACTATTGATCATAGATTTTCTAGATCCTATTCTATATTATAAGTTATTATTTCTTCTGACTTTCAGGAGTATGTTTAAACATATCCACATGAGCTACCATAATTTATTCAAATAATTAAAAGATGTCTTCTTCAGCATATTTGGTATCAAAGAATATGGCAATTTCCTTCTTATCATCACTATCCTCTAAGTTATTGAATCCTTAAGTCTCTGTAAAGTAGACCTCTATAACATTGGCTGCTAATTCATTCATCCCCTATCTATATGAGATCGTAGGGTTCTTAACACTCCATATAAACAAAATGTTCGACAATAAATTCTTGATCTTTAAGCTCTAAAATAACTATTTATCTTAATGAGTTCTATCCACGTCCTTCTTTATTTCACTTTTTAAATGATTGATCTCGAAAAAGTTATTCCAAACCTTATTTAAGATTATATCTATATTTACATTTTGTTTTTGCTATTCTTATTAATTTTATAATAAAGGGTTTCTTACACTTCTTTTAGATTCTTTCTTTGTTTCTACTTATAAATATTGTTTGCTCAAATTCTAATAATCTGATCTATTCTGATTGAGCTTGTTGATTTTCTCTTCCAAAGAGTCACTAATTTTGAAAATCCCTAAAAATAATCTCCATATGCTAAATCTTAATTTCATTGAACTTAAATGGCAATTTAATATCAATTCCTAAATCTCATTAAGATTCAGATTTTCATTCAGGATGTACTTTTTAAAATTATTCAAATCAAATGCAGGTATAATGTCAGGTCTTATTAAATTATAACACTTACATGTTACTTGAATAATTAGATAAATCTAAATTAATTTAACCTTTCTTATTGTTCCTAGCTCCACTTATGAGTAAATCATCATCCTCTTCTCCAACATTATTGTTCATTATTAAAAATTAATAATAGCTTGAAATGTGTTAAAATATTAAATATTAAGAAATTTATACTACTAAAATAATAAAGTAAGTAACAATAATCTAATAATGGGATAAGCTGTTCAGTAATTTGAGAAAGAACCCCTCTTAAAATAATATATCACTTAAAGGAATTAGAATTGCAACACTGTTCTAATAACATGAAAATGTAAAAACAATACGAGATTAATTAATATATGGAAATTCTAAAAGAATAGTAATAACAATTAAGAAAATTAATAAGAATGTTTTAATTAATAATAACAGAATTTTAAGGTGGAAGTACTTTATGTGATAATATACAACAATCTTGAAGTAATCATTCATAATTCTGAAAGTATTATTATGCTGACATAATTTCGATTATCAGGAGAATTTGTAATAATATAGAAAACATCTAAGGAGTTTCAAATTATAATACTACTTTAATCAGACACTTTGATAAAAGATCTCAATTATTAGTTATTGTTATATTTGATTATATTAATTTAATTTATAAAACTGATTTTATATAATCTTTTTAAATTTTACAATTAAATAATCAAAAGAGATAATAATTAAGAAATAGAAACATTTTATGCATTAATCAAGATATTTAAGTATTTGATTGATATCTGAAATTTAATAATATTTGATTTAAAATGAGTGCTCAATAAAAAAAGCTTTTAGAACTAAAATAAAAGCAAGGTTTATCTACTTTTCATCGAAGTTCTCACTAATTGCTTCCATTAAATTCTTTGAAAACCCAAAAGACAATTCACGAAGTGGAAGTAGTGAGAGGATCTTTTAAAACTCTCCCAGATGTTAAATCAAGTCCTTAAATTGAAACACAATCCAAGTGGGCAAAACTGTAACAAATATCATAAACATACCGATCTCCAAATAGGAATATCGTAATCACTAATAAACGTACCTCCATATAGAGGTTGTCCATAGCATCACAATTAAAAAACCTTGTGAAATTCACAAGCTCAATGTATGAATTTAAATAGATTAAAAAGATAACTCGATGGACTTGATGCTGCCAAGAATATGGTAAAGAATAACGACACAGTAGTGGTAAATATGCAAAGGAGCCAGAATATAGACTATCTTGTTCTTGGATTGGGAGATAGCCATGGTAATTTGGGTACGCATTTTTCGAAATTAATCACTCATCGCGCATTGGACTAAATCGTACAAGTGATCAATAACACACCTATAATCGGATTGAGTTTGTCAATTCATTATAGTTTCTAGAATGTTTACTAACAAGTGGAACAAAATCTGGTATTTATAGAAATTAAGACTTTTAGATAGAGTAAACGGATTTTGATGTAAAGAACAATGGGTGTTCATTATTATCAATGATAATAGTCAACAATTCCATCTATTGTGCTAATTTGGGGGATTCTAAGGCTGCCTATTTTTATAAGAAAGATTCTGATCCACTCGATGCTAAAGAAGTTAGAAAATTTGCATAGAAAAATATCAATTTTGTTCATGACACAAATAATAGTAAGGAGGTTCAGAGAATACTCAAAAAAGGTGGTAAAATAGATTAGGCAGTCTACAAAGGAAGAAAGAGTGGAAATTTGAAGGTGTGGGCTCCCAAATAGAATTTACCTGGTGTTAAATTGACGAGGTGTTTTGGTAATATGATTGGGAAGACAGTGGGAATTAGTGCTGATCCAGAGGTCACAGAGTTTAAAGTTCCAAAATCAGGATATTTGTTGATTGGATCCACTGGATTATGGGAAATCATGGATATTTTAGTCATCGATTAGATTTTAGATGCTCATTTTCCTCCAACTTGCTAGGAGGACATTGATTTAGCAATAAAGGAGATTGGTGACCAAACAAAAAAGTATTGGGATTAAGACGGAGAAGGTTTAATTGATATCTCTTTAATTTTGATTTATATATAATTATGATTGACAAATGATTCATGCAATTTCTATTTCAACGAAATCTTTCTTCTTGGTAAGCCTCCTAATAAGGTATGTAATCAAACTTTTGATTTTCAAAATATTTGTCAACAGTTTCCTTATCTAATCCTTTCGTTTCAATCACTTTATATTGGATAATCAAGTAACTAGTATGCGAATTAAACTGTAACAATACGCTAAAAAATTAAACATGGAAAACAAGGCAAAGCAATACGAGATGTCATATGAGGCAATAATTGGGAACATCTAGGCTACCAATCCCCCAGACATCCAATTCATCAAACCACTGGCACTCACTCCTAAGTCTGGTAATATTTCAGTTAAATAAATAAACAGCAAAGGGCCCAAGGAGAATCCAAAGCCGAATAGGTAGGAGAATATACAAATCACAATTGAATACTATCCAAATGGTGTATTCCCTACACTATTCGACATGACAAATGTTAACATCAATAAACTTATAAAACACAATAGGGCTCCATACTTTAAAATGGGCTTTCTGATTTTTAATATCTTGTTAATCATACCTGCCAAATTACTCGATTATTACAGTAGCTAATAAGGCTGTAAATACTCCAATAAAGCCAACGATTAAATTCAAATAAAACACCTTTTGAGATGCTTGGCCAGTCACCTAATTTGACACACATATTCTATACTTAATCAAATATTGAAGAAGAATAGAACATAATACCATTTATACCTCCCAACTGTTGTAAGGAGGCAAGAGAAATTCCAATGAACAAACGAAATCTATACTTGGATGAAAACAATTGATTGAAAGTGATTCTCCTCTCAGTCGATTTTTATTATGATTAAAATTAATCGTACATTTTCTCTCCCTTTTCATTGTATATCATTTCCAACACTCTATGTAATTACTGGCTTTGTTTTAAATCAATGGATACTTCAAATGGTGTTTGACACAGTATACAGGTGTTTCATACTTAAACACAGTCGACAAGGCACTTGCTCTTACTATGCAAGGGATAATAGGCAGATAGAGCATCAACTTGTAAAAAGGGATTGGTAATGAAATGTCTTAGAAGTAGGACATCAAAAATGTAAACAATATTCCTAAAGTAATAAACAATTGATTCATTGTCCCCAAAAACCCTGCCTTCTCTTTTGGCGCCATCTCGTTTATATATACAGGTACTAGAACTCCATTAAGTCCTAATACAACACCCACAAAGAAACGAGAAGCCAGAAGAGCATATTTGCTTTAATCAATGAATGCCATCATTATGGCCATAATCCCAAAGAGATCAGTTATCTACAGACTCCTTCTTCTGGAAAACAAGCCCATCAATATTGATGCTGATATGGAACCTACCCCTCCTCCTATGGTTAATAAGGCTGAATGAAAACGGATATAATTTTACATTGCATCAGACCTTTGGTAAAAGTATCATCGATTTTATACACATTATATACATCTGTGCTAATCACATTCATCTGCCCCAAACAGAACCCCATAAATAAACTACCCAAACAGCAATTTAGAATTATGAGCAATAATTTATTCATTAAAATAATGTATACTAACTAAAGTGTGTATATTCCAAAGGCAATCGGTGTTAAAGAATATGCTTATGATGAGGAGATTAATATACCATACAGATAATAGATGGAAGATTGTATGGACTGAATTTCATTTAGTTTATTTTATCAAGGACAACATCTTAGAAGATGGGAGTCAATCTATTTTATTCGGAATCATGGATGGTCATGGAGGATAAACTGTTGCTAAGTTTGTATCCACTAACTTCCCCAAAGTTTAACATTAATTTACTATACCAAGGTTTTTCTTCAGTTACATAAGCAAAAGTAAAGACCAATCGATAAATTGCTTTAGGATACATTCGAAAAAGTATCAATCAATTGAATTTAAGGTCAATGAAATGGTTAAATAAGAATGCAATTCAAATGAAGTTGGGTCAACGGCAAGTATAGGATTTATGAGACTCGAAGGAGCCAAAAGAATGCTGTACTTTGCAAATGTGGGAGATTCTAGAGCTTTCCTATTTGGCGATTAAGTTGTGCCTCTAACTACCGACCATAAGCCTAATAAATAGGGAGAGAAGGCTCGCATTCAATAGCATTAGGGAACTGTGTTAATGGATCGCTTAAATGGAATTTTAGCAATTTCAAGAGCCTTTGGAGATCACAGCTTTACTTAATATGGATTAACTTGCACTCCTGATTAAGTGAAAGTAGAGTTGAGACTTTCACATAAATGGGTGGTTGTGGCATCAGATGGTTTGTGGGATGTTGTCAATGAATAGGTATCATTTGGGTATGATATCTAAATAGGAATTGTTGTAGTTCATAAGATACAAAGAGTCAGCTGATGAAGTCACTAAGTTCTTGTAGAAATTAGCACAAAAAAGGTAATCAAAAGACAATGTCTCAATCTTATGCTTAAAAATTCAAATTTGATTTATCTAATATATAATTAGTAAAAATTAAACATTTCAAAAAAATATTTAAAAAACACTACTTTTTATATTATTACTAAGGATATTTGAATATACTTATGCACAATATAGTTCATTAGAAGTAGCTCCTTATTTAAATTATTTAATAATTTTGGAAAGATTTATTTCTTAAGCAAATTGTTAGAGAATTTTGAATTCTCCATAAGATTCATTTTAAATTTCTATTTATTCATTTAGGATTATCAAGATCCTTAATTAAACGACTTGACATCCAAAAATTTAATATATAGAAATTATTATAAAAACTTAAATATTTGTTAATTGTTTAAATTCTCATTGTGCAATTTTATTCTGTATGTAATCTCTAAAAAACATAAACATTATATAAATATATGATAAATTTAATATGTCAGTATATTTATACTAATATTGATTTTACTACAAATTAAAGGCTATATATATATTTATGTTTTTAGTATTACAATGCTGTTGTGATAGTACTTAGATGAGTTCATTTTTTTTCAGACCATGATAATGTTTCAGAATTTTTCCAAGTATTTAAATATATACACATCCAAGCAATATATTTAAAGTGCATTAGCATTAGTAAGAGTATGAAAACTGTTATCACAAGTAACTTGGTGAAGAATCAATCTTCTACATTCAAGTTATTATTTTTTTCAAAATATTTTATATTCCATATTCCAAATATGAATATGATAATGTTAGCAACAAATATGCTTAAATTATATAGATTCCATTGAAAATATAGATTGTAAATAATATGGAATTTATAATAATATATAAGGGTATTTGTGTTTCCACATTAAATTATTAGACTCAAAATGCTTAATATAGTTCTAGAAACAAGAGGTGCTCATAGGATAAAATTGGGTGTGATTGTATTTTCAGTGATAACAATCAGTCTTGCTATCGTGTTTTTAGTGAACATGATCACTCCTTATGGAAGATTAACAAAATCTTCCCCAGCAAGCACTTTTGTGGAATTAATCTTTTGCATCTTTGTCCAAATGTGTTTGATATATCGATTAAATGATATCATGTATCATAAGAAATAAGCCTCATATAAACTTGGGCTGGAAATAATAATAACTGCAATAGCAGTACTCTCATTAATAGATTTTATTTGTTGGTTCATTAATCCTGTTCCAGATATTCTCGCTGCATTTATTTGCTTATTTACATTCATTATCGCAGGGTTTCAATCTACTTTATGGATCTTATAGAGAATTAAGAGCAGCAACAGTGAATAAGAGTATGATACTAATTTGACTCAATAAATATCGTAAGCTGGAGACTCTGCTCCTAAAACTTCAAAATGTATGATCGCTCTTGAGTACATTCTGTTCTCTTTTATTTTATTATTGGTCATCTTAAATACCTGTCAAATTATACATGAAGCAAATCATCCAGGAAGTTTAGGAGAAGGTGAAGAGTATTACACTGTAAAAAGTCAAGACTTAGATGTAGTAATTAGAACTTATTGTATTGGGGCTAAGAATTTACCATAGATCATTCTAGAGGCTGGAGGAGGTTCTAGTGGAGTAGATTTTTATGAAATTCAAACTCAGCTTTCAGGAAATTACAGAGTTTGTAGTTATGATAGAGCTGGATATGGAATGAGTTGGCAAGCAGCTGCACCTTAGAGTTCTGAGAACAGTATGATTATTGCCTAGTAAGTGATGGATAAGGTTGGATTTAATACTTCAGTACCTAATTCTATAGTTTGTATCGGTCATTCTGTTGGAGGTTAGCTCTGTCGATATTATGCACAATACATGTTAAGCATCCAAGGAATTATATTATTGGATTCAGTGCCAGTGATGAATTGGTTTTACTTGGTAGGATAATGTTAGAATTAAACTGTAAGTTAAGTTTATGCTTAATAATAATAAACTTTGCCTTTGATTAAGGCTATGGCTTCTTTGTGGCCATTCTACCTAGAGACACCATTTTTCATGTCCAGCGGAGGATTTCAACCGTCAAATCTATAAGGCTGGATAAATTGGTAAATCACTACCACAAGAAATTGGTATTCATAATCACTTGGATACGCATCTGAACTTGAGGAATGTTAAGAATAATGTATGGAGTCATCAATCATAAATCCATCGTCAATAATCAACAAGCCAATTATAGTTATAACTGCATCAAATTAATAAGGAACTTGTGCAGATAGGAATCTAACAGGAACAGATTGCCAAAACTTTTATTGCTCGTAAAATGCTTCAATTGAATTGACTGTTAATTAGTCGCTCCTAGGTAATCAAGTAAGCACGTATGTGGAATGCCCAGGTATTTGTAACCACGATTTTGTATGGAAATAACCAGATTTTATCGTTTAATAAATTGAATATTATATTCCATAATTTTGATTTGGTTATATTTATTATGTACAAGAGATATAAAAATATTCAAAAAATTTATGTTTGAATTGAGGAAATATGAAATAATTTAATAATTCTATAATCTTCATTTTGATTTGCTGCTTTTATGATCTTGCCTTAGTTTCCTGTCTCTTCTCTAAAGGATTTCAAGTCTCGTTTTTTTCCCTAGAGTTTAGTTTTAATGCTTATACTCTTATGCTGCATCTAAATTATTATTTTATAGTTCAATAAGATCAGTTCTGTATCTGCAATCACTAGGCAATGGAGATTCGATTTTATTGACATAGGCTGGATCCTATCTTTTCCAAATCCCAATATTTGATTCCATCCCAACTAATTGATTCTAGCCAAGAGCCCTCAACTTTAGATATTACTCTATTATGTTAAAACAAAGTTCCCCTAAAAATAATCTATAAATAGAATACTCAAAGTAATCAGTTGGCTTTTAACTTCTTCCAATAAGCATACCTGCTCCTTCAGAAAATTTAATATCACAAACTATGTTATTCTTCTAATCAACGAATTTAATACTTCCATACCATTCCAACAACCTAGCACCGTAAATTAAGCCACTGACTTTAACAGGTGGCATACTAAATGTAATTCTTTAACCATCACTAAATTCAACCACGCTCTCACCAACCTAATGTCCAATAACAGCATTATATCTTAAAGCAGCCTAATATTCAAAGTGACCATAAAATCTATATTTCTTCCTAAAATGTTCTATGTAGAAATGTGAGATGGGAGGATGATGACTAGTATGTTCAATTGAAATTGATGATCCATCTTACCATGAACCTTGGAATGTTTCACCTAAGATAGGATTAAATGGTTTCTTTTGTCTGCCTCCGATTGTATAGCCCAGCTATTATCATTGTGACAAACAATAGCGTCAATAAACCGAAGTAAGGGGATCCTGCTATCCTAAAGCATACTCCATATAGATAGGCATAAAACCCCAGTATTCGCATATTCTTTCAATCATGGATCTAGGTTCAAAAATACGAACAGGAAGTGAGAAGGAAATGATATTTCGACCTTCAAATAGTTATCTACCTGCCGATCTCATCAAATCTAATACCAATCCATCCTATGCCTTAATTTCTTCCTTGTTGAAACATTCAATTCCTCCCTCTTTAAATCTTCTATATCCTGGAACTCTCTCCTCCAATCTCTTACTTGTTATTTGCTAACCATTCTTCAATTATGTGATAGAATTCATCTATTCATCAAAACCTACTATGGACCTTGATTTCTGTTTAATGTAAGCGGAGGATAACTCACTTACAATAGATTGTTGAAATTGATGAAATCTCTCCTCATCAATAGTTTATGAAATCAAACTTAAATTCTCTGCTTTATTGTATAAGTATTTTTCCTAACTTGATTAATGATACTATTTACCAACTCAGTTGTTATTCTGGAACAGGTTATCTCACAGTAATAATTGACTAGTCCTTTGCCTGAGACCTTAGGAATTCTTTGAATTTCATAGGCTTCGAACATATTAAACTTGTTGTTTTCACTGGTCAATATATCAACAATGAATGAACTGCCATTGTTTATGATGAATCGATATCTCAATAAGTTCATTTGGATTATGACTGGTTTTGTCACTACCTGTTTTTATCGTATGGGATGTATTATAAAATGCACCTTAGCTCTTTTCTAATATAAATTAAGAATCTTACAGTAAATTCAGCTTCTTTATTATCTTGTATTTTATTAATTTAAACAAAATTGCTATCCAGAACCTTTTTAAACTTAAAATTCTTAATAATTCTAAAGGCTTTTGTTGAGTCAACATCACAAACCATCCTACCATAAACACGTATGTTCTAAGCTTTTTAACTTTTAAAGTACGAGGCGGATAAGAGTGCAACCAAAAAAGCCATAAAAAATGGTATCCAATTAGGTTTTAAATAGACACCAATGCAGAAAGCAATAGTCAGAAGAATATACAGTTTCCAATTCCTAGTATTCTTATTCTAGATTGGACTTTCGTATATTTTGACTCCATTTCTAAACTTGCGAAATTACCATTGTTATTATAGATCATCAAGCATAGTCAATATTTTATATTTAGATAATTCTGAGGGGAGAGTGTCAGTCAATAAATAAGTATTGGTAACAACAAAAGAAGGTCGTTTTTCTGTTTACACGACAGCCGTTGTGGCATGAGATATCTCATCACGCCATTATTCAGTTTCATCCAAAGTTTCGCCACTGAAGTAGAATTGCTTATTATTCTAGGCTTCCACTTCAATATAAAAGCAATGTTCTCTGTCATCCAAAGTGGACATAGGGGATATGTAGGCTTCCCTTAGATTTATGGCACCTCTTGGTACCTTGTCATTTCTATCTTTGAAGTATATCAATGTCTATCCATCCAAGACCAGATATCTTTGATTCCAATTATAGTCTATGGGTCCATCTCCTCTTTTCAAGATCATTCCTGCCTTTTTTCTCTACAATTAAGGAGGTCTAGTAGGAGTTTAGGAACTTGTTAGACTGACTTAGGATTATTTGGCAGGAGTGGAAAAAGTGGATTGAGATAGATTAGAATAGTGTTTAAAGTATTTCTTCTTTAATCTAGGTGATGATGATAATAAATTACTCTTTATAGGAGGTCTTTTACAAGTCTTTGAGAGAAGTTATTTATTGATACAGATTCAATTTGACTTCTTATTATTGCAACAGAACTGATTTATTCATTTTAAACAATTCAGAGTCGTTCATGCTCTGCCAAACATTGTAAGTGAGTAGCATGGACTTGTAGAAATACAATAAGTATTTTCTTATTATTTCTGTTAAGAATTATGCAATTACATTTGACTCGTCACCATATTGATAGATATTGATTTCAACATTCAAATTAATAGCAACAATATTAGGACAGAATCGTTACCAATTGCTCTTCTCCAAGATGCCAAAGTTGTCTCGCAATTTCCTCTCGACATCTTTTTCATATCCCTTAAAGTAATCCAACTCCTCTGCAACCACATCAATCACTTAAGCAGCTCTATTTGGACTCGGACTTACCTTAGCAATTACCGCAACCTCAATTCCTGAAAATTGGACCACATTAAATATTCTCTATTCGCAATTTTCAAATGAGGTCTTTCGCTCCTATATTTGAATCTATTTCTAATTTGTCAATTGCACCATAAACTCTGGCAAGTAATTGGAGAGGATGTACATTTTGACAACAGGTGACTAATTAATATCGAGTTCATACTTATGAGACCAATTCAACCTTTTGCTAATTTTGCTTACTCAGATCGAAGTCAATCAAATAGTCTACAAATTTGCTTCCCTTTTAGAAACTCTAAATAGGATGCGCGAAAAGTTTACTTCAGCATTTATTGGTAATATGACACTATATTATTATTTCATTAAATTAATGGACGTATCAATAGAAAAAGTCAAACATAGAACCAATCATGAAAGCATAAGATTACATACATTGATCAAGAAAGATATTTCGTAAAAACTCAAAAAAAATCACTTTTCTCCTCCTTCTTCGCCATCCATATTGGAAGCAGTTCGATCAAAACCACTAATCAAAATCGAGAGATAACAAAGATCGCCAGTAGTTTAACAGATAAATGATCTAGATTTTGGTTACATGGAAGAATTGGAAAGGAAAAAGATGTTCATGATGATTAGACTTGGTCACATTAAGGATCCTGCTAGACTGCTTCCAGTTCATAACTATGACAAAATACCAATTCTTCCAAAAAAAAAGAAAAGAAAAAACAATTAAACCCCATCACCAAATATATCTCCTCTCAAAGTTTCTATGCATAACTCTAACGATATATCGCTACCTACTTTAAGCACTAGATTGCATGAAGATCCATATTAGATGAACAGGATCCATAACACAACCAAGCAAAAATTAGACCAAAAATAAAGGAGGTTGAATGTTATCAATAAACGAATACTAAATAAATTCTCTATCGAATGAATATTGATCAAATGATGCAACTTTATATTCACCTTCAATGGGTTACTAAAAATTGAAATTTAATTTAATATATCTGGTCCTATTTTAAAAAACTCTTATAATTAAACATATAATTATATTTTAATACAATTATTTAATTAAAATATGAACATTTTATTTTCTTAAAGTTCATTCATCTGTAATACTCTTTTCAAATGATATCACATTATTTGATTAATTTAATTAGGTTCAACCCAAGATAATACCAATTGTAAAAAATAAAGTGTTGATTCTTATTTTTTATTTAATATCTATTTTTTTAATCTCGATTAAATTTTTAAGAAGGTCTTTAACTATTTGTGATTGCATTTATTTAAAATTCATAATATTGTTCGAAAATGGTTTATAAGTTTATTGTGAATACTTCTAGACTCAATCGGTCTAGTTCTTCTTTTTGTCTCTACTTGGAGATTTAAACAATCAAAAAAAATCATCAAATCTGAAAATGCCTGAATGATTAAGCACCATAATCACGTATAATAAAGAATAATTGATATTTATTTAAGGCGAAGGCAATTAATTATTAGAATAAATATAAATTTAATATTTAAATGGATATCATAGATTTTAATAAACCAAACACTGTCAAGAAGGTGAAAGTTGGTAAATTAGTTTGCCTATTCTAATAGTCAAGAAGGTTGTTACTTAAGCACCTGTAGTCAATAAATAATAATAGAATAAAGACTATTACAATAAGGCATTAGAAAGAATCATTCAATTATTAAAGGAAAACAACCCATCCTTAGCCACTCAGACTAACATTTAGCTTGAAAAACCCTAGATTGATAAATTGGGAACGAAGAAAACTTTGTGGAAGAACTTTGACGCCATTTGTGTGTAAATGAATAGGGTAGACTTAACACGTTAGTTAGTATTTTCTTATAGAATTGGGTACTGAAGGGTATTATATGAATACTAATATTAGATCATAAGCAGACGAGAAATTGATTATCAAAGGAAGGTACACAAGTACTTAAATCGAAACACTCATTAAAAAATATTTGTGTAATAATTTATTTTAAATAATAGATGAGTACGTCTTGTGTTCATTGTGCAAAAGTTCAGATACTACATTAATCAGGGATGTCGAGTCAAGACTCTACAGTAAAGAATGCAAAAATTGTAAGGCCACAAAAACAGTTGCGACACTCAAGATATCAAATAAGAGATAAAAATGATTATTAATTGCATGTTATTATTATTATTTTATCAATATGGTCTAAAAACCAGTTCTAAAGTATTTCCCTATCTTTCCAATCTTATTACAATATTATTCGATATCATTTGGAACATCAACTTTCTAAGTATTTTTTGTTCATCCCAAGAAAAATGCATTTTTTATACAAGTAAATGAATTGAAATGATTTAATATACTGATTCCTATAAATGGCTTTACATAAGACTAAATTATTTAGGAGGCTAGATCCAATAGTCTGAGATAATTTCTCATATTTAAACTGTAATTTATAATAAAATAAGAGAGACTTAGAGTATAACAATACTGTTTTCAATAAAGATCTAATGTCCATAACCAAGTTTCAATGTTGTTGATATCTAATTAGAATCATTTAAATCAATTTTTAATTCAGCAATTTTTAAGAATATAAACATAAAATTTTAACTATTTATTAAAGAATATAATATTGATCTTAATAAAATTACTAAATAATTCATAATAAAGTATCAAATCTATCTAATAACTACTTTTTGGTCATTGATCTGACTTCTAAATAAGCATCCATAGTTGGATCTAGATAATATTAAATATAAGGATACCGATATTCGAATTCATAAATTTATCAATTTATAAGGCATCTAAGACTTAGACACAGTGAGTTAATAGGGTTTTTTCCTAGTTGTTATCCAAGAAGGCAACGTAATTAGATTATTTAATTTGGTTTACATAGTTCTTGATATTCTATCTATAATTGTCTTTAATTTCTAATGATTATGCATCTAATATCACTTTGTATTCCTTCAATCCGATATTCAATTGATCAACTTCCTTAGCAATAGTTTCAACCAAACGTGTGAATTCAAAATTGGATTATAATCTATTATCCTATGACTATTTTAAGTGAATTGATAATTTGTTTAAACTAAAATACTCGGTTGCTGTAGTGCATTAGTTTTTAATGACACTTAACAATTATTGGCCTCTATTATTAGCCAACAATAACAAATAGTAAGCAATTAATGGAGATTCTTTATTCTATGACTATTCCAAAATAGTATGAGCAGTTGAGCACATGAATTAAACTTTACATCTTTCATTTACAATCTCTTATAATATGCTAACATTGTTAGTATTGGTATTGGATGGTTATAGGACATTCTATTCAGGTTTATCTGAATAAAGTTCCAAATCTCCACTAAATTCACCATCACTTTTTAATGGAATTTTAAATAAATATTCCCAAGTACATCGTTTATTGGGATCCTTGATAAGCATTGATTTTAGCAAGGTGATTGTTTATTTGGTAAAATGAAATTATGGAGGTATAACCCAATCGGTTTCATCTTGTGCAGTGATTAATTTAGCAATAGATTTCTCTTCAAATGGACATTTACCAATCAACAGTTCATACAATACTGCTCCTAGACTCCAGATATCTGCTTTGCTATTATAGGATAGTCCTCTTAACACTTCTGGAGCCATGTAGATTGGTGAACCCAACATGGTGGCGGTAACATCATTTTTGATGGGTTTACAAAATCCAAAATCTGCTAATTTATAAATTCCATTATGTATTAAAATGTTTGAGGGTTTTAAATCTCGATGAATTATTGAGTTTTCTCGTAAGACTTTGAATGCTTAAATTAATTGATAAATGATCTCTAGTGATTTTCTTTCTGTAAAATGTCCTTACAATAGCAGTAATTTGTCTAGTGGACCTCCAGAACAATGTTCATAAACAAAATGATATTGATGAACGGTTTTAATTAATTCGATGAACTTGACAACATATGGACAATGTTAAAGTTTTTAAAGCACTTCTATCTCCTACATGCTTAATTCAAGTAATTTTGGTGTTTCATTAAATTTAGCCACATCAACACTCTTAATGGCAACTACAGTTTGAGTAATAAGATTGGTTGCTCTATAGACTTTTCCAAACTCTCCTTGTCCAATTTATTCATGAACCTTATATTATTCAATCATGTTTTTAACAGTTAAATTAATAAATCAAAAACCATATTGCTAATTGCATAATTCAATTTCAAATAATGAGAGAATATTATTGAATAGGACTGACTTGATGCATCTATTGATTTAATTCATATCATTCTCTCAAGTTTGTAAATAAAAATGTGTTATTTTCTAAAGTTCTCATTTTATTATTGTATTTAATGATGATTTAGTTAATAATCAGAACCTTGGGTTGCTATTATTTTAGGATGTAAATAACAATAAAGAGTTGAGTAACTTTGATAAACTGGTTAATTAATTGTCTTGGAATTAAAAATTGGAACTCCTTTGTTAAATTTATAATGATAAATTGCGAAATATGAAGGGTATAGAAAAATTGGTTATTCAGAAAGATCATTACACTTTTTTACTTAATACTAATCTACCAAGAATTGATAAAGCACTATAATTATTGTTTATTTTTTAAGACCAAAGTAGTTTGAATCTTTTAATCAGATGATTATTTTATATTAATAACTAAGAACTAGTAACTAAGAGGGTCTCAAATTAATTAATTTATACTAAGTTTAAGTTAATTTTATTGGAATTGTTTTACGAATTAGATAATTTCATTCTAAAATTAAGATTAATTCATCATAATTGTGTATAATAATATTTAATTTATGAATGTTGAAACCCAGAGCAGCTTATATAACAAATTTAAAGACCAATTAGATAAATTGAAGTATTATTAATCTACATACTAGAAATAAGGAAAAGCCACCTGTTGTCTTTGCACTACATGAATTAAATTGTGATGACACAAAGCAATTTTTCTAGGTAACTACTGAGTTAATCTCATCTGGCATCAATTTCGCAATTGCTAAAGTAATTCTTAGAACAATAACTTAAGTAAATTGATAAGAGGATGTGGCACATTCTTAGGCAATAAATTGATATTGAATTAAAAAGCATATCTCCAGATGTAGAGGAAGAAATCAAGTAATTTTATGATCTTCGCATTAACTTTCTTAAAACTATTATCAAAAACCTGACTCAATAGAATTAATTAGGAGGATTGAAGAATGATAACGAATTCAGATAATTTTTAGCAAATTTATATTGTTATGCAGGGGAATTACACGAACATCTAGGCAAGAGATTAGAGAAGATGAACAAACAACCAAAGGATAATTATAAGTTGGCTGATCTTTTCTTTAATAAGGCTATTTCAATCTATCCCTTTTAAGGAAAATACTACTTCTTAGTAGCTACGTTAATGATGTAGTTTAAAGACACATTCAATGCGGCTTGTAGTTTGTAAAAGGCTCATTTTGCTCAGATACCCTATAATTGCAAAGAAAATATGAATGAAGTGTTTGAAATAAATAGAACTCATTATAATGATTGGGCAAAACATATAAAACCAGCTAGTGAATTGGATCGAGATACTTATTTAAGAGCCTTTATGGTGTATTTAATAAGGTTCAGTACGATCGTTGTATGAATTTAAAATTAATTTAGTTCACTAAAATTGGTTTTGAAGAATTGCCTAAATTGACTAATATGTATTAGCATTTGTAGGAGTATTTTAAGATAGTAAAAACGAATGTGCATAATGATCACAAGCAATAATATCAATTGCTATTAAAGGTCATAATGATAACCAATTTTGGTTTGCACAACAGCATAACTACATTCCAATTGAAAACTGTTCAGGATATCAAGGATAATGATTTAGTGAGAGAATCAATCAAGTATGTTTATGGATTATATGTGAATTCACTTGATTTTATTTTAAAATATTTGCTTTAGAATTCGATGAAGAACTTAGATTAGGTGCCTCCAGTGACATTTTTATAGTTGGTAATTCCAATCATCTACTATTTATATGATTAACCATTGGTTTGTACATATTTGTTGTCTGAATATCCTAGTTTAAATGATAAATTGGCATAAATCTTTTTATATTCAAGATAGAATTTGTATTAGGCTGAGAATATGAGTGGCGATTTATTTTAATATCAATAAAAGTTGAATGAGGAATTTCACGCCTTTTTATTTCCTTTTGAAATGCCTCTAGTAGGATTCACTTGTTATAATCATGTACTACAGACATTCAAACAACAATCTTCAACCTATAAAGATGAAGACAGTTAGACATCAATAATATTGTTTTATGTTTGCGAACAAATAATATAATAATTGCATGGCATTCAAATATAGAATGTGAAGGAACAAAAGTGGGAAGAAGAAATTCCAAAAGAATTGATTAGGAAACTAATAATAATTGATGGAATGAATGTGGCAATGAGATATGGGTAGGAATAATCTTAGGTGGCAAAGTTTTGTTCTTAGGGATTGAAATGTGCCTTAGAATTTTGGGTTAAGAGAGGACATGATGTTATGATCATATTGCCTGACTTTTGTTTTAACGAGAGCGAGATAAGCAAAAAGAAACTAACAAATGTAATTATTAGGTAGATATTCTTTAGTAAAACAATGCCAACAAATTGCCTGATGATGTCAAGATGTTATTGGAGATGAAGAATAAAGGGTATGCTTATGGAGTTCCAAATTGGAATTATGATGACTCTTATATGATTCAATATGCAAGAGAAAAGGGAGGATTGATTTTGACCAACGATCGATATAATGATCACATTAGAGCTCTGGAAAACAATATTGTAGAAAGAGAAAGATTGAAGGAATGGATCAGAAACAATTGTATCAGTTATACCTTTCTATAAAATGAATTGGTTCCTAACCCTGATCAATTAAAAAGAATTTGATTATTGTATAACATAACATAAATTTATGAAAAAAAAACCAATTAACAAAATTATTTATTTATGATGTACTTATAATTTATCAAATGTTATTGTTCAAATTTGATCTGGGAGGTTATTATTAAACTTATTATGGTGCTGGGTGATATTAAGGATATTAAGGATATGTTGGGTATGATGGGATCACTCTTGATGAAACGATTGGTGCAGCATATTAGACTGGGTATGTTTATACTGGTTGAACAATGCTGACTGGTTATTGTACAAATTGTTGAACAACTGGTTATGGTGCAACTGTTTAGACAACTGGTTATTAGACCACTTATTAGACGACTGGTTATTAGACCACTTATTAGACGACTGGTTGTTGGACGACTTATTACTAAAAAGTTAATTGAAGTGGAAAGTACATGAACAACTTATCTCTCAACTGGATAGTATTCAACTCTCTCTTGATATCTGTCGACTGGGACGTACTCTAAAAATTTAGTTGGGAGTTAGAGATACCTGTGTATTTCTCTTGGAATACTTATGGGACGTATTCGGTTTAATATTCAACTGCATAATAATCTGTGACTTTTCTTTCTCTTGGGACATATTGAACGACTTCTTGTTCTTCATATTCCATCACAGCCTTTTAGTAGGGGACGTATTCGATTCTTGATTCTCCCTTGATTGTTGCCTAATTTAAATTTGAATTTTTTTTTTACATGGACTGGTTGTTGAACGACTGGTTGAGCAATGACTGATTATTGCAAAACTGGGGCTTACACAACTGGTTAAGCGACAACTGGAGCAACTGGTCTGGCGACACTGTATGTTAATGGAGCAACTGGAGCATAAGCAGGAGCGTAAGTTGCAGGAGCATATTATGCGGGATATGTGGCTAATGGTGCAGGTGAATATTGAGGAGCATATTGAGGGGCATACTGAGGGGCATATTGAGGTGCTTATGGATGATATTATGGTGCTTGGGGTTGTTGAGGGGCTTGATCTAAAAACGTAGAGATTTAGTAATTTTACTTTATGGGACGGGTGGTCTTTGTGACATTTTTGATAAAAAGATTTTTTTCTTATTTTTATTTATATATCCATGCCATAAATTTTATTGCTTAAATATCCTAAACAAATAATTATAATTAATGTAGTTAAGAAGTATCTCAAATAAAAAAAAACCAAGTCAGCTGACTCAAACTACGCAACTCTTGGAGAAGGAAGCCAAGCACATGGTAATCATCAATCTAGCAATATCACTAGGAAGAGCAATTATAGCAACTTAAATAAATTATGCAATAAGAAAAATTTAAAAGAGAATCCGAAAAACCAACGGGACAGAATGGCACCAGATGGAAAGCCGCTAAAATAGACAAAGGATTAAGAAATTACACTCAAAATCTGCTACAAAAAAAAAATAGTTTTGAAAAGAAATCAATTCCCGCAGTTGTCAGACCAACATCAGCTAAATTACAACCTCTAGAAAAATCTATTAAAACACCAGCAATAGACAAGGATATTGAAATATTTTTTACTTAAGTAGGATTGTTGCAATATAAAGAAAAATTTTAAAATTACACAATTCAAAGTTTAAGTATTTCTTAATTCTTATTTAGAGAGAATGTCACTGTGTAATAGTTAAGAGAAATGGGCATACTACCAGGCCATTAAATAAAAATTATGAGAGCTTTAAAAGAAATACCTGAAAATATATAATTAATGCAAGAGGACAGCTTCTGTTAAAGTAGAGTAAGTGTCTCAGTAAGTGGAGTATAATGTAATTAAGCAAAATAAGCATGTTGGTTGTGTTATAAGATTTTTGATGATACCGAGATTAATTGCAATGGAAGGAACTTTTGTAGTTAACAATGTCTGATATAATTTAATTAAGAATATATGATCAAATGTTCAAAATGCAACAAGAAATTTTACAAGAATGATGGCTGCGTCGTATATGATAATTACTATTGTTCTCAATCTTGTAGTATAGATGCAAATGACTCAGTGAAAGGATGCAGTACAAATACTATAGAAAGCGTAATAGAAGAGGATTAATTTCAATAAACCAATTATGCAGAACAATTTAATGAATTCTTAACTTCTAGTTTATTAAATAATTGATCAATCATCCTCTGATTGTTCTGAACAGTCTTCTTTTAATTTCAATTCATTTAGTTAATATATCAATTTATCTTGATCTAAGTTTGATTTGCTTTTCATCTATTACACATCGGCTACATTAGTTTCCTCCACTTATTCGACATGTTTTTTATCTTTTTCCTCCTCAGGCTATTATTACTACAATCGTTTGAGATCCTATAACTGCTATTTTTTTTCAGTAACTTTCTTCTTTTTTTTAGCCTCCACTGGAACTTGAGCCCTAGGTACAAAGCAATTGTATATGCGTCGAGAATGCGCAGTGAGATTCTTTAAATACAATTTATTTTTCTTGTATTCTTATTTTATCTTGTCAAAGTTGATAACACTACTTGTTTATTTGATTCTCTTTTCAATTCCCTAAAATTAATTTATTGAGTACTTCGTTATCTTCAATCAATTTTCTCATTTCTAATATTTTCTAACCTAAATTCGATGGTTTAATGGGTAGGTCCTCATTTGACGCATAAGATGAAGGTTGATTGTTGATTGTTAAGATTTTTTGCACCAACATTTTATTTTCTGTGTTTTCGGGATGTTTGATTTCAAGTAATTTCTTAGATGTTGTAGGTTTGAGTTTTTTCTTATGGAAGGGTTTCTCGACATTCATTGGTTATTCTTTGATATTTTGGACTTGATGAACGTGCTTGTTGTATTACTAGAATGAGATGGGATTCATACATATAGCAAGTTGTACTCTGATATTGGAGTGATTATTTCATTTTTATTCCAAATATTAGTCATTAAAATTAAATGGACAAGTTCGACACAATTTAGGGAAAACTGTTCTATACAGTATATTGTATGCACAAATCAAACGAGATAACTCACTACCAGAGGGGCAGAATTAAGGGTAGATAGTAAAGCTTAATGAATTAGACATGATTGTTTAATGGGATCCTCAAATTCAAGAACTCATCAAAGATCAGAACCGACTGAAACAGAACCTTCTCGAAATAGCCTGCTCTTACTCAGAAAATGGAGACTCTAAACAAACAAAAATAACTCCTAGGAGTTTCAGTAGATTAAATATAAGAATTGGTCAAAGCAACTTCAAATTAGCAAGTAAATCTTATAGTTCATTATCATCGCCGTTGGATTAAAGAAAACAGTTATTAATATGATAATAATCAGATTATTTTTCTTTCTAAATATTTGTCAAAATTTTAGAGTATGTGTAGATTGTCATGAATGACTTTTTTAACAAATCCAATCATAATATCATACCGTATTAATACTTGTTTTCTTTATGGATTTGGAAGATAGGATCTCCTTACTTAAGTAGTTTTGCGGAGAGTAATTTTAAATGGTTTGTATCCATCTGAGACTTCAGATTCTTCATAAAACATGGATCTTTTTTTCCTTAATTAAAATTCCAATTTTGATGGTTCTTCAAGAGTAGGAGTATCATTGTGCATAATCCTATCTTTGGTGATGCGAGTGAACACTTATTGTTAATCGGTTTCAATGAACCCGACATCAGGTTCTAAGTATCTTTCACTACCAATTCCTCCAAAGACTGCAATTTTAGAACTAAGTAAGACAGTTGAATGAGCACACCGAGGAATCTTGAGTCCCTCAGCAATCACCTATTACCAGAGATTCAAAGTAGGATAAAAGATGAAATATTCATCCGATTCCAAAGTGCCATTCACAATGAAATCTCTAAGTCCTCCGATGACAGCTATGCCTTAAACCTTTCTCAGATACTCTATCGTGTGATTATGCATAGGGTAAGGTCCTTTGCCAACAGTCTCCACAACATCCCATGAAAGAGGTGTGTTGTTGGAGGAACAATAAGATAGTTTCCGCATAACATCGACTGAATTCCCATCAGCATCTTTGCCTCCAAAGGAATAGATGTTGTCTAATGGCATGATGTCAGTAGGTATAGATTCTTGGAATTTGCCTTGAGATGAGATATTGACAATGGCATGACAACTTACTGGAGGAGATTTGACCTTAAATAATTTCCACACCTACTTCTCTATATTGAAAATAGCCGTGTCTGATAAAACCTCTTCATTGGAATTAATCCCTCCATAAACAAGCATCCACTTAGGACCTACTAAACATGCTTTGTGTAGTCTTCTAGGTTCAATATAATCTCCTTGAGGATGAACCTTTTCCCAATTCGTCGTGCTTACAGTGTATTCATAGATAGAATTGGTGCATTCTCTGATTTTTAATTTAGGATTAAATTGACCGCATCCACCAAAATAGATAAATTTATTCTTGTATTGCACCACTGATAAGCCTGCTCTTCCTTGTTTTGGATGGTCTCCAATCCCTTACACCACTTGCCAGACCTGAAACTCTTGAGATAATCAAACACATTAATACTTATATCATATTTGAGCATCTGATTTCTGATTCCATCTCCTCCGATTCCTCCGTATAAATACAATTGATCATTGAATAGACTAAATGCAGCTTGTTCTGTGAATGATGGTTTGAATGTCCTGATATCCCTAGTCAGGCGTTGAGATTCAAAATAGAAAGTAAGCTGGTTTGGACTGTCTATGATTTCTTCTATGGGAGCATCCAACTTTGGAAGCTAGAACACTAATTAAATTGCAATAATAAGTACCTTTGTGTTGTGGTTTCAATTCCATGGCCTTTTTTGGGGATTGGTCTCTCCGCTTCAGTTTTTAATAATTTCTAAATTTCGACTTTTGAGTTAGAGATAAAGCCTCAGTCATAGCATTTTCTTATCTTTCTCTGCTTTGATTGATAATGGTTTCTCTCTGTTTCTTATTGTGTTACAATTGGGCTTGGAGTCGTTCCTTTGGAGAGGGTATTCGTAAAACTTAATTGGTGAATGCAGCCCTACATCACTCGAATAAATACATCTAGGGCATCTCAGTAAATGTCTTAAAGAAAGTGCTTTGAGAGAGAGAGGCATTCTTCTCAAAGTGTATTAATTCTATTTGAGGCTGGACAGTCAGAAGTGATGATGATCGTCTCATTGGTTATTATTATTGGGGCAATTATTTCAATTTTTTCATTAAATGCAATAATTTTTATTTGTTAATTAATGTTCAGCTATTCGCCAATCAAACAGAACTCGTACCTAAGTTCCTCGAACCAATTTGAGTAACCTCTAGATGACATGAGTTGCATAATCGAAAATGGCAGCATGGGGTCCCTCTATTTGGGTAACATCGAGTCAGCTTGTATTTAATTCTAATTCACTCTTCTAGCCAGTCTGGATAACTTGAAGAGACATAAAATCAAGGGAGTTCTATCCATCTGCATGAATAAAATTCCCTTTGAAGTGTAGACATCATTATAACATTACTTACACATTTATTTAGAAGATTGTGAGTCTGAAAACATAGCCAGACATTTTGAGAACTCCAATCAATTCATTGATAAAGCCAGACAATCTGGGAATGTCCTCGTTCATTGCATGGCTGGAATCTCTAGATCAGCTACTCTTGTTGCAGCTTATCTGATGAAGAAGAACAATATGAGTGCTTAAGATGCCATAAGACTACTTGAAAGAAAGAGATGGCAAGTCTATCCCAACAATGGGTTCCTGAGACAATTATCATAATATGAAAAGGTATTGTCATAATAAAATGGACGATCTGACATCTCCTCTCCTCTCAGAGATTCATGGAACAAGTAAATAATCATTTTATAATACTTAGATAATTTCAAACTCCAACCAAGGAGAGCTTATTTTATAATAAATATGATGAATAACAATAATCTAGCCAAAAAACAAGACCATTGGATGACATTTGCTTTGATAAATATAAGAGGAAGTCTGCTGGCTAAGAGGATCTATTTAGAAGTCCAGAAAGCAATGAAAAGAAACCATTTTCAATGACTTAACATAGGCCAAGTTCAGCAATCAGAACTTCGCCAGATCTCTTTAAAAAAAAGAATTTGTTGGCTGATACGAGTAATAGATTTTTCTATATTGCATAGTAGGTGGGAATAAGAAAGATGGTCTGGCTGCATTGGCTTTGGAATTGAATTAGATTGATTGGCAAAGTAAAAAACTAGATTTAGAAAGCAAATATCCAAAACCAGCGAGTTAATAAAATAATGTCAAATCATTCTTGACTCCCACTCGTCCTTTATAATTAAATCAACATCAAAGTAAATTGGATGAATTGCTTAATTCTTTCAACAGAAAATCCATACTATGATTATAGAAATATATAAATATATCAGAATAATCTTAATCCATTATTATTTATAATGAACTCCCTGTCCAAACGTATTAGAAAGATCAAGAAAACCCCAAAGATGACCACGTTTGAGGACTCCGATGATCCATAATAATTCACAGCTTGCATTGCAAACCTTAATTAAATTGTGGCTGAAGATCAATGTTTCTCTAGTTTAACTATTTTCTAGTCAAATAAATTGTAACCAAGGAGTTATTGGTTAGATTGTTGGAATATTTACGACACAACAATGTCTAAGTTGTCATCAACGCTCTCAATGCAATCCAAAATGTATTGCGTATTAGCGATAATTTTGGTTCTGAAATTAGAGATCAATTCAAAGACCTGGGCTTATTGGGCATTTTATTACTATTCCCAGTTCAGGAAAATACTCTATCAAGTTTCTTGAACTTAGCAATCGAGATCTTTGAAACTTGGGATATATCATTACTACCACCACTTTATTAAAGAATATTACCCATTTTAGAGAATTGTGTATAACAGGTTTATAATGAAGATATCATATCAGAAGCATTAAATTTATTATAGGTGTTAACTGAGATACCTTAATTTAATTTAAAGAATATAGATCTTGATCAAATTTTCTCGCATAATATTATTAAATAATTACATTTTGCCAATCAAATGAAATTAAAAGCATTGACACTCTAAACATACCTAAACATTGACAGATTAGACAATGAAATGTTTTAGCTAATTAATGAAATCATCAGAATAAATATCTTCTAAGAGTTGGATAACATTGAATCATTTCTCTAGAAGTAAGTAACAATGGAGGAAGAGTCTGAATTTAAATAGGATGAAAGATTACTAAGTACACTTTAAATTTGGAAATGCTCAGCTCAATCGATAATCTAAGTCTTGGTGTATTTAAATCGAATTTACGAAGAAGATAATGATGATCCATATGCCAACAATTAGAAATTCTAATAGTTCTTCAGAAAAGACATCATTTTTGATTTAGAAGATCTAATTTTAAAGAATTTCTTCAACTATTCTGGGGTCATTCAAAAAAAGCTATTTACGGATCAAACTACTTTTACTGATGAATTGTTGAGTCTAACTCTATTGATTTTTAAGTAATGTACAAATAATATGTTTAAGTTTAGGAAATAATTTATTAGCGAATCTCTAACCTTTAGTTTGCTTATAAACTGTAGAACCAATTCTGCCATAAATTTAAGCAGCCCTCCAAGTAGATATCATATCAGATGAAGATAAAAAAGAACTTGCTTAATCTGAATTTCTACTCTTGATTAAACTGTTAAAAGTGAACCCACAACTAGTGTTATAAATTCAACCATTATTCATTGTTTAATTGTCTGAGTTAACTGAAACTACAGAAATACTATTTCATATCGTAGAAGTCATGAAAATTAGGTATTCGAGTAAAGTAAAAAATGATTTGGAGACAATTCGCATAGTCACTCAAAAATTACTTAAATTGATGAACCAATCTAATATTATGTTGGCTGCTTAGGCTTTGGATTGTCTTTTCGATGTGTACACTGAGGAAGATTTCAATGCTCTTCTAGTGGAAATGTAGATTCTTGACCTGTTATCGTAGGGATACTAATATTTATAATCAAAATTACCATAGGAAAAGAAAACATTAGCAAAAGATGATTGGAAATTCTTAAAGCTAACAGTTACAAACTTAAAGTAGTTTATTGAATACAAATTAAACATCATAAAGTGATTTCATGTGTATATTATTAATTAATATAATAAAAACTAATTAAATTCAAATTTCATTCATTATTTCTTTTGGCATCAATGAATTTATGCAACAATTCTTGAATGCTTTAATAATTTATTCCCTTTCCTTTTCCAATTTAGGTAATGATTCTGGGAGATCCAAATTGACATTATCTTTTTTATCAGACTCATTGATGTTGACATCATTCAGAACATTCTTCCTCCACTTTTAACTCACCTGAAGATTAAGCATATTGAATGAGATAACGTCATCTCTTCTTTGTGATGAATTCATAATTTATATATAAAAATATGATAGAATATAAAATTAAAGAACAGTGGATATTTAGAATAGATCTTAATAAAAACATTATAATTGTTATGAACTGATTAACTAATAAGTATTTTAGCCTATAAATTAATTCATTATAAAATAAGCTCTAAAATTGTATTTGGCTCAAATTTAAATACAAGATCTTTACTAAATTGAGGCAAGGGGTACTCATCTTCAAAATCGAATTGAACATTGTAGTTCTGCAATTTTCTCTTCAGTTTAAGAATCTTCTTGGAGACAATGAGCTATTGTTTGGGGAATCTCTCGATGGGTGCTTCGTAACCTTTGGTTTTGGCTCCTGGAATGGCAGCAGCAATGAGATCATCGAAGGTGTTCTTGTGTTTGTCAAGTTTGAGTACGATCCAAATCATCTATTGAAAGAGGACATCCTTCTGATATTGATTGACCAATTTATCGTATTTGTCTTGATATCGATAGGGTTCATAATCCTGTAGGAGGATGGCAACCCACTCGCTGTAACTGTAGAGATCCTTCTCTTCGGAAACACTTAGGTATAATTCCTCAGCATTTGAGTTCATATATATGATTATTTAATTTGTAGACATAGGAATATTAATTTATGGTGGATATAATCATTTGAGTAACAACTCTTTGGCTTCGTTGATTTTAGTGGCCACATATGTGGATCCTCCTTGATCTGGATGATTGAGCATCAACAATGTGCGATGGCGAGTTTTGATTTAATCTTGCGGTGTGCCTTCTCTGACTCCGAGAATCAATTGGGCTTCTCTCCTGGTGAGTTGTGTTGAGAAGGTTCCCTTGTAGAATGCTCTTGAGGTTTCCACAGTTTTGAAAAACTCCTTGCTTTTGATTTGTCTGTAGGTACGAATCAATAGTTTGGTGCTTCCTCCCACTACGATTAGGCCACAACCTATGGCGAATAGAGCAGATGACATAAATTTAATTTTATTTATGATTTTGCAATACAATTTATAATTAATGAATGTTTCTCTAAAAGACATAATTCCAAGTAAAAACTCTTCACAATTCAACCTCAACAAAATTCGGTTTAAAATCTCTAAGAAAGTGGAATCCTATTGTTAATGCAATCAAAGGAACTGTCTGATTTGTGCTCGTAAGCGTTCTTCGTCAATGCTAAGCATGAAAAATTCGATTGTTGTCGATGAGAACTCTCCTGTGTCCAAACGCACTGTCGAACAACCAAAACCAATCTAACCGTTTAATCGATCCATTTCCAGACAACAATCCAATCACATGGGGAGAGTCTCAGTCAATATCTCAACTACAACAACTACAACAAACAATTATGGTAGAACCAGGAAAACTTCAGTGGAGTCCTCGCCTCCCAAAGACAACAGTATCAAATTTAACCTACCACTTTATCTAGTTATTGGCAGACACTCCTTTAAATACCTATACGTGATTGGTAAGGGAGGCTTTGGAAAAGTTTGGAGAGTGGAAATGAAGGCCAATAAATAGGAGTACGCATTAAAAGAAATGATTAAAGCAAAGTAAACCAAGAATACATTAACTAAAGGATCATATCTAAACGATCAGTTAATTCAGTTATGAATGAGAAATACCTTCTCGAGCATCTCAAACATCCTTTCCTTGTAAACATGCATTACGCATACCAAGATAGAGAAAATCTTTACTTGGTTCTTGACCTTCTCAGAGGAGGTGATCTTCGTTATCACATTGGTAGATAAAAGAGATTCACTGAAGAATAAACAAGTAAATATTAAATTATAAATCAGAGTTTTTTGTGTGTTGTATCTTGTTATCTTTGTAATACTTGCATTAGAATGGTATCATCCACAGAGACATCAAACCCGAGAATTTAGTGTTCGATAAAGATGGCTACTTGAGATTGACTGATCTCGGAGTGGCCAGATTAAATAAGGACTCTTCAGCCAGCGACACATCAGGAACACCTGGCTATATGGCTCCAGAGGTTATGTGCAGAATGGATCATTCATTCCCTGTAGATTATTATGCAGTGGGAGTCATAGCATTCGAATTACTCCTTGGAAAAAGACCGTATAATGGAAGAAATAGATAAGAAATTAGAGAATAAATATTGGCCAAACAAGTTTAGATGAGAGATGACAAATTCTCAAGCAAAGTTCAAGATTTTATCAATCGCGTAAGCATTCCCATAATTGTAGTTATTGATACGTAAACCATAATAGAGATTAGGTGCTTAGGGAATACACGAATTGTTTGAGCATCCTTGGCTTAGCAATTACAATTGGGGTAGATTGTTAAACAAAGAGATCAAAGCACTTTATATACCAGGAGTATACTTATAATAATGAATTAGAGCATAGATGGCAATTTTGATTACCAAAGCCAGATATCTGCAGATTCAGAACCTCAAGAAGAGGCTTCAACCTTATTAAGAAGAAAGAGTGTTTAATGCTTATTTGAAGGATATAAATATTTTTGATTATAGTATCATTTTTATTTACTTACACCTAAATTGGCCACTGTGATTCCTGCATTTAACATAGATACTAAGTAATTGGCATATTCATGAGCTCCCCTCTCCAATTCTTCAGCTTTTCTCTTCTCCAATCTCTTGTGATGATTCACAGTCTCTTATTTGATTGTTTTGATCTCTGATTTCATCTTCTTCTTTCTATTTTCGTTATCGTCTCTCATAGCTATAGCTTCTGATTTCAATTGATCAGCCAATTTAATATAGCGAGCAAACTTTAACTCAAGTTCATCTTAATTTTTTTCAGATTCAGTAAACTTCATTTTGTACTCCTATATTTAATTCCTTGTTGAATATTTGTTCTCTGCAAGATAGATCTGCACAATTGGAGAAACTATTAATATTTAAAATAGCATTTACATTTAATTCGTACCATGACTCTCTTGTTTCTTGCCTTAACAGTCGTTTAACTCAATACTATTGGAGGGAGGGATTACTCATATTGTTGTTATTTGGCAAATTTCTACTCTGCTTGCTTTTTGAATATATTGCCAGCTCCTAAATCTAGGTTCCATTCTTTCAGATACTTTTAACTATTCGCTATCTCTATTCCTGTAAATAGATATGAGAACTCATCCAATAATTGCTTCTTCAAATCATCGTTGAATTTACTTCTACTTAAAGGGAATGAGTAAAATAAGGCATAGAATACGCTTTAGGCTAAAATGTCAAAGTAAGTCTTAAAAAATAATTGTCTATCATCTTTGCGATCGATTGTCAAAAACAGATTAATATAGTTTCTAGATATTCTGGTGAGCAACTTTTAATCCTCCTTTGGCAATTTGTTGAAGTTAATCTTGGGATAAGTTTCAGAAGTTTCATCAGGTTGGATTTCTCTCTTAAAAAATTTGGTAACGACATACCAAAAAGAATCTGAGACCACAGCCTTATGCTCTTCCAAATTTAAATATTTCTGCCATTAAGTAAACATGGATTTTACCTTTATAATATGATCTTTAGGTTACTTCTAATAAACCATCTTCTTTGTCATTTGATTTGGAGGGGAATTTCATACTATTCAATACATTTGTGTTGATCTTCTTGAATTCTACTTGATTTGGAAGTGGTGTGTAGAGTTCATCGAAAGTATTTGGTGGTTATGCTTCCTCAATTTTTAATATGGTTGTGGCTTTGTTTTATTCTTAAGGCTCTGTGATATACGTGGCTGTCCCTAAAAACGTTGTTGTAGTTGGTCCTCTTCTTAAATCAGGAGCATACATTCTTAATCAAATAAGTAAATAAAATAATAATATTCTAAAATGTATGACAATATCAGAATAAATTATTGTTTTGCAATATTTAAATAGAATACTAACATTTTGAAGTTATTTTGGATAAAATAGAAACTCTTTGGTGTAATGACATTTCACTAAGGAAGAGAATGAGAATTAATAAAAGAGAATTGAATAATCCATATATGAATGCGGACTCTCTATAAGTGATTATGATGATGAATTATTTACTGATGATTATTCATCATTTTAGATTTGAAGATAAGGTAATGACTACATAATCAAACGATAAATTCGAGAGGAGAAACGAATAAAGGAGGCCTTATCTAACAGAAAATCTTAATAAATAAGTGCAAATAACCAATGAACACTTATTACATTAATGAGATTATTTGAGAATTTACTTTATTCATTTAATTTGACTTGCAATAGTAAAGAAAATCAAATGTTAAATTTCATTTTTTTAATGTGTACTTAGTACTCGACAATTTAGTAGATGCAGTAGTTGTTGATAAATTCACTAATTCTTTTGATATTTCTTAATTCTCTCTTTCTTTTTCGAATTTCTAAATTAAAACTGAATGAGTACTTTGTAGTATGTAAAGTATAGAAGCAGCATCACTAATTGCAATACAGCAATTACTAAATATATTTCTTGAGCACTATATGCTGTTTGGCATGCATCATTCTTATAATTCAATCCTTAAAGATAGATCAAAACTATATTAAATATACAGCGTTTATACCACAAACTGGTATCTGAATAAGAATTCCGATGCTTGTCAAAAATTAATAGGGACCTCTCACTCGTTTATTTGCACTCATAAAAAAATTATATGGAACTCCTAATACAATCAACCACACAGTTGAAAAAATCATTAAGTAAAAAATATTGTCTTCCAAGCAACTTTATTTCTAATTCACAAATATCAGGTATAAAGAAACACAGCTTATTGGTAAACTAGTTATTCTTATAATAATTTAACTGAAAAAGAATGCTAATACAACCTAAATCACTTTCATTTAATTACCAATAACGCAGTAGTAGCCTAAAAGTAAAATGTGATTTGTTAAATATTAATAACATATTCGCATTCATTCAAATTGATTTCAGTAGTCTGATAACTCTTCATAAATTCTATGATTCCCCAACATATGTTTAAGAAAGCCAACAAAAAATTATCAGAAACCTACATTTTCTCTTTTGCTTTCACATAAATAAATGCAGTTAAATTGAGTATAATCATGAAACTTGCACCTTTTACAGAAACAGATAAAAATTATTCTCCATCATCTAAATTTTAGATTATTTCTACTTGAACATATTTGATTAACCTTGGTAAGCATTTAAATTGATATTATTGTATAAGCATTCATTCTCAAATACATGAGAATAATATGCATTCCTCTATCTGCAACGTTCATAATAAAATTTTATTTTTATATATAAATTATTTATGAATATCAACAAATTCTCATACAGAAAGAGTTCTTTTTTCATAATAATATCCAGAAAATCAAAGCATAGATTTGAAATAGAAAATCAATTCATGCATAAATTCACTTCGACTACTCTTTTTATAACAATCTTAGTTAATGTATGGAGTAAAAATACGTTTAATTATTCATTTAAAAAATCAATTTGGATGAATATATTAATCAATTGATAAAAACACTCTTTCATGTTGATATGATTTGGATATATAATATGCCATCTTATCGTACTGGCTAATTACATTATAGAGCATGATTTCTGCCATTGAAAGTCATCTGAATTGGTATTATATCTTCTAACTTACTACAAAATAGCATATACTTATTATTCTTAGTTAGTTCTTTGGATTAATGTTTTGTAATTGATATTTTTAAGTTTAAACGAAAAATCAATCGTATCTCTGGATTAGATACCAGAGAGAACATTGAATTGATACTTAAGCCTCTTAAGAATGAGGTTAGAAAACCCTTATTGGATTTATTCGAATATATTAAAGAGGATTAAAATATATGATTTATTTACTAAATATAAGTATTTATTAAATAGTTGAATAATTTGTAAATGTAGAATCACTCATTTTGTAAAGTAATTATTAGGATGAATCATATAGTTATCTGTTCCAACATTTAAATAATATGAGCAGTTTTAAGGTGTAACTCTCTATTGTATAGATGTACAAGTGATCGGAGTGACAGCTTGGAGATTGGAATTGAGGTATTAAGCATATCAATCAATTACAGATACAGTGATCTATTTGATTTGAATACAATTCTTAAGGCATAATTCTAAAAGTTGCCTAAATTTCCAGGAAAAACTCTGAGCAAACTCACGACACCTGAGGAATTAGAAAAGCGTCGAATTAAGTTGAATTCTTATCTCTCGGCCATATCGGAAAGACTTGATATAGTGACCTGCCCAGTTTTTTGTGAATTATTCGAAATAGGCAAATATGCTCCTAAATATGTTTTTGAACAACCAAAAATAATAAATTGCTAGCAACATACTTAAACTATAAAAAACTGCCAGTACCTTAAGGAATAAGGTTTAGTTCATATTTTAATTATAAGAGGCTTTGCTTGTTGTTTCATCTCAAACTGAAGGATACAAATAATTGATGGCTCTTATGTAGAATAAAGAGAATTAAATTTCTGAGGCTCTTGGATAAGTAGAACTATTTAGTCTGAAGGATAATTAAATGGTGTTGAAATGGTCTTAAATTTTTGAGAATCAAGTACATTATAATTACAATCAAAGGCTCAATGTTTGCACTACTCAGAGGGATGCTTAATAATTGGACTAGAAAAAGGAAAAGTAATTGTCTATTAATTGGATCCAAAGACTTGAATGCACCTCAACACCCCCTTCAACTTATTAGATGCATAAAATGAGAGTAAAATGGAGTATTTTATCATAAACTAAAAAAAAAGTTATTTATTCCATTAGTTAAGATGGGACTTTTGTAGTAACTTTAAGAGATTACTTGAAACACAAAGACTGTATCTAATGACATTATCATAGGTAGAATTGATATTAAAAAGGTGAATTGACCGCTTTATTGGTTTGCGATTATCGTGAAGTGGCATTTATCGGTAATTCTAAAGGATCAGTATTTATTTTGGACCTGAGCAAAGAGAGTGTTCAATACTTAAAACGAGTAGACTGCTAGGTATCATCCAAAATTGTTGACATTGCAATCAATAATCAACAGGGTTTTTTATTTGCTGCATGTGAATCCGGCTAATTATAAGTGCTAGACATAGGTTCAATTGGAAGAGAATCCAATTCTAAACCTAAAGTGTGTATTGCAACCAATTATCAAACCAAGAAGATATCGTATTGTTAATAGAGACATCATTTGTATATTGGAGACACTCTAGGGAATGTTACTGTAATTAGTGAACAAACTGGATGTCCAATATGTATTTTACAGCAATATTCCTTTTAGATTCTGTTCGAGCTCATGAATTGGATGTCATAATCACATTAGTTTATTACCTTGAAGAAACTAATAAGGTGGTCACTTATGGCAAGGACCAGATGTTTAAAATGTGGGAATTCCCTACTTGGATCAACTTAAATGAGATTAAGCATTAGGAGTATCAAGAAATCAAACAAGAATAGTTGATTAAGCAATAATCTAAATAAAAACAATCTAAAGTTAATTAAGCTTAATCAGAAGATCATGAATAGTGTATTTGAATGTATTGGCATAAATATAATAAATGAATTATTTAAATCTATTTTAATACATTATTTCAACACCTATCTACCCTCACTATTATTGTGCCAGTGTCCAAGAGATTCCTTTTCAAAAATTAAAGTAAATAGGTGTCAAGTGTCTGCTATTCGATAGAGATAATACTCTTACAAGACATTTAGAAACAAAAACTGTATATGAAGATTTATTGTCAAAACTAAAAAAAGACTTTAATTAAGTGCTCTTAGTCTCTAATTCAAAAATCAATGAACCTACACAATTAGGATTGAGTGTGGCAAGGACAACTACTAAGAAGCCCTTCAATTTTTAAGAGATCTACAAAAATTATATAGATAGCAACACAAAATCTCATGAAATTTGTGTCATAGGAGATAGACTATTTACTGATATGGTCTTAGCGCATAAAAATGGTTTAATTGGTATTCTTGTTAAACCAATTGATATCAGTAATGAAGAGTCTTCAATTAGAACAATGAGAACAATTGAAAACTTTATAATGAGGAACAATTAATTGTAGAAACATCCTTATCATGGATTCCTAAACTTTTGATTTAGCATTTATCATAAATATTAAATAGTAAGATTTTGTGTAGAGTATGAATACTCATCTTATTTTTCTTTCATTTATTAATCTCTACCCGTATAATTAAATTGAATTCTTTTATTAATGGTATCAAGAAAATATATATAAATAAAAGAAAATAGAATACATTCCATAAAATTACAATGACCAAATTCTTGTAGATTATGCTGCAATTCTTAAATTGGATAAAATAAATTGAAATTATCAATATTTGAATGCCGTTAAGCTAAATCTTTACGTAAGATTGTTTTTGATACAACTCTAAGGATGATATTTCTAAAATTAATAATAATTTTGGAATAATCATCTTTGTCTAAATTTATTCAATTTGATGAGTAAAACACAGTATTTTGCAGGTAATTAATAACATCTGTTCCAATCTTGTTTTTCATTTGTTTTCAAAAAGTGATGAAAAACCATGCATTCCATAAAACATTACTGCACTATGTAGATATCCTTAACTTAATCAAATTTATTAAATACCTGAATTGATTTATGATGGAGAAAATGTTAGCAATATCCCATTAACCATTAAGATGATAATCTCTTTGGAAACCTAATTTAACCTTTGCATTTTAAATTTGAAATCAGACTTTCTTTAAAATTGAAATTAAATAAAAAATTTTGCAAAGTGAATAACACCATTATCATCCCTTGAAGATTTTGTTATGATTTATTATTGATCTTCATAAGTTCATTAAATTATAGTAAATATTCGATATATGTATTTTTTGAGATTCTTGTAATTTCTCATTAGTAAATTTCCTTAAATTATAAGAATTCTTTTTTTCTTATTAACATAGTTTTTGGTTTGTTAAAATACCCTAAGGGATAGCTCTTTCGATATTAACATTTCTTATTTTCTGAAGGAGGGAGGATATTTTGAGTTTAAGAATAATTAAAATTTAAAGGAGAACAAAAAAGTCTAAAATATAATTTAAGCAAATCAAAACAAAGACAATTTGTAGGTTACTAAAAATATTCAAAAAAAATTGTATCATAGTGAATTGAATGTAGAATGTTCAGATTAATTAGTTGTTATCATTTTTCAATGATATCTAGTGATATAAATATTAAATTCTAAGAATTTTTTAGAATTTCAATATAGTATTAATATAGATAACAATAATTGTTCCAAAAATATTCATCATGGGAATTAAATGCTCATAACCTCAAAAATCGATATCAGTATTTTACACATTAAACTCATTTGATGAAAAGGAATAACAAAGCCACTAAGCTAGTCAAACTCTAAATTATAGCTTTCCCCAGAAGCAAATTCTGGAGAGCATTAAAACAAAATTGTAATTATAGCAAGAGCAAAATCTTCCTCAATAACCAGATGATCCAGGAAGTCCAATGCAGGCATTATCAGAAAATACTTAGGAAGGTGGTGAATTTACCAAGTTTAACAATTCGTGTCCTACGACAACAAGAATGAACAGGAGCAACTCAAATTAAATTTCTTTTTAACATAATAAGACGTCGAGTATTAAAAATATACACTTTTCGCAATCAATTTTAAATAAAAAAAATATTGAAGCGAAAAAAGGAATAATAAAAAAAAGTAGATATAAAAGTGATTCTTAATCTCCGAGCTCTATATAAACTATCAAGTCTGTTAGATTTTTAATAACTGAACAGATCAGACTGCAAGCAAAATCAGTCAGAACCAAGAGCCTATGTAGAAAGCCTTCGACTAGGCTATTAAATTCATCCACTATTTGTAGTAATCGTGATCAATCTTTATATTACAAAGTTGTATTCTGAAAATTCGAATTAATTTATTTATCAAAATTAAAAGTTATGATTTGATTGATCTCTTATGTAATTATTAACTTAATCAATGATCGCATTCCACGTACAAGATCAACACAGTGGAAGTGTGCTTAGACAGATGATGGTACGCTTCTTCACAAATGCTATAGTAGCAATTAATTTACAACTGAAAATAATAAGCATTCTCTTCAATTTAATATCCTTAAGTGTTATACTAATGAATTAACAGATGTAACCATGATCAATGAAGATTCCTGGTAAAATAAATCCAAACAACAGTTATAAAAACATGTTGAAATTTAATAAATAGTTATTACTAGAATGAAAAAATTGATTTTTTATAAATTGGGGGGTATTATAATAATTAAATAAGAGTTACAAAGTGATGTTGAGGTGACAAGGAGTCTTTTTTCTATTCGATCTTACTGATATATTGATAAATTGATATCAATAATTTTAAAGTGGACTAGGATCTATGAATCCTAATTTGGCTTCATATAAATTTATATTTCTATAACCGATTTTTCAATTCTCAAAATTTATTCGTGTATTAATAATGATGTCAATCGTAAAAAAAAGATTAATAATATACTCTTTAAACATTTAATTATTAATACTTGAATGAATGAATATCCTCAAAGTTAGTTCTAATATATCAAAACCTACTTTCTGAAGAATGGTATTGCAAAATAATTAATACCTGATAATTTAGATGATATTTATCCAGAGTAATCATGAAATTTAAATTTAGAGCATTAGATGAAAACCCTACCAACAATTAATCCCACAGAAGAGCAAAATCTGATGTTGTGTTAAAAAAAGAGGCTTAAAAGCATAATTTCGTTTAATAGTTTTCATAACAAACCGATACATCGACCTAAAATCAGAGCTTTAAATCATAAGGCATTTTAAAAAAAACTCAAAGAAGCACCACCAATCCAGTTGATAAAAGAAAGACCCATAGAAAAAAAGTTCATTTTATATGAGAATTGTGAAATTTTAGTCAATTTTGACAATAAATTGTATTTATTTATCATACCCTTTTTCACATTAATTGTATTTAAATTCCATGAGATATTTCACTGCTCTAAACTAAAATATTTATCATAAAGTAGTTACTTTTCCATAAAATAGAATTTGATAAGTTAACTAAAATGTGAATAAATAATGATTAGATTTGTTAATTCCTATTTTTATAATTATATTTATTTAGCGGTTCCAGAAGAATCTCTTGATTTTTATTACAGTTATTCTTATAAGAATAAATGATATCTGTTGGTTAAATAGCATCGCAAAAGAATGTGAAGTTTAGAATTAGTTTAAAAAAAAATCTTTCTGTATGAATAATTTAAGGAAAGATTTAATATCTGCAATAACTAATATATTTTACACATGAAATCATAATAGAACTTTTCCATTGTTTAACACATGAAAGAGTACTTTTCAAACGATCTACACACTCTCTAAAGACAATCAGAAGGTCCAATTCCAAGTTAAAACAGTATTAATACAAATTTACTTTTGTTGCCCGATTTGAAATCAATAATCTTCAATGAAAGTGATTTGCTAAGATTAAACGAAGAAGGGCTTATACAGAGTGAGTCATACTTAAGGAGTGTTTAAACTGATACATCAAGTATTTAAAAATAGAAATATAGGTAAACTGCCCATAATTAGAGACTAATAGGATCGTGATATGTCAGTTTTTTCAGAATTCAACGAATTTTGATGTTACTCATAATGCTCAATAGGATGAATTATTTTATATTTTCAGAATATCTGAAATCATTTAATTAATATAAAATCCAAATAAATTAAAAATAAATAAACTATACATTAAAAAAGTCAGATTTAATTCCGAAATCAATCTGCTAATGTTATCCCATACTTTGATTTAAAGTGGTCATAAACTGGAAAATAAAAGATAGAAAATATGCTGCATTAGAAGACTCTGGTCCCTAATCCCTTCAGGAAGGCCTTTTTTCCTTCTTGACGCCAAGCTTCCTAAACCAATACTTTCACTGACAACTGTTGTTAACTGCTGTCAACAAGTTAGTATCGAGTAATAATGAAATCAACAGGATTGACTATGGCTGCAGCCAAAGCAGTTGAAATCATTGTTGCAATGATTGATTAATGAATGGCCAAAGGTTAATTATGTAATTTTTGATCACTCCTTCTTCTCAAGATTTGATATCTCAACAATTCATAGAACCACATTTGAAATGTTGTGTAGACAACCACGGAGGCCATATATAAGTGCGAGGCTTGGAATAAGCGAATCCAACCTTCTTTTTATGAAATTTCAATTAATCCTGAATAAATTCCTTTATAATTATATTCAGGAACATTCATTTGCATTCTGGTTCTTAACGTGTCGAAAGGTATATAGGCTGTATAATTATAAATGTTTACTAATAACAGACACAGCTTCCGCCAAGGGGGATGTAATGAGAGGAATCAACAAATTAAGTTTACTTTTTTCGCCATCTTTTTCTAAACCTTTTGTTAATTTTATCGCATAATAATTCATATATTCATAGGCCAAAAAATACGAACCATAAGGAATAAATGAACCTAATTAAGCTATTTGAAAATACCCATAACTGTTGTAGAAAAGCCTTTAAATAAATATTTAAATCCTTCATTCTTAACTATAAGATCATATCCTTGCCTCATCCCCAGAAACTTAGACTTATGCGCTTTTATTCTTGTTCCGATCGTATCGAAGGGAAACATAACCATATCACCAACCAAAGATGCAAGACCCGAATAAAACGCTATTAATATTGGATTGAATTGTTAAGGCTTTTCTGTCATGTATATAAATTTTAATTATTGGTAATTTTAATAATTGTTAATAAATTAATAAATCAATAGACGACATTTTTCCAACCGTATAATTCGTCATGCAATTCTTATCTAAACTCCTCAAGATGTTTGTAGATGAAGTGCTTTCTCTTTTAGCTGTCCCCTATATCTTATCTATAAGTATCTCCAAAAGTATGCATTTATCCAGATTGTTATAACAGAACATTACCTGGATGTTTGTTCTGATAATTCTTAATTTTATAAATATATTGAAATGTTGTGCTCTATCTGGCTGCTATTACATGGACTTCGTCAAGTACTACTCTGTATTCTCCCCTCAAAAAACAGTCTTCAAATTGCGTATGCTTCTAAAACCCTTGTTTTGGGATAATGCCAATCTCGGGAGATCTAAAATATTCATATATTTCGGTCTTTGTCAATTTTTTCGAAGAAATGTACATTGTAAATGTGCCGTCTCTCCAAAATCGAATATATCTAAAGAAATCTACTCTATAACAGGGAGCACTTGTCTGTTAAAATTAAGCCTCTCCATATTTGATGTAATATTCCTTCATAGCATATATACCACAGTAATTTAATCTCAATTATTAATCATACATATCTTTATGCGATTAATAATGTTGACGTAATTCTTAATAGTTTAAGATATTTTATTAAGGATTGCCCCAATTATTCCAAATCGTTTAACTTGGATTCTGGTTCATTGAATTAATGAGCTATAAGTCTGATTCAAATAGATGTAAGTTTTCATTAATGTACTTCCTTGTTTTATCAAAGGGATTCATTAAATTAGGTTGTATTTCAATTTAGTCAAATAATGCTCTACAAAACTTCTAATAAAACTTATCACTAATCTAGGGAACATTGAAAATATCATTCATTTTCAAACACACTAATCTAGTCTTGTGTAAGGACAAGGGATCGAGAAAGTCCATTACTATTAGATGTATGTAGAGTGGCAATTCTAGGAATCTGCTGTCCTACTGTATTATTGGTCTCTCTAATTCTTTAAGCTCCTTCAACTTTTGGATTTCTTCATCCTAATTCAGTCTTTCGAGGGAGCTGATCAAATTTTCAAAACTGATTCTTTATTTTAAAAAATTCTTAAGTTCTTTTAAATTACCGTATGTCATCGATTTCAGCAGGCCTTGCTGTTGGTGTTACTAACCTAATTCCTCAATTAGCTTATCTATCTATTCTGTTCGTTTAATGCTATGCAGAACTCTATAAAGCGTATCTAAATCATTCTCTAAAACGTCGTATAAGTATTAAACTTATAATTTGCTTAAATTATAAAATTCTAACAGCACTTGTTTTGGGACCTGATTAATAGTCTATAACATTAATGATTGATTAAAAGTTATTAAAGAATTTAAAATATTACATCACTATGAAAGAATTATATAGTTTTTAATGAATAAATTATTATGGAGATAATTTTCGAAATAAGTAATTAGATCAAAGTAATTATTAGTACAAAGAAACAACTAGCAAGAAATTCAAGATTATTTTCGTCAATTGAAAATATAATCTGCTAAATAACGAAAGGTAAACTCTACTATTTATACATTCTAAGGATTTTGAGGACATTGCTCTTCAGCTTTTATCAAAAGAATAAGATAAGTGTAAAGCTTATTTCTACTTCCTCGAAATATCCAATGATGTTACGCTTAAAACGCTACTTCAAGAGATCTTCACAAAAGCCTTCTTAGAATTAAATGATTTCGGAAATAAATAATTAGCTTTACAAAAATGGCAACTAATCCCTTTAGATTTCATAGAAAAATATATGGAAGGCTTCGATATTAAACCAGCAGATATCTAAGAGTAATGAATTTATCTATTAAAGTGCTCAAGTAAAAATTCTAACTTTACTCTAAAATAAAAAGCCCCTTTAAGCTATGAAATTAATCATGATTTTTAAAGATCAATTGAATATGTCAATATTTATAGATAAATTCATTTAATTGGACGCAGTCTAAGATTTTTCTAAAGTATGCATAACTTGTCCGAATTTACTTAAAGATTTCTTGATTAAGTTAACACAGTCAGATAAAAGACATCATTAGAAATTTGCTACAGAGTTAATTAGAAAATACAATCTTAAAAAAGAAGACTACCCTTAATTAATTAAAATCTAAAATAGATAAGCTGTTGACAGAACTTACTTTCCAAAATTAGATGAACCCTATGAGAGAGTCGAAGAACGTTTGTAGGGATATCCATATATGCTTTGTCATGTAATAGATAAGTTATTGGAAAATAACAAGGTAAATGAAGCATACTCTGTTGCTGTCAGGTAAGGTTTGAACGACCAATTCAACCTAAATGGAGTACTCGTTGAAAATCCACTTCTAAAATTTGACGGTTTTGGAATTACAGAACAAATATGTTATTAAGAAGATCCATCAGGCTTCATTTAATTTTCTGATTTCAACATTCATGAGGATTAAATTCAATTCATTGATTCAGTTGAAAAATTATTGCTAATCAAAGACTTAATTCTAAATGCTTAAATTACTGGATTTGATACTGAGTTTTGTCATTATTTTGATGAATTCGCTATAGGAGGTGTAGCTATAATGTAAATTTCTACTGAAAACAATGTTTATATCATCGATATTTTCAACCTAAGAGAAAAATTAGAATTACTTTAATTCTTAAATAACTATTTTGCCAGTAATAAAATCAAAATTGGACACAGTGTATGGAATGACTTTACAGTTATGGCTTAGAATATGAATTTAGATTAAACAGTTGAACCTAAGAACATTGTAGACTTAACCTTTTTATACAACGAAGTATTTCCAGAAAATAAAAATAATGTCTCATTAGCTAATTAAGTGTATTAATTATTTGGGAAGAAATTATCAAAAAAGGAATGTTTCTCAAATTGGTAAAGAAGACCTTTAAGAAAGTGTTAATTACATTATGGAGCTATGGATGCTTATATTTGTATTGCTTTGTATTTAAAATTAAATTAATTGAAACAGCTTGATATAGTTTAATTGCCTTAACTCTAATAACAGCATCAAACTCAATAAAAGTCGAAGAAGATCTAACAAATTTAAAAAGGGGAGCATTTAAGATACGACTTATAATTCTAAAAGATAATCGATGATAAATAGAAAATGAAATTTTTAGTTGATGCTATGCTTAAAAAATTGGCGACTTTTCTTAGAAATCTTGGAATTGATGCTGAATATAATGAGAAGAATGATCATTAAACTATTGAATAATAAGCTATAGCAGAATAAAGAGTAATTATAACAAGAGATAAAAAACTATACGAAAAACCATAGCTTAAAGCCCCTTGTTTTTTACTGTCTGATAACCTAAACACTGGTAATTAAATTAACTAATTTTAGAGTAATAATTTGAGGAAATTTTAAAGGAGTTATAATTTTAAATTTATGAAAATAAAATTTTATCCAGATGTGTGAAATGCAATTTTGATCATGTTATTTAGATTTCCCCTAAAACAGCTCAATAGTATTTGGATTTTAAAAATGTAATATTATTAACTAAAAAATAGAATGATTCCTTTGGATAAATATAAGTATTCTGGTAATGTGAAAAATGTTTATAAGTTTATTGGGAAGGAAACCAATTTAAAAATTCAATCTAAAGATTCACTAAAGTAGCCAAAAACTAGGATGATGATAAATAGTGATTTAAAGTTAATATTCATTAAAATAATAAATATGTTCTATATTTTTCTTTTTCCTAATCAACTTTACTAAAAGTGCGCTTAAAATATCAATATTTAAATAATGTAAAATTAAGCAAACACCTTCTAATTGGATTAGTAACAAGACTAAAGATACAATTATTTTTAATTTTGTATATTGGCTAATATTACTTTTAAGTAATGGTTTAAAATATGCATATTTTCGTATATATTTTTGAAAAATCTGAATATAAAATATTGTGTAAAACAGCCATATCTAAAATTATGAAGAAATCAAACTATTTTTTTTAATATTATTATTAAAAATTGGATTAATCTTTGAGTCTGGTCACTTAAATATATTATTAAAAGATAAGAATGTAGGAATTTTCAATAAAAACATTCTCCATTAAAGAATATTCATATTTTATTAAAGCAATAATTATTTTCAAAATTAATAATTTTAAATTATACACATATATTGAATCGAAAATATTTATTAAATTAAATTATTCATAAGTTGAATTAGATAAATCAATCGTTAATTTTTTATGGAAATTAAAAGGAACTATAAATACTTGTTGTAGGATTTTGATGTACTTAGAGGTCTAAGATTTCCATTCTCTCCTCTAATTCTAATAATAGGGTTTTATCCTTATTGTTTGCAGGGTCATTTATTATTTCTGGTTAAATTTACAAATTTTAGACTAATTATTCATCAATTTAAGGTAACTATTAATTTTTAATTAAAGATTACTATCTAGTTTAAAGAACTCTAATAATTAATATCGGGTATTCCTAATTTATCAAATAATGATTCTAATTTATACTAGGATTATAAATATTTTTTAATTTATTGTATTCCTAAATGTTCTTATAAGATTAATTATAATCTATTAAAATAAGAATACTTACTTGGCTACTTCATTTTATAGATTCAAATAATTCATTTTTTTAATTGCAATTGAATCTAATTTATTAAGAATTTCTATAGATTTTTTGAGATCATAATCTTTTCCTTTATAATTAACCTTTTTAATTTAACCCATCCAATTCTTTTAAATTATAAAATCATTAAAATCATGATAATACATTGTTATAATATCTTTTTAAGCTTTATCGTTACTTAAATTTTCATTATACTTAGACACTATAAATGAAATTGAAAGAATCCAAGATATAATTGAACCTGTATCTGCTAATATCTCTGATATCTTTGGATATTCAACCATATTTACTGTCTTTACTTAATCTAAGTTAAAGTATAGAACAGCTATTATGTCTTGCCCATAGGCTTTTTAAGCATACTCTTAATCAAATTAAGTGGTTAATACAGATAAGTCAGAAAGATAAGTTTGTTAATTAGAGTTAGGGAATAAAAATCCATCATCCATAATCAAATCTCCTGATTTTAAGGTAAACATATTTTAAAAATAAGATTTTTGCATCATTTCAAAAACGAAAAATTTAGGAATTTTAGTAATTTATTTATTTCTTGGATCAAATTGTTCTAAATAAATCAGAATCTAAAAGTAGTTATCTTATTAAAAGTATTTATTGATTAAATCTTAATTTGCGCATTTTTATCCATCTTAAAGTAATTCTGGATTGCAATATGTAAAGGTTAATTGATAGTTAGTATATTTGTGATCCTATGAACTTATTGGCGAATTTGAAATTACAATATCTTCTATCAAGAGCTTATTTTATGTTTTACCTTCCTAAGTTTTCCTATATTAGAAAGTTGCATTGATAGGTGTTTACTAAGAAATAAAATAGCTATACATCATAATAACTAGATGAGCTAACCAATAATGGCTATAAGATCATATTCTATGGATCAAAAGGATCTATTTAATGTGAAAGTTCTTAAAAGTAGCTTATTTCAGCAAATACTCCTTGCAATTTCAATTTCTATTCAACATTGATCTATTATTGTAGAGAAGTCACTTTAGGAAGTTTATTATTTTATTGCCAATCAACAAATTGAAATAGAAAATATCCTAAGCTTATACTATACAAAGTTAAAGTTACTAATCCACCAAAAACACTTTTCTAAGTGGGGTTGATTGGAGGAATTTATAGTTTCTACTAAACCCCGAATTGATCTATTGATTATAAAAAGTATAACATTTTTTCAAAATATATTGATTAAGTTTTATTTATTTGTTAATGATCAATTTATTTGTAATATATCCTAGTGTTTGCACTTATAAATATTTTTTAGAGTAATTAAAAATTATCATATAAATAATACATATACTATTCTTGTTTCTTATATTTTGTAATAAGTAATTTAGTTATTTAGTAAATGAAAACAAAGAAAAGTCAAGACATAATTGATAGAATGAATTCGAATGCAGGATTGGAATAACTAAAAGGTGATTTAATAAAAATAAAATTATTATGTTAGTTTATTTATAATTAAAAATAAATGATAATTTATATTAATAAAATCTAATTACATTCCAAATGAGAGATTTTTTTCTCCCAAATTATCAAAAATTATTATCTCAAATCAAAAGAGGGGAGCAAAAATTAAATTATAATATTTTAATCCTACCTTAATTCAACTTTTCTAACATAAATCTTTCAAAATTGTTCAAAACCATATCTTGTGCTCTTTTAATAGAATAAAAACAAAAACAAATAATAGAAAACAGTTAAGCTTAACTGTTCTCTCTGGAAGATTTGTTGTAAATCATAAGAAGCAATAATTCGTATGATTTATTAATCATTTAAGAATAATAGTTAATTATAATAAATTAAAAATCTTTTCTTAAGAATTGTCTTATTTTTTCAGTATTTAAATGATTTAAATCCAAGATAATTTCAAATCAATCAGAAGCTAGATATTTAATATTGGGTAATAAATAAATTAAGTGGTTAGTGCTAAATTAAGTGAAGCTATACCAAAAAATTATATTTGGAGTAATTGGTATTAGCTCATTCAAAATAGTCTGAATTAAAAGAACATCTATTTTCTTCCATTTTAAATTAGTTAATAAAAATATTTGAATTTAGGAGACATTATTAATTTGCAATGTTAATTGATTATTTTCCAATAATTGCTGATTTGTTAAATTTACTTAATTATTCTTTATAATTAAATTCCCCTAACAATAAGGAATTAATCTAAACATATAAATAATATTTATAAATTTCCTTTCCATTTTATTTAACTTACTATACAGATTGTTTTATTTAAGAAAATATAAAATTTTAGGTTTATTTAAGAGAAATTCAATAAACATAGTTTAATGCAGATCTGTGATTCATCCTTTTGCTTAATAAAAATGAAAGAATATATAGATGGTTTGTTTAATTAAAGTTATGTCTTAATATTACACTTAGTATTAGTTAAATTGTATAATAAGAATGAGATAAAAATGGAATATTAATCATTAATAGAGTTACACTATCAACTTAAAAATTCTTTTTATTTATATTATTGTATTTAAGATCATTTAATATCATCATGCTTAATCAACATTGAGGACAGTTAAATAATTATTTATATGTTAAGAGGATCCCAAAAATTATAAAACTGCTATTTTGGCTCCTTTACTTCGCCATTTTCAGGTTA